GCCCAACCGACGCCCCATAGCCTGCCAGGCCCAGGTACAGATTTCATGGAGAGCGGGTTCCACTCAGCGCAACAGTCTCGCCCCCCCTTTCCATAGAGGGACTTTGGAAGGAAGGGGGGCTCAGGGATCCGTGGCCGCCTGGCTCCTGGTGGTCTGAAATGGGGAGCAGAGAGGTGTGGATAAACGTCCCTTGGCTGATGGAGCCGTCGACTGAACAGCGGAAATCTACGGTAGCGATGTGGATGCGGATGATTCCTCTTGTGAGTCTAGCGACTGCAGACCGACCCCTCCCCTTTTCCGTTGATTCCGCAAAGCACTAGTCGGCAGCTCGGCGCGCCTGCTGCGTTTGTCAACCCCTTTTATTGTTCAGACTGGATCCGACATGGTTTTACAACTGCCTGGTTGAGGCCATTGATAGCACTCCAGAAGGGTCGTTGGTTAAGTTCCATTAACGACGAACCGAGGCCGGTTGTAACCCTCATGCTGTACGGCTAAAGTTGGATGACAAAGTTCTAATCGCATTGCAGTGCGCCAATAGCTCCTTGTCGTCGGACTCGTCCCGTTGAATTTTCCCCTGTCCAAAGGCTGATTATTTGTGGATTTCCAACACAATCTGGAAAGGTTGGAGATGGCAAATTCGACCGCCCGGTATCCACGTTACCGTCGGTCATCAGATAGAGCAGGCGATAAAGCTGTGCACTGCATGCTGCTGCGTAAGGTGATGCAGCCCTGGACCAAGCTTTGCCACAGCCTGAAGCTGAAGCTATTGCTACCTCGCTCCTGCTACCTGTGTATGCCGAGGGCCACGATGCGATTTGGTGGTGGCGCACGTTGTTATAGCCAAGAGAGGGAGCGTACAGCATATTAGAAGGAAACCGTCAATATCGGTAGCGTCCTCAAGTGGCATGGCCCAGAAAGGGCGATCTAGGGGTAAGGAACGTCAACGACGACTTGGTTAGACATGCTGTCCACGTACATTTTTGAAACAAGAGACAGCCATGTTGCAGCGCATCGCGACGCCATCTTGTGTGTCTCCCGGTCGCTGAGGCGGAAGAGCCCCGAGGGTATGGGCCTCGCAACCGTGCCTAAGGCACGCGCTGCTTCTGGCCTGGAAGGATCATCCGGACAGAGATGTGGTGATTGGCACCGCCTCGAGCTTTTGTCAGGCCATGACGATGGCAAGGCTCCATGTCAGAGATCGTCGCAGCGTGGCCGAAAAAACCATCGATCGTAGTACCATTTAATCAATTTTATCTTGCAGCGGGAAGACTAACAGGAACGTCTGTCAGAAAAGGGCTCTATAGGGAGTGCAGACACATGACAAGAATAACAATAATACTACTAACAACAACAAGCTGGTCGAAAGAAACAAGAAATGATGCCCCCAAGTAAATGTGAAATGCTGCGCTGAGATGGGTGCCGCTGCTAAACTGCATTACGACAACCCACGTGTCGGGTAGTTTACCTAGTCAGTCTTCACCCCCAGGCCAGGGAGTGTTTGTTCACCGAAGGGTAGCCCTTCCCTTACCCCGGGGACATGTCCCCCGAGATTGGGGTACCGACAGTTACCTGCCTTACCTTGCCTTATCTCACCTTACCTAACCTACTAAACTTCGCGTTCCTAGCCCGGAGGAGGTGGTGGTGGTGTGTCTGGCTGCCCGCCCTCCCGGCTGGGCTGACTGGGCTAGGCTGGGCTGTGCCCAGGGCACGCACGAGGGTGCATGGCCGGTCCCCCAAGATCCTGATCGGGGGCAGAGTGGATCGCACCGTCGAAGAAATCCAACGCGAGAAAAGACGAACTTTGAGTTTGGTTCATGTCATCGCTGCGACCGCTGCATCCATCCATTCAAAGCAATAATGTGACTTCATCCGTGCCGCAAATGCCCGCTAGTCAGTGGTTGATTCCCTTTCCTGGTCTTCCCACCCTTCTTTGACTGAGCGTTGGCGTACACTAGGTACCTAGCGCGCTGTGGTGGGCACGCTACCCTTTCCGTCATCTTACCTCTACCTATTGTCTTTCTCATTCGCGGTTGCAGCCACCTTCCCAGATCTTCCGTTTCAGCGCCAGAAGATTGTAATGGCATGGCAGAGGAAGGGCACTGACTTCCCGGGGGCTCACGCGTTGAAGGGGATTCTGCGCGCACCATACCTCAAAAATCAAAAATAACAAACATCAGCAAGGTGAACAAGATTTGTTGATGGTGTTTTCCCAGTTTAAAATGGAATACAAAAATACAAAAATACAAAATCATTTGCAACTTTCTGCGTGCGGAAGCGTGTTGCAATAAAGTTATGAGTCGCGGGCGGCGATAATTTTGTGAGTTCAGTGGGGAAAGTGCGGGTGCGCTCTCATCTGAAAAGGGGCCGCACGAAGCTATCGTCAGAAGTTACAGTGGCTGGTGCCCTATGTTGGCCTGCGTTGTGGGAGATGCACGCTGTGTTGTATGGAGCAGTCGGGCTTCTGCTGTATCGTGCCGGCGGATTGATTGCTCCCCGCAGAAAATCCAGGGCCTGCACACCATTGTTCATGTGTGGGCCAGACATGGAACACAAACACACCTCTTTAGTGTAGTCTGTATGCGTTATTCCCATATGGATACCTAGTGTACACGACAACGTGCTGTACGTGATGCGGGTTCATCTGCGGGCTCTCCTTGGGATTCGGCCGCCGCCGCCGCCGCCGTAATGCAATCGCCGACAGGCTCTAGGAGGGGGGATCATATCCGAATGACGAGAGTGGGGATGCTTCCCTCGCAGAACGTAGGTAGGTATTCGTTGGCGTCGGAGGCTTACCTGAGGAGCCTTCGGAGAGGAGAGGAGAAATGGGAGGGGGCGTCCCGTTGCTGGGGGTCGAGGTGTGAGGGAAGAAATGCGACAGCAATAAAGTGGAGGGGCGTGCGTCTGTCTCTGGGTGGCGGAGGGGTGTCTGCCGTTCCCCCAACCCTTGACTAGGACGAAGCAGAGATTGTGAGTGCCCTGTGCCGCTCCATGTACGTCTAAGGTAGGCGGAGATAGGATGCAGCCATCTCTCGCATATGCAGGCCGTTTGGGGCGGGCAGTACGAGGGCGCAAGGGACGGTGTACTTTGTGCGACGGCCACGAAGGCAGGCAGGTACGTATATGTGAGCACCTAGGTGGGACGGAAATGGTGATGAACGCGTGTGAGAAGAAAAGAAGAGATACGAGTGACGGATGGAGTGTTCGGGATCCTTCCGGCGGCGAAACCAAGAACTAAAATTCAAAGTAGCACATCTGGGCATGTCTGGATGGCTGGTTGAGAAATGTACCTGTATTCGGCCTTGGGGGGGGAGAGCGTCAGTACAAGAGGTAGGTGTGATGTGATGCCTTCACGCGAAGAATTGAGGTGAGGCAATAAGGTCAGAGGAGTGCACGGCTCTTACTCTACGTCGCCGAACATTTCTGTACTACCTACCTACACTAGTATGTACACAACCATGAGCGGCGGGTATCTAACTACGTGCCAAGATACGTACCTAGGTAGGGGAACGAAGAAAAAGGCCCCTGTCATGCTTATATGTGTATTGATATGTACTCCGTGCCATATATGTGGTGTGGTGTACTTGCACGAAACCTGAGTACCAAGGTTACCCACCCTTTCACGCTGCTTCTTCTGTCGTCCGCGGAGACTGATCTGACTCCTTGGCGTTCGCCGTGGTGTGGCACTCAGGGAGTCTGTGGGACTGGGAGAGCCTTCTCTTGGGGTCGAATGGCAACGGCATGCGGCATGTTTCTTCTCCTCTCCTTCTTTCTCTTACCCTTCCCGACATGTACGAGCGGTAGCCCCCCCTCCCCCTCCCCCCCCCCCCGGCCGAAACCCTGGCCCCCCTTTTATTCTTGCCGGCCTAGCTAAGGCGCGCTGGAAACGAAATTCTGTTTGTCTATTTGTACGGATCGCGACGAGACCTGGCATTTGGGCTGGAGAGACACAGACACTAATGAGAAGCCTGCAGGAAATCGAGACAAGCATTGTCGGCAGCTATCGTCGCCGTCAGCTCGTCACAATCGCAACTAATGCTTCTGACGCAGACGACGATGGCCTCTACCAAGAAGCTGACAAAAAAGCGGCCACCGGCGGGGAAACTGGATGCAATGATGCCTCATATGCGATTAAGCATTCCATGTCTGCTTTGCTACCATGCTGATCTGGTTGGTGCATTGGCTCGCAGCCGCTCTTAGCAGCACTTCTCCCTGTCTCCCCCGAATCCCTAAGTCGACCATCGTGAGACCCTGGCCAACAACAATAGAACCGCCCGAGATTCTCCGGTGCGTGTTGCAACAGCTAGACGCCCATGTCGCCCAAAACATTGCTGATATTTTGACCGCGAGGATTTTGCCTCCCCTTATTTCCTCGCTACTTGAACGCAGACAGCTGACAATGGACGTGGTTAATATCCCGAGCCTACCCAAGAAAAAGGCTAGTGTCGCACTCCGGCGACGGTGGCCCCCATCATGTACGTAAGTCTAACGCTCCTCGGGCCCCATTATGCGGTGAAGGTAAACGGCCGAGACTGCCACCCTAACTAACCAGGACTGGGACTCGGTCTTGTCGGCAACCCTACACGTGAGCTTGTCTCCAAAATGACGAGCCTATCCCCGACAGCCATGGCCCCCTCTATCGCAAACCGTCCCATCTTGCGTGCCGACTACGCAGCACACTGGACTGGCCTTCCCAGTCACGATATCGTACGGACCAACCTGTTTGTCGCAACAGCCGGGCCAGACTTTCTCCATCACCCCGTCCCAACACTCCTTCTCTCTTGTCTCCCGGGAGCCAATTCACGACAAAAAAAGGAAGCCACTCGCAAGGATGCGTGCAGATCGAATCGCTGGGCGCGAAGCGCGGGCATCTCAAACACCCGCGTCCCGCATCCCACCACCGCCACACCATCCCGTGGCACGACACCGCTGCCACGATGATCTGGACTTGGCGTCTGGGTCTGGCCAAAGGAATGCGAGAAGGCTCAAGAGTCGCCAATGCAGGGCGGTTTGCCATATGCAGCCAGCACCGCCGCCACGGCCCCAGCACTGCAGGCGACTGTTGCTGCTGCTGCTGCTGCTGGGGGGCAGCTTGCTTCTGGCTGTACACTATGTCGCATGTTTACGCTTCTGCTTGTCGACGGCTTCGCTCGGAGAGGGGGGGCCGCCACAGCTGCGCGGGCGCACATTCCTGCGAGGGTTGTGGAACATGGGAATCAATCAAAAATGTGAGACAGATGATGCAGCCCAGCCCAAGCCAGCCGGCGGCCCAGACAGAGCGCTCCGAACGGGATGCCACACCTCCCAAATCTCGGCAACCACACGAGCCACAGACGCCCAGGGCCGCACGCGCCACGGGGACGCCGACTCATCCAAAAGCCAAGTGCATCATCGACAGAAGCAACCGGGCCTCGAAAGCCAAGCCAAGCCAAGCCAAGCCCTGTCCGCCAGTGTCTTTCCGTCCCTTTCAGTCCTCTCAGGGCTTTGATCTCCTGTGGATATGCTCGGCGGCTCCAACCCAACCCCCTTTCAAACACTACATTAGCACATCACCGTATCGCCGAATCATCGGCCCAGAAACCCAAGCTTGACGGCAACACCTACATAATAGGTAGCTACTGAGAAAGGCGTGCTGAATGTGGGGCTCTCGCCCTCACCTCGTCATCCCCTCTCGCCTCAAAACCTTGAGAATCACCCCGGCAGCAAAGCACGTTTTCGCGGTGATTGGCCCGGCCGGCCAACCCACATCGGAAGAAACCTTCTCCCTCCAATTTACTCTTCTTCATTGTCCTTTACTTTACCTCTCTGGACCAAGGGTGAAAAGCAAGCCTTTCCCCACTCTCGCCTAGAGCACGCCGCACGCGATAGATACGTACCCTTAGATCGGCGGATGCCGTCGACAGGCTTCGTATTGGCCCAAGATTCCAGGCCCCGAAATCTGGGCGTCTGATCTTACTTTCCCGGTCAGCGGTTCAACGAGGGAGCTGCGCGTAAAAGAAAGGATAGAAAGGCATGCGAGTGTGAGTTTATAAATCTATGAAGTGTTGTGATCACCTTGCCAAGACATCGACTGTTCTACTCTTTCTGGCCGATTACAGCTTTGTGACATTGTGTGTCCAGTCAGGTAGTCAGCGCCAGACGCGGCAGCGACTCGTGAGACTAAATTACACCGGGCATACGCAACCCGCTGTGTCAATACTCTCTCACGAGAGTGCACGCACCACTCAGGCTATATTAATTGGAGACATCCATTGCGGGTTGACTCCCGTTACAGCCAAGAGAGACGCAAGACGTTGGGATTGGGGGGAACGCACCAAGAGGATAAAAGTCAAATAAAGGGCGGAAGAAACACCAGATGACCAGGGAATCCCCGACCATGTGCTCCCCCACAGCTGTGTCATGCAAGTGGTGAGGCGCCCCGAGGTTTTGTGTCCAAGTTCGCAGAGTTTCCGTCCCCCTCCACCAGACGTTGCAGAACAACAAGCTCTGCACCCATGTCGACAACCATGGCCCATCATGACGACTCTCGCAAGGCATCAGTCCGTCAGTGATTCAGACATGATGGCATTCATACACTAGAGCGCGCGGGTGTGGGCGTTTAGACATATCCTAGGCCCCCTCATCCCCGGCTTCGTAAGCCGCTCCGCGTTTCTTCGACGGAAGCTCTCGGATTAGACTCCCATCACCGTAGAGCTTAAGGTGAGATGAGACATATCCGAAGAGGAGACGGGGAAGGGGGGGAGCGATGGGTCGTTGCCAAGCGAGAGGGAGGGAGGAAAAGAAAAAAGGGGACGAGTGAGTATCCTAGCTAGGTATCTCTCTGGCTCGATAAGCTCCCTCGTTCGAAACATGACACTCGATCTGTCGATGACGCGCTCTGGCGCAGACCTACGCCAGAAAAGTCAAACTTTTTATCTTTTTTTTTTCTCACTCGCGCGCTCCTCAGTCCCTTTCGTCTCGTCGTGCAGATTTGATGCGGAAACCCGTGCGCTGTTCAATCCAAAGACTTCAAAACCGACCCAGGACACGGCACCACGCGGCCCACGCCGTCTCTTTTTGTCTGCCTCTCGCTCCAACGCAATACACGTTACGTCGGGTAGTTCCTGCGGTGGCCCGTTGGGCGGTAAGGTTTTTTTTTTCTTTTTCTTTCTTTTCTTTTTCCTTCCACTTCTTCTTTTTTCCCCCCTTCCCCTTCCCCCTTCTCCCTTTTCTGCACCCTCTCAGAGTTCCGCTGACACGCATGGATCACGAGGGATCGATGCGGCTCAAGCGTTGCTCGGTTCCCATCTCCCGCAACTCTAAACCGCATCTTGCTTGAACGGTTGGGGCGAGACAGGTCTTGAGGGAGGTAGGGAGAGAGAGAGACAGAGAGAGAGAGCGGGCGAGGAATGGGTCTTCATATCATTCCATTCTTGGGGGGGACCCAAGACCGCGTCCCTCGACGGCCCCCCGGAACAACGACACCGCGATTCTGCATGCAGGAGTCCGGAAAACCGAGCGCTGGAGCGCTCAACCCCCCTCGTGACCTGCTTGTATGATCTCAACTTTGGGTTAAACTACTTTCCGAATGTCGGGGGAGAAAGGGGAAGAGGGCCGTGATGCATTGGCATGCACTGAGGAACGTGGGCCACGGACCAGTTTTGGAGCGAACGGGCAGGCGGATAGACGAGATGGAAGCACAAAAGGAAGAGTCGGAAAGGGAAAAGAAAAAAGGGGCGGGGGGTGGGGGACACGGGCGGGAAACAGCTGCGGCACTCTTCGCGTCTTTCCCTCCCTCCTCCCCGACGGGGACGCGCTCCCGCAGGTCTGGCCGCCAAACCGGGCGGAGCACGGTCCGGAAAGGTTTCGAGGCAGCATAAGTATAAACAGATTTGACGGGCGCCATGGTTATTTCAGTGCCCGCCTAGGCTTCTGGGCCTAGTGATGCTGGGTAGTGGTTAGTTCCCGGCCGGGTGCTTGCTAAGCAAGCCAAGCGGCGGCGGCGGCAATGGTGAAAAGAAGTGGAGTGGAGTGGGAGCAGTACCCCCCCCACCCCCCCCAGGGCCCAGGCCGACGTCGTGAAGCGTCTCGGTGGTTTGGCGATGCAAACGCCGCTTTCGTCCGGCCTTTTGTGATCCGATCGCAGGCCTTGTTTACATGAGACCTTGACGACAACGACCGTTGTCGGCAGTGGCATGCGTCATACACCACCATGCTCCGCGCCCCCGGCTGACGGGGCCCTTGGATCTCAGAAGCCAAGTCCAAATCGGTCGCGAGCGCTAGTCTCAGCTGTCAGCGCTTCGGCGCGGGAGAAAGAGCCGGGCAGCACGGCTTGTTGGGGTTTTCTGTACACAAAAAATTGGCGCACATGATGTTCCGCCACTTTCTTGATGGTCAGCTTGTCGGCGGAAGCGACCAGGAACGTGGGGCTCCGACCACACCATACCGCACCGCACCGGCACCGGCACCCGTCACCCCACGGGCCGATGGCGTCTATCAGTTGGGAGAAGGAGGAAGGGGAGGGGGAGGAGAAGTAAGGGCCCGACAACGGGAATGGACTACCGTAAAGAAAGACAACAGGCGCTTACAGTGTAGAAGTACGTTGAAGGGAGAGGAATAAGCGGACTCGTTTGGGATACGGCTGGAGCAACGAGCCCAGATTGAGGTTGATCGCGAGGTATACACATGACGCAGACGTCTTATGATCTGACACCCTCTATGGGAACACGGAGAAACATTATTTTTCTAGGCTTGCATCGTCCCGAAAACCCATCCTTTGGGTGAACCATACATAATACACCTCCATAACACACCTCCATAGTCGGCTGCGCTGTTACAATCCCATCTCGCTGTTCGTATCGCGTCACATCCCTGTTTCTCCCCCGCGCGCATCGAAGGTATCCATCTGTAGACGCCGATGCCAGACAAAACCAACCCCGGGATTAATAGGGGGAACTGATCCCCCTTGACTCAACGCATAAAGAATACATCCTCGGCCGTTTTCCATTTGTTGTTAGCTGACGGTTGACCAATCGCCCACCCGGCCCATAGACCAGAAGGGGAAAAAAGCAAAGAGCCATTATGTCCAATTCGAAATACGACTACCCTCCTCACGATACAGACTTCTCGCTCGAGTCCTGCTCAGGGTGGTAGTTGGTCTCCCCTAGCATCGCCGTCGGCTGGGTGGTCATGGCCGTTTGCGTGTTGGGCTGCGGCTGCGTATGCACCGTCGGACCCGTGGGCTGCTGCGCCGGCGGTTGTGACGGGGACCGGGTCGCCGCGTTGCCAGCCGTAGCTGCCTGCAGTCGCTGGTCTAGCGTCTTGAGTGCCAGCGCTCTTCTGCGCTCCGCCTCAGCCCTCGCGCCGCCGGGGGCGCTTCTTTGGATGTAGTTATTGCCTCGTCCAGCCGGACCGTTATCTGAGAACGGGGTGCATAAGCGCATGGCAACCAGCACCTCGAAAATCTGGGCCGAGACCGTAGCCACGAACGGCTTCACCGGCGCGGGGAAGAACTCGGCAAACGCAAAGGTCTCGCTGGCGTCTCCGCGGAGAGACGTCGGCTGAGAGGAGTCGAGGTCGGGGAAGACGGTCTTGTAGAAGCGGAGGTAGGTCCAGCTCGTGAGGAAACCGCTCACAGCAAGGGAGAAGGATGCGGTCGTCAGAAGCGGCGTCAAAGACAGGACAAAAACGATGCCGAGGTATAGCAGAGGAAATCTCGGGACTCGAAGGGACAGGATGCCGCGGAACAGAGTGACGGTGTGTGCCGGGACGAGCTGGCTGAATGCAACGAGGAAGGAGATTTGCATCGGGATCGAGCCACCAATGACGGACAGTCTGTTGGGAACTTGGTTAGTTTACCAAGACTCAGCAGCAACACCAGATCCGTCCAACTTACGTCCACCGCTCATTTCTTGTCAAGGTAAAGAATATGATCATGAGAGCAAAGGTCAAGGTGTTTGGGATCAGAGCAGTGATGGCAACGAACTTAGCCAGCTCTGCCGACGACCAAGCTCTCTCTAGATATCTGCCCCCCTGATAGATGGTGACGCAGGCAATTCCAAGCGTAAATATGTTGTTCTCGACGAGCGTGGATGTCAGAAAAGTCCACGGGTAAATAAGAGAGAGCTGAGGGATGAGTGTCAAGTAGGGTATCACGATCTCGGACGTCGCGCTCCATTGGCGATAGCGGATCGCAGCGCTCAGAAACGACTGCACAACGAGCACAGCCAGAAGGACCCGGGTTACCGGCGGGATGTTGATTCGAGGCGGCATGTTGAGACAGCTTCCGGTCAGGGCGGTGGACAACAACAGGTCATCTAGGGTGTAATCGTGACGGCACCAGCTCGCTTTTTCTGCCCTTGCTATCTCCTGGAGCCTCATCCAAGAGGGAGTGAATGGCAGCGTTTCAGTGGGTCTCTGGATCTCGGATTATAGTCGTACCGAAGCATGGAGACAAGCTAGTCCACTCTGGGGCTGAAGTTATGAAGCTTAGCGCACAGGCCATTGCAGACGGGATTGATTGGGGCCCGCGGTCTACTGAAGCCTGACACGGGCTTCCCTAGCTGTGGTACGTATCCTTAAGCCACGTTCTCCAAACTTTCTCGTTTCTCGATGCGACGATGCCTCTTTTGGCAAGACAAGCATTGGTGGCAAACGGGTCCTTCCGACAACGCAGGTCTTCCCTTGGCAGCTCGACCTTTGGTTAAGTCAGAGGCGAACGGCAGCTGTAGTAGCAGCAGTAGCAGCAACGCACAAAGAGCACAAGGAGCACAAACAGGCACGGTAGTTTTTCAATCATCCACAGATCGATGGATGATGGGCTGGGAGGGGGTGTAGGAGTGTTCCACTGGTGGATCCGACAGGTCTTCGATGCGGTCGAAACGGGGTTCCATCCATGCAGGGCTCCCAGCGCACACTCTTTCGGTTGAACGTGCCAGCCCAGCCCGGCCGTGCTGACCACAGCCAGGAGCCGCTCGTCCACCTTTTTCCACAGCTACCACCTCCGCAGGAAGAATGTTTGTTTTGCTTTGGCTTGGTCAAAATCTGTAGACCATGACGACGAGTTCGAGAGGAATGCCGCAATAGGTAACAAGACACGCTCCCCGCGACGTAATTTAATGAGAGCTTCGATAACGGTAACAGCGCGATTGAGGGTGAGAGTGGCCTGACGGGAAAACTGACTCGGGAGCAAGGCCCCTGGATGTCTTCGGACGGTGCCGCGAATCCTCGGACGGCTCGCCCTAAGACCACCAGAAAAAGTGCCAGATCGCTCGTTGCCTGACTAGGTTGGCTGGGGAGGAGACACTTCGCCGTGGCATCATCAAGTAACAGGGAAATACTATCATTTTGAAGGAATCCCACAACCCAATCGGTCAGGTGTCTCCGGTGCAACGGCTGTCAACTCGCCATTCTGCAGCTGGTGGCTGAGGGTCGAGGAACCCCAGCCCTCTCCATCCAGATACCCCAGACCTTGCGGCGGCATTGCGTTGGGATGCACGTCGCCATTGATTAGACGGTCTCGGATCAGAGAAGCAGTATGAGCATGACCATTGGCATCAGCACGAGCGGAGCACGAGCGACAGCGCCATAATCAACCGAGTCTGTGCTGCCAGGATGCCACCCGTGGGTGGTCTCTGTGTGTAGGCGTCCTGCCACTCCCAGGGGGGCGTTTCCGAACGCCAAAACGTTGGCCAACGCTGACGGGAGGACGTTTGACCACAAAACGAGGTCCCATTCGACTGATGTGCCGGCGTGACTGACCAGCGATGAGTGGCCACAGAGAGGCGGTGGCAGGGGGGGCCTGAAGATGCCCCCGGAGCTATTAAAGATCGAAGGCCATGCAGCCATCACATCCTAGTTCACACCCACAGGCGCCTCGCAATCAGCAGTTCCCGCCAGGGAAGGGAAGGCCCCCGGATGTGCAATGCCACGTACCCTATCCGTAGGCCGTACACGAGAGGTAAACTCGCGAGGAGACGGGAGGGTGAGAACAAGGGAGCGAGCAGGAAGGTCGAGAGGCCTCGAGTCGACAAGGACGACGAGGACGACGACGATGATGGCTTTGCCCCCTTTCGATGGAATTACTTCCGGTAGCCGTCCTGCAGCGGCAGGCCGTCTCCCCCTCGACTCCGACGTTGGGCTTCCCAAACTGGATGTACTCGTACTGCACTGTATACCCCACTTGACCCCGTACCTACCTTGTCGAGTTGCCAATCAAGGTTTCGAGGTACGTACACGACGGGTAAGAATTGGAAAACAAACCGCTGACCATCTGCGCGGGTGGCAGCCCCGAGAGAGGCGCGGCCCTCTCTTGGCATTAGCCTCCAAGGCGGTGGCCGCATGGGGCCAAAGTCAGTGGAAAAATTGACGTACCGTCGATTTGGGCATGGAAGCAAGGTCGTGCTGCAATCACACAAGATGGTTGGGGGTAGACGTCAGGACACTGCACTAGTGCACCAGACAGGCATGCGTGGCCCGGTGCTGGTGCCGACGCTGGTTGGCGCTTGTCTCGTCTGCTCTCTCGAGTCTCCAGAGCCTGGCACTGCGGGGTTGCTTCCGCGTGTGCTCCCTGCTTCGATGGTGCAGTTTGGTTTTTGCTGGTTGCTACTGGGGGTGGGTTACTCCGTAGAGCTCCAAGAGTCAAGTCTTGGGACTGAGACTGTCTCTGGCTTCTCTCCTCCCTCCCTCTTCCCCCCCTCCTGGTCCCCCAATGAATAAGTGGGGACGAAAAACCGACATCATCGAAGACACAAGGGGGGTGTCGCAGCACGGGGCAGGCCACCAAATGATAACACAGAGATTGAATTCCATTGGTGTAGATGCACGAGGAAGACATCATGTGCGGTAGAGCCAGAGTTGAAAGTTTGAATAGCAGATATTGAAGCTATCGGACTTTCCCAGTTGTTCTACGAGACTGGGGAGCCCACCTTACGTAAGGAGGGTTTCGAGCTCCGGTGCTTCTCGATGTAGTGTACCTAAGTGCACACCTACCCACCTACCTAGGTACGAATTGGTAGGTACTCCTGATTGTACGTGCCTACCTTGCTCCGTTCAGAGTTCAACGTTGCCAGCCCAGCTGTCCGGCTGCCAGGACGAGCCCCTCGACCCTCTCCCACGGTGTCTTGCTTGTTCTGGACCCCTGAAACGATCGAATTTTTTTTCTTCTTCTTTTACTTTTTTTTCGTTCTGATGTTGTTATGCGGGTCGAGCCATCAATACGTCGATGCCTACATGCACCAAGACATGGTTTACCTAGACCCGGTTCGAGGTGGTCAGGCGCGAGAGGCTGTCGTTCCCAAGCGGAAGAGACGTAAAGATGCGATCGTTGTCAAGGATGACCGCACTGCGTAGGATGCTGTCCGGACTGGACTTGTGTGTTCGGTAGAACCCCCTGCCGCGCTCGCATTACACCACAGCGCGGAGAAGGCTAGCGAGAAGCGTAGCGACGCATTATTCCCGTCCACCCCCCCGGGGCAGCCCAGGCAATGTACCTACCTCGAGGTTTTCCACGTTCAATATGCCACACGGGTCACGGGCAAGGTACTTGGCTCACTACAGACGAAGCAAGCGCAAGGGGCGACCCTGTCTTCTCGTCCTGGTATTTTGAGTAGCAGCCCCAAACACTCCAATCGGTGGGTCACAACAACAGATTTGCTTAATGGATGTGGATGGCACGGGATTAGCAGAGAATTATCGTTTTCTCGAACCCTTTTCCTACCTTCTTGCCCATGCACGGGCACAGTGCATCCCAATCCCCCTGACGCCAACCAAGACAATGGTGACAAGAAAATTAGGCAAAAAATGACACAGTAGTAGCCAGTCGACTTTTTTCTGCCCAGAGATGCAGCCAAAGGCGGAAGGGATGATGATCAAGATCACTCCGCTCCCCAAACAACGAACATTGAAAGAATAATCGACTGCCTGCCTGCCTGCTCTCTCGTCACGTCTCCCTGTCGGCTTTGATCCAACGCTACACTACCGTTAATCGCTACTACTACGTACTGGTTGACTGGCCCGGGAGCACTTCGAGGAACGGCTGCCCCAAAGGCAACGCTGAAGGCTAAGTTCCTTGGATCATGCACTTGGGACTTGGGTCCGGCTCCACACCCGCCCCCGTCCCGGTTCATGGAAGTCTCCAAGATCCGTGTCTGGCTGATGCTGCCTGCGCTCGTTCGTTCATTACTGGTATTCCCTTGGGCTCTAGAGGCCTCGACCGGGATCCAGGGGCATCAAGATGGTCCCTCCCCCCTTCCCTCTGACGAGTTCCCTGTTGCTCCTCATCCAACAGCGACTTGTGTGTGTGTGCGTGTGTGTGTGGGTGTGCGGAAAAAGAGAGTGAAGAGGTGGGCGACGTGTGCGACGTTGTGTGTGTGCGCGCGCGCGTGCGTGTGCGCGTTGCAACTGCATCGCCATGTTGCTGCACCGAAGCAGGAGGCTGAGGAAGGCCGAACGTAAGGGTACCTACCTCAAGTGGAGACGACGATGGAGAAGAAGGGAAACAGGTACTTCGTACTCAAGGGTTGTACCGGCTGTGGGAGGTGATTTGGCCGATTCTGCAAATGTCAGTGCCATGGCCACCATTAGCTCCCTACGCACACCCGAGTTCAGCGTAAGAGTGCAATGCGGAGGATAATGTAGAGCAAGACGTGCAAAGAGCGAGAAGAGGCGTGCGTGTGTGCCGATCCCGTCATGTTCCTGTCGCAGCAGTGCTGTCTCTCTTCTTCCTCTTCTTCCTCTCCCCCCCGGTCAGTCTCTGGTAGTCCCCTACCTTAGTCGCTAGTCCAGTCAGTGTCCGCTATTGGATCGAACTGGGCTGCTGGCGCTAGCGCCACACCTCACGCCTGGTCTCGCCTAAACAAGGTACATTGCCTACGTACCGCCAGATTCAGATTCGCCCATCCTTCCATTTCATCCACTCTTGCGGGCTTCCTCAATCTTCAATCTTTCCTCTCATCTCGAAACGGCGACCGCAAAACCGCCTCACCCTCGCCCTCGACGACGCCCTCAGGAGACTCGATCGCGAACGCCTGGCCGTCGAGCCCACGACCAAGTCCCCCGTAACGAACTGATCTCGATCACGCCGCCCACAGCGGCACTTCGCGGCATCGGCATGGTCACCAAGGAGTACCTCGACTCGGACAGAGTCAACTTTCTCGTCTGGAGGTGAGTTCACCCTTTTCGCGTCTCACCCGCATCCGCCGCACCTTCACACGCACAATCGCGCGCCTCACTCACTCACCTTGCGCCCTGCGCCTTTGTCCTTCTCGTGATCCGACACACGAGAGCGGGACGGCCTCTCTCTCACCTCTTCTCCCTGTCTCTCGGCATTGCTAACGTTGATCCGGTCCACAGGTATCTTTTGGAAGGCAGTACGTGATGACTGTCTGGGTACCGCCAGCGGCAGCTGGTGGTGGGCCATGTCTTTTTTTTCCCTCCTTCTCACTGACGGTTGCAGACTATCGAGAAACCGCAGCCAAATTCCAGAAGGAATGGCACATTCAGCAACCTCATCGCCATTTTGAATTCGCAAATCACGTCAAGAGTCACGCATTAGTATCCATCATCAATAAGGGCCTCTGTTATCATGCCCTCGAGAGAGAGCACGCGAAGAAATCGGTAAGTCGATTCAACCCCCATCCATGGCTGCTTTGTTTCTCATCCACCCTCCCCTCGGCGTCGTGAGCAGCCGAAGCAGTCGGCGACGATTGGGTGGGTGAGTGAGTGTGTGTGTGCGAAGTTCGGCAAACTGACACTTTTTCTCGTTGCGCGTGCAGGTGCCCCCAGGTGCTGCGGCTGCGGCCGAAGCACTGCAGGTGGGGTTGTTTGGGCCATTGATCGCTCAACCGCCTCACAAAGTCGAGGAGGACGAGGATGCTGATGGCGAGGTGGACGACACAGAGATGGAGGTCGAAAACACTCGGAAACGCCAATTTGACAGCCGGCCACAGCAGCACATGGTGAATGGCGGCTCACCCAGCAAGCGGCCCAGGCTCAGCAATGGCTACGAAAGCACAAACGGGGCGGATGCAGCCACTGACCCCATGGAGCTAGATAGCCACGGTGACAACAACCACGCCTATCCGTCGCCCCTTGAGGGCGAACAAGCTCCGACGCCTACCCCGAGAACAGATGGTCCCGAGCAGGGCACGCAGGTCGACAAAGTCGAGGAACTCGCTACCGAAACCACTTTTTTGCGATTAATGCCCGATGACAGCAACAGCACCACCACCAACGTCCAAGACGGCAGCGACTCGACGACTGCGACTGCGACTGCTACTGCAAGTGCAGGTGCAGGCGGCCCCGGAACTTCGCCCTCGCCAGCCAACGGCGAAAACGCACCCATCTTGTTGCGCTGCGAGTGGAACCCCAAGGACCCATCCATCTTGGCGGCTGCTGGAACCGATGCGCTAGCCCGCATTTGGACCATCTCACGGTCAAGCACAATGACGCCCGCTCCAGCGTCCGAGCCCGACGGTCACGTGCATGGGGTCCATCGCCCGTTTCACAGTCTCATCGACGACGAGACACCCAAGACGGCCACGGTAGGCCAGCTCGCCTGGAACTGGGGGGGAACGGCCATCGCCATCGCGACTGAGCATGGCGACAAGGCGTCTGTTCATATCTGGGCAAAGGACGGTTCGCATATCGATAAGTTTGATGTTTCGGACCCCCCCGTCATCAAGCTCCGTTGGAGCCCGAGCGATGCAGCGCTTCTGGCTATTGCACCCGACAACAGCAACGTCAACGGAAACGCTGGCGCCCTCGTCACTGTCTACCACTCCCTAACCTCCAACACGCTGTCATATTTCCTGCCGAACCACGACTTACTCAATTGGCCACTGGACGCCGCGTGGACCAGCGAAACCGAATTCCTCTTGACCGGCGGGGACGTGATGCTGTCCCTGCAGTGCACCGAGACATCAATCGTGCCGAACAAGAAGCTCGAGAGCCGAGAAGACGACACCTTCACCCAGGTTGTCTATGACTGGCGCTCGAAACTTGCCGCCACCGCGAGTGACAAGGGTATCCTGGATGTATGTATCCCGACACGCCTGTGCTGAGAGTTCGGCTGACTCAACCTTTCCTTTTAGCTCTGGGATGAGAATGGTCAGCGCCTGTCAATAACGGCCCATTCTGGTGCTATCACTGCCGTGCAGTGGCAACCTCTTCCAGAGGACTCTAACGTGCCAGAAGACGAGCGGTTAATCGCAACGGGAGGCGATGATTGCGCCATCATCATATCAAATGCCAAGGACCCGGAGCCAGGGAAAGCCAAATCTATCTTGACTATGGAATCACCCATCGTCTCCATCGCATTCACCCCTGACGGCGCCTTCATCGCCGGAGCCACGGCTGGTCGTATTCTCATCTGGAAAGTGGGGGAACATACAATGCCGAGGGCCAGCTGGAGCAGAGCACCACACCCTGGCTGGCTTAGCCCCAAGGCCAGCTCGGAGCCGGAGGAGGAGGATGAGCACTGCTTGTGCTGGGACGCTGATGGACAAAGACTCGCTTATGGGGCCAACAGCAGGGTAAGTCAGCCTTGGATGTCATTGTATATCAGTTCTAACCCAGCGCAGTTGGCTGTCATCAACTTCCGCAGATAGACGGCACTCGGCATAGAGTGTTCTGTACACTCGGAACGTATCGCTCGAAACACTCAATGGGATGTTAGAAAGTAGATATCCCCGGTCTACTGACACATATACACACAGTCAGCATTTTTGAGGCAGACGTCTTTGCACGTTCGCCACACGAGGCCAACCACACGGAACAACCCGTGCCGCACATTTATCAATCAAAAAATCATCTGCAGTTTCCGGCGTCGCGACGTTATTGTTTACGGGGGGTACCATAAGATCCTTACAGACGGGATTCGGGGAGGAGCCGGCTGCCACCTTGCATACGCATATTGTCGTCATCTCACAACTGAGCTTCTGGAAAGAAGGACTGGAGTCAGCGTTGGTTTAGGTTCCGCCGCAGTAGATGATCCAGTCGCTTTCCTCTTCTTCTATTCGATCGAATGCTTTTCGCTATTTGTTTTTTCAACTGGATGGGTTTCGTGTTCGGGAGCGGGAGAGGGATACATTGGCACTGGCAGGGGCAGCGCGTTGTACAATATACCTGTATATACCAACCGATTTGGAAAAAAAAAGCGGGTTACGACTTTACGTCTCTTGATTGATACTTCCAGGAGTGAGAAATCGGCTGTGGCTAGGGGTACAGCGAAAGAACATTTGTGGTGTCGAAGCAGTCTGCTAATCATGCTTGTAAGGGACGGTGCTTCTCACGAGTTTTGCAGGTTTTCCTCTTTCAGCTTTCCCGTTTTGCCCAGTCCAGTGCTCGTGCATTTGGAGGGATGCAGAGAGGAGGGAAATCGGTGGCCTATCGGCTTCGCTGTGGTCTTGAACCTAATTCAGCAGCGTGACTGACTGTTTTGAAGAGAATAGGCAATTGAGTGATGTGCTATGGAGAAGAAACGGGCAGAAGAAAGGTTTCCATCCTTCCTGACCTTGAATCTGAGCGCCTTTGGTGCCTTGAAAGGAGAACTCCAAGCTGGTAGTTAACCGGTCTATCTCGAGAGTTACTTTCCAGGGAACCGCAGTGATGACGTTTTTACGGCTCTGGGCCCCAAACGGATCAATCCAGAGGGCGGCTTGAAGAAAACAGCACAGTAGCATCTTGGCTGCTTCCTCCAACCTTTATATGATCTCCCTCAAAGGGATCTGCCACGGGAATTCGTGGTGACACAAAGGTGCTCGCAAACAAACCGAACCCTCCCCCCCCGCCCCCCGCACCGGGTCCGAGGATACCACACACAACGTCCCGCCCCACTTCCTTATGTCGACTGCCCCCCCACGTCAAACTGAACCACCGACTGTGACATTTCCATCCGTGCGCATATCAATAATACCATTGTCCAGCTTCGATACGACCGACACAGCAGGGGGCAAGCCAGAGATCAACGGTATTGTTCCGCGACTCGAGCGAACAGGGAGCTCTCCAGATTTCACGAACTTGTCAGCTGGCACTCTCGAAAGTTCTGACGCAGGGAAACGGGCAGCGCAAAGCAACAGCTGTCCCGCGCGTCACCGCTAACCTCAAAACGCCATTTCTCCTTCATCTCAACCTCACAACCAACCACTCCTCCAGACACCCCCGTTCCGCCGCCCTCGCACCGCGTGGTCGCCGAAAATGTCAGCCTCCTACTACACCCCCCAGCGCCCCTACTTCCCCTCCCCTCAGCACTCGTCCTCCTCTTCCGCCGCGCGACCCGCCGCGGCCGGCACGCCCGCCCCGCCGTCCTTCACGCCCGCCATGCGCGACCGCCAGGCCCGCGGCAAGGACCCGTACTCCCCGCACGACAGCCCCTCAGACTCGGACCTCGAGTTCGACGGTGTGGACTCGCCCTCCCGCGGCGTCGGCTCGCTAGGACACCTGGGCCCGGGACACGGGCACGCCCACGGGGGGGCCGCGACGGGAGGAGGCGTCGGCGACGGCGACTCGCATGAGGTCAGGAGGCGCAAGCTCTGGGCCGTCTCGGTGCTCGAGGATCCGGAGAGGCTTGCCATGTACGCGTGTAGTCGCGGAGACGTGAGTAACCACCCCCTCTTATCATCCGTCCTCATGACGCGCTATGTACTTGGATGGCGGGGCAGCCACCCTGCTCGTCTCACACATGTCTTGCTGACGAACAACGCAGAGCATCCCCGGCACCCGCCTCTACTTCACCCGCATACTGTGCGGCTTCGACCAGGAGCCCGCCGACCCCCGTAAGACCGCGTCTTCCTCGCGGCGGGACCCGCGCCGGAGGAGCGCCGGTGGCGAGCGCATGGGTCGGCACTGACTGGCGGGTGACGTGGTCCTGAGGGGTGTCCCCTTCCAAGATCAGCTCATCCTGTGTTCAGGGGACGGTGGTGAACGGCTTAGTGGAAACTGAGGAGGGGGGGGGGTTTCGATTTATGAAAAGGCAGGCAAGTCGATGACAACCGTTCTTGTACTTGGAACGGCTCTGTTCACCGTCTTACTCGCCGGGACGGCGGTCGCTTCCGAGATTGTGCTTTTTGGTCAGGGAACAATAATGAGAAACGAGGTCAAGGGGTCATCAGTCACATGGATTCATCGGCGTTTATGAGCTTTGTTAGGTCTAGCCGCTACAAGGGAATTGCTTCAATCAACAGGAAAATGGTATTACACTACGAAAGGGATTTGTGAATGATGGTCTCGCTGGCATCCGCACCGGATCAGCCAGCTGACCTAAGCTATATGTTCCTCTCGGCCGTCTCTAGAAGTAGGTATCTCGCAAGGTGCTCGACCGCAGTCATCATAATAATTACATGGAATAATGATGGCCGTGCTCAGTGAGGTAGGCCGCCGTAGTGCTAAGCGTGCATGTAAACTATGTGCAACTGTAGGACCGCGTCCAGCCGTCCCAACCCGGGTGAGGGCTTTTGGGAGACGAAAGTATGATAAAAAACAAAACCACCAACTCCGAGTAATGCAATGGGTCCGGTCTATCCAACGTACCGCTATTCTCTTGAGCCATCCAGATCGCCTCTCAAGCGTATCTAGCGCTCTGAGTCCTGTAAAGTCCCCAGCCGCCATTCTGGTACCCGTCTTGGTAACCGCCCTGGTAAGGCATGGGGCCACCTGGACGGGTGGCGGCCGGCGGTGGCGGAGGAACGTTTGGATTGCTCCAAGCACCCGCGTAACCATTCCATCCGCCGTTGTGTGACATTGGCGGCGGCATCGGGACCGTCCGGAGACGTTTGGCCCGGGCCCGGCTCCTGCTCCTCCGACACGCTCCGCAAATACAGCTGAACAAGACGATGAGGACAAGGAGGCCGGCGACAATGACAACAGGGATGAAGATGTTCTTGTTGTTCCGAATCCAGTCCAATATTTCGCTGCCGGCATTGGCGCCCTGGCACTGACCGTTGGAACACTTGCCGCCTCCCGTGCACGATGTTCCGTCAAGGAAGTTTTGGTTCATCGTTACACAAGCGCTACTGCTAATGCTGGGAACGTTGCAGGAGATCATACAGTCCGAGCTACCACTATTGCAAGAAGTGACCGAGCTCGAGTTGGTACGGGAGCCCCAGGCAGTCAAGCACTGCTGGTCGCGAGAAGTGCACTGGCCGGAGGCGCACGTGAGGCCCTCGCCCGAGTTCCCACACGAGTCCCCGTCCGGCTTGTGCACGTCTGGAGGGCAGGTAGGCGACGCGCCACTGCAAGTCTCCTCGGGGTCGCAAGAGCCAGTGCTCTGGCGGCAAACAGTACCGTTCGAAGCAAATTGACACTGCCCGTTGCAGCAGTCCTCGTTTGATGGGTCGCATACGGAACCCTGGGTGAACTTGCATGTCGTAGGGTTGCAGCACCTGTTGCTCCCGCAGCCTGCAGTGCCACCACAGTCGCAATCCTCACCGGCCTCAACGATGCCGTTACCACATTGACTTCCGGTGATAGTATTGACGCCGCGGTTGTTCGCCAGACAAGTCGACTTAACCTGGCCACGCAGAAGGCCATTGCAGATATTGCCAATACTGCAGGGTGAGAAGTTGCGGATGCCGGTGCCGGTCGAAGGGTTCATAATGAAGTTGCCACCAGCGTCGCAGGTGCTGGAGCTCAGAGGACAGCATCGTTGCATGTTGGAGTCGCCGTTGCTGCATGTTGTTTCCATGCAGTCATGCACTGCGCCAAATGTGTGGCCGATTTCATGAGCGGCGACCTGCCATTCACTCGGCGTCTGGATCACGACGTTTGCCGAGGCAACGGTCTCGTTGTTATTTTGGTTACCCGTCTGAGCTCCATCGATACAGGCTTGTCCCAGCCAGGCGAGACCGACGGCAGAGTCGGTACCGCAGGTGCTCATCAGCGTCCAGAAGGCGTTGGTATCGTCCGACTTGCCACGCCATGCCGAAAACAGGTTCAGCCTGTCCGTGATGGTGACGCTGTTGCTGCAGGCAACATTCCAGGGCGCATTCGAACTGGCCTGTCCGGGGCAGTTGGCGTCGCTGATCGTCAGGTTCTGGATTCCGAGAGAAATGTTGAACGTGCTCTCGTACACCTGGGACGCGGCATTGATCACATCGATGATGTTCTGTCTGACAGCCTGCGAGGAGTTGAAAGAGGCCGTATAGGTGCAGTCAGTGGCGACGCCCAGTAATGCGATCTTGCGCGTCGTCGGGCAGCCGTTGGTTTGTCCGATGGTGGAGATGAGGTTGACACCAGCACCGTTGTTACCGGTGCTACCATCGACCGCCTGCCTGCCAAAAATGGAACGTCCGAAAAGAGAGTTTGATGACACGGCCGGCAGGGGATTAGGATCCTGTGCGTCAAAGACGTTGTAGTCGGCGTTGAAGTCCAAGCTGTCCGAGTTACAGGAAGACCGGCCGAAAATGTCACGCTTCTTCTTCAGATCCTCTCTATCGGTCCAATGTTCGATTATGTCCGAGTCCCTCCACACGACCATGTACTCGTTGGGATGCTGCCTGCTGGGGGCGTCGGGGTCCTCGCGGTGCTTACGGGCATGGTAGTTGGCACCGGTCTGGATGCGGTGATGGTCGTCGTCAATCCGGAAAGCACCCTCGAAAATGGGGTCAGCGCCGTCTCGGTGTACCGTGATTCGAGCCCATCCAGCGTGCCTCCAGTCGTCGGGTCGTCCCTCGGGCCGTACAAACGCCTTTCCTTTGAAGACGCGGTGTTCCGACCTGTCGACCGTCTCCGTCGTATGGACCTTGCCATCGCTGCCCATATAGTTGACTTGCAGGGTGTCGTGAAGGATGTCATGGTTCGGCTCCAGCGCCAGGCGGATTTCCTGCTGCTTATCATGCAGCGCGAAAGTGAGGTCGAAGTGCGACAAGGCGTGGCAATGTTGTGAAGGAGAGTGGAAGACGGCATCTTGGAGGATAGTCACGTACTTCAACGGGTTGCGCTGCGTCGAGTGTGCTGCATGGCATTAATTCCGAAGCCTCTCTTTGCTGTCTCTCGCGGAAGGGGGGGGTTTTACCTAGCGCTTCTTGTGAAAGCACCGCGAGGCCGGCAAAGGCAGCGGCTAGTTTCCTTAAGGAAACCATCGTGTATGGCAAAAACACCCGCAAACGGGGTGAGGCTCGTGGAGGCCTCTCTCAGTTTTGCGGTGTGGCGTAGGCGCTGCAAATAGGGGGGTATTGCGTTTGGTGGTAGTGAGCCAGCGGAGTGCTATCTGTACCTAGGTAGGTTGGAGACTTCAAGTGTTTTCTTGCAAACCCAAAAAAAAAACAAAATGAATGAACAATAGACGACGAAATCAAGTGCGGATTAGAAGGGAGAAGAAGTCGTAGGGTAAGAACAAGAATGAACGAATGGCCAAGCGGTGGTGGCGGTAGTGAACGGGAAAGAAGGTGGAAAGTCCGGGAGTTGGTGCCCGTTCTGGTTGATGCGGGAGGTACAAGTGCCAAAGTGGACGACGACATTAGGGGGGGCGGTGTTGGGTGCTAGGCGTGCCTACTGGCAGCGAAACGAGTAGATTGCGCAACACCACATCTTGGTACGGGGGTGTGGGCCAACTGTATTGGAGCGCTCGAGTTACTGTGGATTCCAGAGGCGGGCTCGGCGAGCTTGGTAACTCTTGGCCTGCTGCTACTCGGCGACGCGGCATGGCAATGCCAATACCGAAGTATTCTTCCCTTAGGTAGGTAGGTATGCTGGGACACCCTTAATCAACCGCTGCCCGGTACCCTGCACACACCCTGCTCAGCAACCATTACCCGCAGAAAAGCATGGCTGAACGGCCCACCTGTTCAGCAGCCCGGTAGGAACCTCGGCCGTATGCCGTGCAAGTGTAGTCAGGTACTAATAGTGCGCATAGTATAGTTATGTGCGCATGGTACTCCGTACAAAACACGGATACACGAGGGAGCTTTGCCTAGGGGGTCTGAAGGGTTTTCGGACTGTACGTCCCTGTTTCATTCTTGGTTGCTGAAAAGCCAGCCGACTTTTGCGACCCGATCGATTGTCACCAGTTAACCAGCACTAACGCCGCGCAAGCGCTACGCCGGGCTTTCGCCTGCCCGTGTCCGCTCGCTCGTTCCTACTCTCGTAATCCTTCCCTTGGTCTGACTGTTAGTGGCAAGGAGAGTGTACGGGAAGACAGAAAGAGAAAGAGGGAGACGTAAATAGGTAGGCAGTGCAGAACACTAGCCAGTGACAGCCGGCCATGGTGGATAGTTCATCTCATGGCGCAGACCGATACGTAAGGGCAATGATTTATTCGTGAAAACAAACTCGTTCAAACGTACCGTATGAGAAACACACACACTCTCTGGCCGAATCAATCCAGATCTTCTCGATGCGCTTCACACAACTATCCGCGGCTGCACCAACGCGAAGGGGTGCATGCTCAGAGGCGCTGGGAGAGGGCAACCTCGGAAGAAAGCTGGGGGCTGGGTGATGTTGAGAAGGTTTGAGGCACGTAGGCACTGTTCTAAGCAGCATGTCAGCAGCCCTGCACACAGGGTTGAGATTCCCTTAGGCTTTAGCACGCCACGCCAATCCCTAATCCCTGCCAATAATCGTCTGCTATTCTTAGCGACGACCGATATGGACAGGCCACCTACATTTTCCTCCTGGTCCCAAACGCTTGGCCTAGTCCCCGTCGCTGCTCCTTTGTCTGGACAGGCGCCTCCTCGCCGGCCTTTGGTGTTTGAGTTTCAGAGCGCCCACGGCACGCTGGTCAGGTGCCTACACTACCTAGGTACAGAGCTGTGGGTCCTCGACCGCTTCGAGGTGCCTCATGGGCGTCCATCCATAACCGCTGCCCTACGAACAGAACAAACTGCCCGAGCCCGGTGTTTGTTTTGCGCGTCTTCGAAGAGCAGGTAAGCTTATTGTGAGGTTACCTCTCCCTCTTGCTAGAAAACCGGGGCGGCCTCTTCGGAACAGCTGAGTGGGCTTGGCTCAAACTCCTCTGACGGGGATCGACTTACAAGGTCGCCGCCGCCGCCGCCGCTAAACTCAACCTATTCGTTTGATGCCACCAGTCTACCTTGTAAGACTCGCCGGGCCTCTCTTCCACGAATAGGTACAACATCTCGTTTTTTGCGTGTTGTGCCGCATTTGGAACATTGCCGTCAAGTAACTGGCAGACACCATCTCAAGTCGGCGTCTCAGTTCAATGGTCCCTGCCAAAGAATCAGACCTAGGTTCTGAGAGACTTCCAGTGAAAAGGGGACGACGGGGATGGATGATGGGTCAGGAAAACTCAATGTTCACCCCTTCGCCGGCATCGAACGAACCAATCATCCCCATCGTGTCAGCTCGTAAAAGGAAACATTAGACAGACAGACCTGGCCAACCACGGTCCTTCCTCGCTTCCATAGCCGTCGGGTTTGAGATCTGGTTCTACGTCCGATACCGTCAGCCCGGGGCCATGCAAACATGCAAGCGCGGACTGGTCGTGTCGAACCCTGCGCAAGCCAGCAAATGACTTGATCCACGGGGATTGCGCGTCCAACCCCATCATTCGGGTGGCTTTGCATGCAATGTACCACACCACCACGGGTCAACCAACAAACTAGCGGTGGGATTTGTTCATGTCGCTGAATAACCGGCAAACTCAACTCGAGAGCCTCAGCGAAGAAGCGTGTACGATCGAGGCCTCCGGGGTCTTTCCCTCCCCTCTTCCTAGTCATTCTGCCCCTCAGGGTCCCAACCCCCCGCGTGAGTATCAAACTGCTTCCGAACGCTCACGGCACTACGACTGCCGCAAATCTTAAATGCCAAGTGGCTAGGTCGTCGGCCAGGGGACCTTGCCTGAATTAGCTACCCCACCATCCCAATCCGGGGATCGTATTCATCTGAACGTCGTTTCCCACTTCCCTCGAGGGCAAGCGCTCGCGAGGGGGAAATGCCCACGCGACCTTCGGCCCGCGACTATAAGATTCCACTACAGATGACACGATTAATGGGTCAATGAGGGGTCCGGAGACGGAATACTTGGGCGCAGATGCCGGGTTCGAGTGGACTACAGTCACGTTGACAGGTAGGCGCATTGTTCAATATGGCCATCGGCCTTGTCGGAAGCAATTCCAGCCAAAAGATCTCAAGGCATATATGAGCATCACGTCCTCGGTTATCCGCTTCTGACTCGCGGTCAATGAGTTCCCCGAAACCCCGCTGTCAACATCACGACTCCCTCTAGCCGGTCTTGACTTGCCCATCAATTCCGAAAGCGGCGTTGCGAAGCAGGCGGTACCATCCGTATCAGTCTCATCGCCCCAAACATACAAACCCGTCTTTATTCGTGTGGTTCGTACGGTTGACCGACACACCACCACTAGCGTTGTCGGCCACGTGCCGGGGAGAGAAGAACGAAACTAAGGTCTAGACTAGCACCGCCTCCGGGACTTGTTTCCAGCCTGTTGCCTGTCGGGCATGATGGATTTTCGGGTCTTGGGTCTTGTTCTAGCGACGCCTTGATGATATGTCAAGCTGAACCAAGACTCGGCCGACCGCGGGCCCAAACGGACGGCCCAGCGCCCCATCCCCCCGTCCTGGAAGTGCGATGACGACGACGATAACGACGACGGGTGGGGGTGTTCTGCTTTCTGAGCTACAGTTGACGCAACCACCATCCACAAAGGAGGCTGTGCTTCCAGCAGACCGGTGAGCCGTCCAGCGCACATGGGGCGAACGATTGGCGAGTTCTGACTCGTCGTTGGGAAGGCGTGTGGTTGACCGGAGAAAGAGACAAAATCCGTGTAGAAACATTTGATACGGCTCATCGTCAAGAACAAACTCCTGCAGGTCCTAGTTCACGGACAGCACACCCCGCCGCTCTCGGGTATGTCCACCTGGGCGGAGCATACGTCGTGATGTGTATGTCGGGGCGCAGTTGGCCCGAAGGCCATCATGTATGCGAATCGTAATCTACTTCTGAGCGCAAGGGAAGACACATACCAGTCCCGTCCCTCTCCCATATCTTCACCCGATGACGCACACTGCCCCTCGCCTCTCTTCGATAGGCACGTTCATCTCCACCAGCGGCTGACCCCATGGGTGCAGCACAATCGTCTTCGCATGTTGGCGCCCCACTGCGAGGTGTAAGTCGTCCTCGCGACAATTCTCTAGGCGGTACTCGAGCCAGTTGTGGCAAGGACACCATCACGTCCTCGAAACAACCTGAGGACCCAGCCTAGCGCGACGTCATGGCTTGCATCCCATCATCCGTGCCTCCTCCCCTTTCAAACCATCGTGCCGGAGGCGGTCCTCGCGGAACCCCGCTAGCGCGCCTGCCGGCCCATGGCGCAGAAGGCGGCAAAAACAATGCAAAAAGCCCACAGATAAAGCAAGGAGGCGTAAGGCGAAGTGAGGGGAGCACGTCGAACGCAACGTAACGGAACGTGGAGCAGAGCAGAGAAGGCCAACCCGTCCTCGGGCCGTGCCACTGTCGATACGGCAGCTGCACTAGCCGCGCCGATGGCGCGGGTGTCCGGAGAGGCCCGCCCCTCGCGTATCGGCCGTCGTGGGTCGAGCACAGGAACCCGAGTGTCAGCGAGCTGGGGGAGGCTTGCCGGTCAGGATATTCCCCGGGGCCTCCGGACTGATGGCCAGTTACCCGGGACGCGACAGCTATGCCTCGTCTCCATGCCGCGTCCGAGATCCCTCCGAGACATGTGGCAGAGTAGGCGAGACTCCAAAGCCAACGACGAGGCGGAGTCTCTTTCATGTCTTACTCAACTTTGGACCGATTCGGTCATTGATAGTCTGGATCGTCGTCAGCTGTTAAGTGGGCCCATTGTCAACCATGAGAAGTCGTGGATGTCAGATGACGAGAGATCCGAGAAAATTTTTCAAGGCTTTTCTTTTTCCTTCCTCGTTGGACTCGATATTGAAAAAGTGTCGCTATATGACAAAAACAACAAACCTAACTCATTTCTGGGTTCCAAGCGGGTACTTTCATCAACCGTTTGCACCTGCAACGAACGTCCATTCTCTGTCTTGTGGTATCACATCACATCTCATCTTCAACTCTCACTCTCTCGTCTCATGAACTCGCATTTACTTCTTCCTCTTCTCTTCGTGGACGATATTGATGATATTGTCAACGACGGAGGGGTCCGAAAGCTATTGGCGGGGTCAGTATACAAGCGTTTTCCTCGTCTGTGATAGATGGCAACTTACAGTCGTCACGTCACCAAGCTGGTCTTCCTCGCCGGCCAAGATCTTGCGCAGGATTCTGCGCATGATCTTACCGGAGCGTGTCTTGGGCAGGTCGGGTACGATATGAACGGCCTTGGGCGCCGCAAAGGGGCCTATGCTCTTGCGCACCTGCATGATGAACTCCTTACGGAGCGCGTCCGACGCTTCGTTGCCGTCCTTGAGGGCGACGAAGGCGTTGACAGCCTGGCCGGTGAGCTCGTCGGCAACACCGACGACGGCGGCCTCGGCGATGGAGTGGTGCTCGATGAGCGCGGCCTCAATCTCGGCTGTTGAAAGACGATGGCCAGAGACGTTGACGACGTCATCGACGCGACCCCGGATCCAGTAGAAGCCCTCGTGGTCACGGCCCGCGCCGTCACCGGTGAACTGCAATCCTGTCAGTGAATATCTTTAATTGTATAACGGTGCTGGTGCTTACATAGTAGCCCTTGTAGACGTTCAGGTAAGTGTCCATGTAACGCTTGTGAGCACCCCAGACAGTGCGCGCCATGCTAGGCCAGGCCTGCTTGAAGGCCAAAACGCCCTCGACATCGTTGCCGTGAATCTCTTCGCCGGAAACGGGGTCAATAATGGCGGGCTCGATGCCAAAGAAGGGCAACGAGGCACTTCCGGGCTTGGTGGGTGTGACACCAGCCAGGGGAGTGATGACGTTGGATCCGGTCTCAGTCTGCCAGTATGTCTGTAATTGCGTTAGCCTTTTGTTACGATCTGCACGACTGCAACCTCACTTACGTCCACGATGTGGGCCTCCTCCTTTCCGACAACCTCAAAGTACCACTTCCAGACCTCGGCGGCGATGGGCTCACCAACGGAGCCCAGCACTCTAAGGTGCTTCATGTCACCCTTGACATGCTGGTCGCCAGCGCGCTTCAGCAGACGAAGCGCGGTAGGAGCAACGTAGAACTGGGTGACCTTGTGGTTCGCAATAATGTCCCAGTATCTCGAGAAGTTAGGGTAGGCAGGCGTACCCTCGAAGACAACGGTCGTTACACCGAGCAACAGGGGGGCGTAGACAACGTAGGTGTGGCCGGTAATCCAGCCGACATCACCACCACAGAAGTAGCGGTCTCCGTCATGAATGTCGAAGACGTACTTGCCGGTGGCGGCGGCGCCGACCAGGTAACCTGCAGTGGTGTGCATGACACCCTTGGGCTTGCCGGTAGAACCGGAGGTGTAAAGGAGGAAGAGGGGGTCTTCGGAGTTGACGCGCTCAGGGGGGAAGTAGGAGGGCCACTTCTCGACCTCCTCGTGCCACCACCAATCACGACCCTTGGTCATGGGCACATCAGCGCCGGTGCGCTTGTAAACCAGTACGTGGGAGACGTCGGGGCACTGCTTCAAGGCATCGTCGACGATCTTCTTGGTGCCGATCAACTTGCCTCCACGCTTGCCCTCGTCAGTGGTGATGACGACCTTGGAGCTGCCGTCAATGACACGGTCGCGGAGGGAATCGGCGGAGAAACCGGCAAAGACGACGGAATGGACAGCGCCGATACGGACGCAAGCGAGCAGGGCGATGATGGCTTCGGGAATCATGGGCAGGTAGATGGCGACAGTATCGCCCTTTCGGACACCCATCTGCTTCAGAACCCAGGCGGTCCGCGAGACCTCCCGCAGGAGCTCGCCGTAGGTGACATTGCGACCATCGCCAGGCTCGTCGGCCTCGTAGATGATGGCGACGCGGTTGGGGTCCTTGAAGGCATGACGATCAACGCAGTTGTAACTAGCATTGAGCTGGCCCTCGACAAACCAAGCGCTGTCACCGCCCTCCAGAGAACCAGAGTAGACGGTCTGGAAATCGCTGAACCACGACAGGAGCTCGCGTGCCTGGGTGCCCCAGAAGGCCTTAGGGTCGGTGATGGATTGCTTGTATAGCTTCTGGTAGTGCTCGAGACCTGAAGGGGTAGCTCCAATCAGCCAATGGCGATGGTAGGATTTGGGGTAAAGAGGGGAAGGGACTTACTGCTCAAGTGGGGTTTGCTGGGATGCTCTGCGGGAGTTGTCAGTCAATGGCCAATGGGATGAGCCCACTAGCTCCCAATTACGCTGACGCCCCTGCAACCACTTTCACTATCTCCAGTGCCCCCTCACGCGACTTTTTGGCCGCCGACAGGCTATGGAAGGGGCTTTGTGTGGGCTGGGTCTAGGTCTGGGTCTGGGTCTGCAATGCGGCGGCGCACTTACTGTCAAGCATCTTTTGGGGTGGATCTGTTGGGGGGTCAGGTTAGCCATGATCGTCCCCAACAATGGAAGGAAAATAAAAAGACAAACAGGAAGAAGAGATAAACAGGGGGCCGGCTTTGCGCCTATGCGACTCGGTGGTTTCTGCCGCGAGAGCCGTTGAAGCTGCGGCAGGAAGTTGGGGTCCTTTCGGGCTTACGGAAGGTATCAACAAGGTGGGCCTCAGCGACCACCGGGGCCTTTTGTGGCTCTGCAGCTTCGGACATGGTAGCGGGGTGTTGTGCAGCGTATTGTGTGCTGTTTGCTGTTATGAAGGATGCGGGGTACTTTATGCAGGTCTGCTGAGGTAGCTGCTTAGACAGAGAATCGTTCGACGCGGTTCGTCTTTCTGGTCCTCGTCGTAAGAGAAGCGGCCCTGGTGCAGCTAAGATGGCAGGTCGCGCGGCAAAGCTGGATGGGAACCGGCGCAACACTCCACAGCTCTCGAGGATGAGGGCCTCCAAGTCGTGCGGTGGCCTCGATAGCGTTGCTGCAAAGCGGGTAGCGGCAGCAAGAGTCAACTCCAATGGGGTGCGTCTTGGACTCGGATCCCGTACGTTTGTGTTCGTGTCTGTAGGTGGAGCTGTAAGGGGGAAGTGGCTGTTGGCTGTGAAAGGGAGGAAAGGAGAAGGAGAGGATGCGAAAGCAGAGAGAAGGAGGAGGAAGCGAGTAGTAATTAAGAAGACCAACTCTCCAGTTGGCCGAACGGCGAGCCGGACGGGGTACGTACGGGATTTGCCTTGAATGGACGAATGGGGACTTGGACGGGACTGGGACGTGGACGAGCTCGACGAGCTTCCTTGTAAAGCGACTAACACCAAAAACAGCCACTAATTACCTACCTACGGATACCTACTCTACTATGCAATTAGTACAGGTACACGACCTACCTACTTCCAGAGTAACCGACTTTGGATGCGGATAGCCGGCGGGGTGATGACTCGGCACAGAAGCCACCTCACCAAGCTTCAATTCCGTCAGTACTCACTCAGCCCACCGGGCCACACCCGTCGAGAGTACGAGAGCCTACTGTAGTGTACAATAAACTAGTTCCAGTGATTCCAACCCATGACAAGGGATTCTATTCGTGGTAGGGATTACGGTGCAGTTCAGGCCGATGATGCTATGGAGAAAAGGGACAAGGTGGCACGCAGAAAAGGAACCTCCTACCCCATCGTCCAAGCCCATTGGCGAATGCCTTGCTAGAAGCCCCGCAATCCCACCCACTCGCTTCTTGCTGGTACCGTTGTTCCGTTACCGCGTTTCTCCGTTGCCCCGAACCACCTGCGAACCGCCCCTCCTCCCTGCAACCCCTTCGCATCTAGGTTAACCCAAGACCACCTTACTGCATCGTCTAGTCAAAGACGAGCCGATCACCGACATGTCTCGCCTTTATCTACCTCCACCATGCCGTCCGCGCCTGGATGTTCCTGGGCCCGCCGGTTGGTCTAGAGATATCTGCCCTGGGGGAGGGGAAATGACTACGCGCTAGTTGACTGTCTTTGGACGGATACGAATATCTGGACTACGACGAGCCAGAGCCGAGCTGCACCAGGTTATTGAGGTCCGCCCTAGTTGACCAGCAGACTAGTAAACATGACAACTCTGACTCGGACCAGCGAATGGGTAGTCTGTTACTTCGTTTGCAATCAAGAACTTTATACCGTCACCAGCAGCGCGACGGCGTATTGGTATTGTCCTATCGGCCGGCTGAGAAAACGGAGCGATCTGTCGTTTGACGCCCATGACCAGACCCAACCCCGGGACGCCAGGCCATGCCAAGGGGAAATGGACTTCTGGGGAATTTGTCACCACGACCAGCTACTTGGCACCGTTGTCAAGTTAGCTTGGTGTTTATGCCGGCGAGGAACAGAGAGATTGCCCCTCACCTGCCTAGACTCCCCCGCACTCCGTCCCAAAAGCGTCAAGCTTGCGCCTCGAAAGGCTCCTGGGCTGACCGCATCGCGCCGCTATCCAAGGCGTAGTACAGCCATCACCCAGTGAGCTGCATGCCAGCCCAGGCCGATGGATGCTGATCGCGACGCGCTACCTATGAGTGCCGTGGCACTCCAACTCCAGTGATTGGCCACAACCCTCAACAATGACATCGCAATGACAGTGAGCTCCGGCTTGGCTCTCGTGACTTCGAGATGCTTCAGGATCAATTAGTGGTGACTATGGGTGTTGATTTTGCTCCGACTAGATGTGAACCTCTCTGCGCTGCCGCATCTAACGAGAGGGCTACTTCGTCCACTAACAGAAAGCAAAGCAGCGTTGTCGTATCCGGTAATCGTACCCGTTTCAGAGTCTGACAATAAATCAGCTAGGACTCAACAGAGCCTCGCTGATTCTAGGGTGGCATCCACATCTGCAGTAGCAAGTTGCAAGATACACGTATACATTCTTTCCTGGTCGATTGTGGTGCTGATACGGGCCTGTGATCACCGTTGATGACTGCGGTCTTACAATCGACATCAACCATGGCCCACATGATAAACAACGTACGTGGGCAGCTGCAATGTACATTTACGGCACCCACCCACTCGAATGAACAATCGTCGTCGTCCGGAATTCTAATGAGTTTGGTACGAGGTTGCTATCGAGGCTATTCCCCAGGCAGCTGCGGGTCCAGATGGGGCAGCTGCTGTGTCACCTTGAAGAGGTGCTGAGACTGCGTTGCATTGTTCTGATGGTAGTATAGAGAGACATGAAGGGTATGCCCTCTACCACTGAGATCACGCACGCGGAGAAGCACCACGGGTATGGGTATGACTACTGTAAAGATGAGGGTGGATGTATGTGGTTGGAGAGGTCGAACGGAAGTTCAGCCCCTCTTCGCCCAGGTGGAAGGAGGAAGAGGCATGATGCACCTCGGGTAAGGTTGGAGTGGTAAGAAAGTGCCGTACCTACGCATGTACCTGATGTTCGAGAGTGTGTCTTGCCCGCCCGCCCGTGTACCTACTTTTAGGGAGGTTACGACAAGGAGGAGGCACCATGCGATTATCTCTAGACCAAGACCGAACGGCTGAGAGCAAGCTATCTAGGTAGGCAGGTAGTTGGCATTGTACGGCCAGTCTCCCATAGCCGATTTGACCGTGAGTTCCGCAGTTAACCTTGCCTCCACGTTTTCCCCTCAAACCTTCATTCATCCTTGAGCTTCCCGCACCTTTACCCCATGGGTACCCGGATTTCCGCGTCCGTGCTTGCGTTGCGTTGTTTTAGTGTAGTCTGTCTTGCTGCGTATTCCAGCAGGCCGGGTTCCTTGCTCCTCCCCCTTGGCCCCTTACCCCGTGGTTCCTTGTCAGGCCCTTGTGGGCAGGTAGCTTATCCAATCTTCCCTGTCCATCCAGGTCAGGCCACATGCCGTCGTCTCATAGGATGGATGAATGGAAGTGTAGCCTTGGCGTACCCGACATCCGCGGGGAGGCTTGGTGCGCTTGGAACGCCTTCCGCCGTCGCCGCGCGCCAGATAGAGACCTGCTCTGGTGTTCCCTCCGCGAGCATCCGGACGAAGCATCTTTCTCCTGGGTGGCCCACCTCTTGTGGAGCAAAACCCGCTGGGCAAGCAAGCTGATGGTCGGGGTCGATCGTCTTGGAGAGTCGGCGTTCTTTCGAACGGACTGTTTGGGCAAAATCACCGTGGTTTCCGAGTCTCGTGTGGCGGATGGATCATGGTCCCCGTAGACATGTGGAAATTTCCCAGGTTGTTGGGGCACTTACTTTGATGACGGATTGTTGAGTACCCCCTCAAAAAAGGAGGAGCCGCCCTGCCCGCTGCTTCATGGCTAATCTGCCCTTGCACTTCTTTTTGAACTGCACAACTGCACTGCACTGCACTCTCGTCGGATGTTTCCTGAAGGGTCTGGGCCTTGCAGCAACCTCTGCCGATCGTTAAGGTTTTTTTCTTTTTTCTTTTTCAGTAGTCTTTTTTTTATTTGATTACGGGGTTCAACTGATTTGATATGACAATTACTTACGCCCCACACCTGCAGCCAAAACCCCTAAACGCCTACGGATTGTGCCCTTGCTCACAAATCCATACTCATCAAGTACATTTCCATGATTCTCATGAATTTTGCCACAAATGCCTCCAGGTGGAATATGACCTTCGTGCCCATTTTGATTCGGTGCTCATAGAATGCCGACCACTTGATCACCTCGGCCTTCAGAGCGTCGTCAATCAATGGGATGAGCTTGAAGGTGAGTGTTTTGAGAATCGTCGTCGGCGGTATGCAATGCGTCAGAAGGTCGTACAGCTTCGCCCGCACTTGGAGAATCCGGGATGGAGTATGTTCATCGATGATCTCCCGCGCGATCTGGCTGATCAGAGCCTCCCAGTCCGGTGGGGGGATCGGTGTGGTATCCGTAACTTTTTCGCTGTTGCTTCATTAGCGTCGACTCCGCAAAGGGTAGGGAAGCCATCGTACTTTTGTGCGTGGACAGCCTCATACATAAGCAGAGCTCGACGCAGATTCCTGCCGCTCTCCTGTGCTATCCTCATGTGCAGACCCTTGACCATGGGCCAGTTCTCCTTCTTCGCCGACACTGCCAAGACATCACAGATCTGTTCATGCGTTGGCGCAGCCACTCGAACGAGGAGCGTTCTCGATCGGATAGGTGCAATAATGTTTGCCGTCGAATTGGCAAGAAGGATCAGTCGCAAGTTGGGAGAGTACTTCTCCATCGTCCGACGCAGTGCCGCCTGGGCGTCTCTTGTGAGGTGGTCCGCCTCATTGATGACCACAACCTTGAATTTTTGCTTCGCTGACTGGTCAACCTGCTGTGTCTGTGCCACCTCTTTCAGCAGGTCTTGAACGACTACCCTGTCATAGTTTCCTACATCCGACGGTGTAATCTCGAGGTGGTAGTTCGACGCGACGATATTGAACTCGAGCTTGCGATTGCTTGATGTCTGGAAGACACGCGCGTCGATTTTGATCTTCTCTACGCCGGGACCATACAGCTCTTTCAGGGTAGCAACAATTCGTGTCTTCTTGCCGGCTCCAGACGGGCCGTACACCAACAAATGGGGGAAATCTCCGCTCTGGGCCTACGAGATGTCAGTGCCGCCACGAGGGGGGCGTCAAAGGGTTACCTACGAGAGAACGAAGTCTTTCTGAAAGCTCCTGATGGTATGTCAGAGCCTCCAATGACTTCGGTCTGTGTTTGTCGACAATAAGCGCCATTGTGGTTGGTTTCAATGTTGACGGCGCTGTATCTGAAGTTGCCTGGAGACGTGGGACTTTTCCATGATGTGCTTCAGTATGTGGAAGACGCGTTGTCGCGTTAAGTGGGAAATTCTATCAGTGTGGCTTGCGCGTCATGGTCCGTGCTCGACTCAATGCACGCCACACCATGTAATTGTTCCCGTGCATCTAGTCAAGCAGGCGGAAATCCGCATGGCGCTCGCCCAATTGGTTGCTTTCTTCAATGAGTGTCTTGAATAGCACAACTATGGTCAGGTCTGGCGCAAATGGAATGTTCCTTTTTTTTGTACAGCTCCTAACCCATGTTGATCATCCAACATGATCATCTATATAGTACAGCCACTCCATGTTGTTGAGACTACTCATTGACTGTCTCGCCATGGATGTGATTATGTTACAGCCCGGCTGTCGTCCACCTCAAGGCTTAGTAGACGGCGAAGTGGTAGATGATGCGCTGGTAAGGTTGCTTGTGGCCTCGGCCAGTAAATCTTTGGGCGCAATCGGCTTCCTTGGTTTCTTCAGTTCCTCCAGCGTAACGCCGTCAAGCTTGGTAATACCGACCACAGGCGCCTCTCCCTTGTGCACAAATTCCCACTGGCCTAATGTAGAGTCAGCGAGGGCCGCATATCACGCATCTATACATTTACTTACCGGGCAACTTGTTGCCTGCCAAACGAAAGGCGTCCTTAGCAACTGCCTCGTGAAGCATTCCTTTGACCTCGAAAACGATCTGGTTGACAGCCACACGTGCCGCCCAATGGTCGAAAGAACCTTTTCCCTTACCCATACGCATCTGGCTTGACGTTAGCACCTGCGCATCGCCGCATATTGCCAATATTCCGCCTCACCTCATTGCCCGACACGTAGACACCGACGTTGCAGCACACTCTCTTGTACAGTCGGTATTTTTGACCACGCAATCTCATCTTGATCGTGTCTTCCGCGATCTTAAGCTGCTTGGCGCTGATTCTGCGGTGGTGGTCCTTCATCCGAAGGCCATAGTCACCCCAGATGACAGTTGTACCCTTGGTTGAACCTCCGGTAGCCACACGAGGCCGCCCCTTCATCATTTTCTTTGTCCGGTCGATCGAGGGTTCGAGCCAGGTGCCTTGTCTCGTGGGCGTCGAGGAGAATGGGCGAGCATCACGGAGGATCTGGGATGCGACCAGCGACTTGGTAATTTGTGGCCGGATCACAGCGCCTACGGGGCTGATCGATGGAATCGCAGATACTCTGAGGCCTTGGAAGGCGCTGAGAAGCGCCGTAGGAACGTGAGGCCTCATGTTTGCGACTTGCCGTTAAACGTCGTTGATGATGGGATCTCCAAAAAAATGTCCCTAGCTTCACAGCGACATGGGTGTGGCTGATGTGGCCTGAGAATTCGGGCGTTCGCTTTATCGAGGCTGGAGCTCCCACCAATTGTTGCGCCACACCGATCCACTCTAACGCGTCAGTTTCGCGTATCAGTCCATTACGTGCACGCATCCTAAGTGCCAGGCACGACAACCTGTCCGGCCTTTTTCACCCATCAACCTACATCAACAGCGGCACAACGGTCTATTCAGGCCTACAAACCTCTTTGCTGCCATCAGTTGAGCGGCTTGCCGTCGTACTGCACACAATGCCAGATATTCGGTCCTTTTTTGGGCCAAAGGGAGGTGCACCGCCTAAGCCTCCAACGAAGAAGGTTGAGGAACCTCCGAAGGGTCGAAGAAGCAGGAAAATCATTGAGGATAGTGACGATGAAGATGAGCCTGCTCCTGCATCGTGAGTTGGCACCCGAAAACAGGCTATCAAACACATAACTGACCACCTAACAGAAAACCAGCACCGAAGGCTGCTAAGAAGAATACCAAGTGCGCAAATCAATCGTCTGATCCTGATGTAGTATAAACTAACAATAGTTACTGAAGCGATGCTGTAAAAGGCACTGAGACCACTGCAAGCGATTACTTCTCTAAGTCCGCCAAGGCTCCCAAACCCGCGCCCGCAACAAAGGCAGATCAAACCACAAAGGTGAAAACTGAGCTTGAGGTTCGGACCAGCCCACGCAACAAGAAGACGACTGCGAAACCAACAGAGCCCCCCAAGGGGAGGAGCGCAGCGACCAAAAAGCGAAGCACCACAACATACATTGAACCCGAGTCGGACGATGATGGCGATGCCTACAAAGACGATGGCGATGAGGACGATGACGATATCTTCGCTGCTGACATCAAAGGTCGAAATAAGCGCAAGAACGACGACTATGCCGAGAATGAAAGTGAAGATGAATTGCTGCCGAAGCCAAAGCGTGTGGCTTCTCGGAATGCTACCACTGCCACCCCAACCAAGAGCACCAGAGCCACAGCGGGTACGAAGAGGCGCAAGACACCCGAGGAGGACGAAGAAGAGTCTGAAGAAGACCAGCCACCGAAGAAGAAAGCCCCGGCCAAGCCGCGCGCCCCCAGAGCGAAGAAAGCCGACGCGCCCGAAGACGCTGCGTACCAATCGATCCTGGACGACATTCCTACTGTTCGCCCCCCTACACCTCCGGCCAAGGACCCGGATGCGAAGTTCGACTGGAGAAAGAATGCCGGCTCAGGCGGAAATAGCAGTGCAGTTCCTCCGAATGCAGGCGCTGCTGAATTGCCTGAGGGCGAGGATGAGTGCCTTTCGGGCCTGACCTTCGTCTTCACTGGTCTGCTTCAAACTCTCCGTCGTGAGGAAGGCCAGGCGCTAGTCAAGAAGTATGGCGGCAAAGTAACCGGGGCGCCGAGCAGCAAGACGAGCTATGTAGTTCTCGGAGATGACGCGGGCCCCAGCAAATTGAAAAAGATCAGAGACATGAATATCAAGACCATCAACGAGGAGGGCCTTTTCGAACTAATTAGACGACTGCCCGCCTATGGCGGTAGCGGCAAAGGTGCTGAGAAGGCCAGAGAGAAAAAGAAAAAGGACGAAGAGGCCATCAAGATACAGGCCCTGGAAATGGAGCGAGAAGAAAAGGCCAGGAAGGCCGCAGCAGAGAAAGCGGCCAAGGAAGCTGCTGTTGCGCGTGGAACCGCTGCGGCACCAACCCCGACCACCACTCCGGTGCAGCTCTGGACCTCCAAGTATGCGCCCACTCAACTGAACCACATTTGCGGTAACAAGGCGCAGGTCGAGAAAATCCAGGCTTGGCTCAAGAACTGGCAGAAGGCGAGGAAGTACGATTTCCAAAGACGCGGTGCGGACGGCATGGGTGGTACGCGCGCTATCATCATCTCGGGACCTCCAGGCATTGGCAAGACGACTGCTGCCCACTTGGCTGCCAAACTCGCGGGCTTCGATGTCATCGAGAGCAATGCCAGTGACACCCGTAGCAAAAAGCTTGTCGAAAACGGCGTTAGTGATGTCATGAACAACACGTCTCTTCTCGGCTTCTTTGCGGGAGATGGCAAGAAGGTGGATGGAGAAAAGAAGAACATCGTCCTCATCATGGATGAAGTCGACGGAATGTCAGCAGGAGATCGTGGCGGTGTTGGTGCTCTGGCAAAGTTTTGCAAGAAGACCGAAATACCCCTCATCCTCATTTGCAATGAGCGGAAATTGCCAAAGATGAAGCCTTTCGACTTTGTGGCTATGGACGTTCCTTTCCGACGGCCAACGGTAGAGCAGGTCCGGTCCCGTATTATGACCATCTGCCACCGCGAAGGGCTGAAGCTTCCTGTACCCGTTGTTGATGCTCTAATCGAAGGCAGCAACAAGGATATCCGACAAATTATCAACATGATCTCTACCGCCAAGCTTGATCAAGCGTCGATGAGTTACGACAAGGGCAAAGCCATGACGAAAGCCTGGGAGAAGCATGTCATTCTCAAACCGTGGGATATTTGTCAAAAGATGCTCGCTGGCGGACTGTTCGCTCCATCAAGCAAAACCACATTGAACGAAAAGATCGAGCTCTATTTCAATGACCACGAGTTTAGCTACCTCATGATTCAGGAGAACTATCTCAGGACGAAGCCTATGGCACTTAATAACAGAGGTTACAACAAACGGGAAGAGAACCTCAAATACTTGGAACTGGTGGACCAAGCGGCGGAGAGTATCAGCGATGGCGACCTGGTCGACCGCATGATTCACGGGCCTCAGCAGCAATGGAGTCTGATGCCTACGCATGCAGTCTTCAGTACAGTCCGACCCTCGAGTTTCGTGGCCGGTCAACTCATGGGATCCAACTTCACTTCATGGCTCGGCAACAACAGCAAGACCGGCAAGCTTGGCCGGTATGTCCGTGAGCTGCATTCTCATATGAGACTTAGGTCTTCAGGTGATGCCAACGAGATTCGCCAGCAGTATTTGCCTGTACTCTGGGACCAGATAGTTCGCCGCTTGTCTGTCGAAGGCAAGGATTCTGTCGACGAGATTATTGCACTGATGGATAGCTACTATTTGACACGAGACGACTTCGATGCGATTCAAGAGCTTGGCGTCGGCCCGCAAGCTGAGGGTCGGGCTGAAATTGAGTCGAAGACAAAAGCGGCGTTTACGCGGACGTAAGTAAAAATCTCCCCTGCTTTGCTTTCCAAGTGCTAATAGACGCCAGTTACAATGCCATGTCCCATCCTATCCCCTTCATGAAGGCCAGCAATGTCATGGAGCCAAAGAAGGCTGCGAAGCAGGCTCCGGACCTTGAAGAAGCCATCGAAGAAGAAGATGATGCTGATGTCATTGAGCCTGCCGAGCCAGTCGAGGACGACCAGCTCGACTTGAAGGGAGACAAATACATCAAGCAACCGAAGCCCAAAGCCAAGCGGGCTACCAAAAAAGCCAAGGGAGACGATGATGAGGGCGATGCTGATGCCAAGCCGAAGAAAAGCAAAGGAAAGGGCAAGAAGTAGTGCAGTATGCCACGCTGCAACAGTCACATTGGTTTTGAGTGTGCTATAGCAATAATTGTAAACACATGGCTAGGGTCGGGGAGATTGATGGGCGATATGAGGCCTCTGAACTGCCTCATTCTCGTCATTTAGCTGGTGTGCAAAATTTCACATAACACAAGATCATTGCCGATGAAACCCGTAAATATGTGATCAAAGTGTGAGACTGAGCCATGAACACAACCATAATCTCGTGATGTTGGCGAGGCGACAACTGCATATTAACAAGGCGTCCCCTTCAGGGGCAGATAGTGTATACTTTCTGATGAGTTCCCTTCTAGGTGTTGACTTGGTACAAATTTTCGTGGCTGTTTTTATAGCTTTTGTGAAGTATCGTCTTCCAAAGGCGCGAGTATATCTGGTGCTGGGCCTGACACTTCCACAAGCCTCAGTGCACATCACACCCTTTCTTGCCAGACTTGAACAGCACACAAGATACCGAAAGTTCACCTGCAACTGATTATTTGTGACAAAAAGGCAAGTCCAAGTTTTCAACACTGGCTAATTTATTTGTACATGCCTTTACCAAATGGTGCTGCAACTTATGCAGGGTTTCACTTCTGTGCAGTCCACCGTCTTATTCCTATCCATAAGTCACAACCTGACCGCTACAAGGTATTTTTCTTGATTTTTGACAGAAACTTCGTCGAATACGACATACCCAAGAACGGAAAGAGCAAGATCGGTCCAAAAGATGAGCTACAGCCAGCGGCTAAGGCTTGGAAAGGTAAAGGGATTTTCCCTGCTGGAGCACTCTTCATGATCTCACGATCCTTTATGTTACACGCACTCGCTCACTTCCTCTCCCTCTCCTCGCCAAAATCCATTGTTCACCTATTCTATCGTGTTCCACCAGATCCACCAGAACAAATCGATATTGCTAATCACTCCGAGAGATTCGGATGTACTACACTCTCCCCTCGAAATAACTCATCATCCGGCTTCTCCCCCCTAATCTACGATTACTCGGTGTTATTATACGCAGGACTATTTGAAAAGATTCAATTTCCAGCGAATAGTTGAATTATTTCTGCTACTCTCTCGAGCTTTCCGCCGCTTCTCCATGGTCTCGCGATATGGGCAGGCCGCCCAGGACTCGATGGCCAAGACGAGTAAGACTCCCGAAATTCATCAAGACCTCTTCGAGGCTGTGCCATACATTCCATTCGTTTTCTAACCTGAAGAAAAGTTGATACGGACCAGAGTTGCGATATTCAAACTCATAGCCCTCATTGCCTCTCGATGATTGAGGAGGCCTCTCACGAGTCTTCGAGCTCGCTAAGTAATGGCAGCTCTCCGAATCAAGAGATGAATGGCCCCCTTGATTTTCGCCAGACAGAGAATAATCACATAACCGAGTACGAGCAGATGGTTTCCAACGTTGGACCACACGGAACTCAACACATGGCTGCCACGAACGACACCGCGGACACGGTTCTGTACGGCAATTGGGAACAGGACAACAACATGCAGGAACTCGGTTACGCTTCTAGTAAGTATAAATCTATTCAGCATTTTTAATATGGAATTCTTACAAAGAAAAGCCCCAGATACAGTGGTGCGTTTCGGCTATCATGCATTCTACGGCGAGGACGACACTACCGAGACAGAATCGTCCTCGCACTCAGTTGACCAAGGTATCAAGTACTCTCTACTAGTTCAGACCATTACAGGTTCTCATGTAGTTAGCTTTCACAGTCCAGCCGATGTTCTCGTACCGAAAGAATCTCAAATACTCAACTACCAAGACATCAACTGACTATTATAAAACTCCAGGGACTTCAGCGGGTATCTCCAAGGTCGAGGTTCTCCCGACGACCAAGGACTGGTCCATTTTTCAGAGCAATCTTGTCGACTACGGCCCCGAAGAGCCCAGTCCCAGGCTCCCCGGCTGCTCGGCTGGCCACCCGTACACAAAGATGTGGAAGATGTCGGACTCGGCGATGATCGCGTACGGCGCAATGCGCGGCTCCATGATGCAGACCAATGACCCTCTACGCTCTTGGATGGAAGTGAAGGCGTATGAGGCCGCCATACGGGAATTGAATACTGATGGTGCAGCTGCTACCTCGAGTGATCACTCTGTAGAGCAGAAGAATCTCTCATTGCTCTCATCGCCAGAAGGTAAGGGGAAGTCCGTGGCCGTCGGCAGTCATGGAAATAGCCAGCCTGAATCGTGAGTTATTTGTTCTGTTCAAAATCATTGTCCAGGATCCTTTAACCTGATTGTCTCCAGAGCCATCAGGGAGCCGTCTTCTCTCGCCAACGAAGCCACTACGTCTCCAGTCCATAGTACTGGCGGCAGACGGGAGGTGGATGGGGACTACATCGAGTGAGCCGTTCTGAGATGCGCGGTATTCTGCTTGTTATTGACCTTGTCTAGAATGCTCAAGGAAGCCAACATGGTTGCGAAGGAGTACGCTCCAGCTGAGATAGATAGGAAGTCGACTTACGACGTCCCCCGTCCCAGGTTCCTTCATATCTCGCCCAAGTTCGAGGGCTTCAAGTTCGAGGATTACCTACCACCCCACGTCGATATCCCAGAACCCTCCTACAAGCAGCTCTTTGACCCGAACCGCGATTTCGGTAAGCTTGGTCTGTTCTGTACGTTGTGGAATCAATGCTTACTGCCGTCTAGTGAAGGAATATGACGTCTCGGATGATGAGGGCGATCCAGTCTCTGGGCGAATCTCCCCTTGCACCTTCCGCCTCCTAGCTGAGGGTTGCGTCAAGCGGGATTCCAAGGCGAACAGGGTCTATATGGCTCACGATGTAAGTTCCGTCATAAGCACATTTCTCAAAGTTTATGCTGATCAGCATTCAGACCCAACGCATGCGCCCCCCGACCCCCTTTGACGACTGCCAGAGACGTCTCACAATTGACCGCCTTGCTTTATCCTTTGAACTTCAGCGAGATGTCAACGATGGCGGCTGGATCACGCCCTGCTACTCTGTTGAGTCTGAACCCTCCATCATTTACCAACCCCCCGGTCAGCCGCTCCCCTACTACCCCGGATTTTCAAGTCGCTAACATCGAACAGGCGTCACACTGAAGCACAAGATGCGTAACTGGTGGTTCGGTCTTTTTGACCGTATGGACCCCCTGGCAGCACGTCGTTTCCGCAAGGTCCAATTTCGCGAGGCCAACGACCCTGTCGCGCCCCTTGAGACGGCTACCGAGTACTCTGTCCCGTCTACCACCTCGAGCGAGCGCAACCATGCCTACACCGACACGGAGGTCCTCGAGGCGCTACACGCCGCCGGCTGCCGTCGTGTCGCTGGTATAGCCCCACAGAACGCGCCGCTCATCATCTCGCAGCGCTGGCAGACGGTGTCGCGCTGGAAAGGGCAGGAAACGGAGCTGAACCGCGAGAACGACGGTATGCGCTGCGCCATCGAACGAGCCAAGATCGAGCTGCGCGAGATCCGCCTGTCAGTCAACCACCTGCTACAAAAGAGGGCGACTGAGGAGCTTGCGATACGACAGCGGAAGCACAAGCGCGTCCTGCGCCAGGTGTCGGCGCACTTGCATGAGCTGCGGTACGAGATACAGAGCAAGCTCGACGCTCTCAAGTGCTCGCAGACGCTGAATGAGAGCATGAAGACGGAGCTGGCCATGTTGCAGCTCCAGATCAAGGAAGAATGCTCAAGGGTAGACATGGCCAGCCCCGACGAGGTACAGAAGGCCGTCTCGCAGCACTTCCGGGACAAAATGACTGCCGTAGAGCTAGCTGACTGCTTCTGAAGCGCTTACTCGCGGTCTTGGTGTTACGATGCGAGAGGACCGTTGCTCCGATGAGCTCCCATGGCCGCCTATAAGACCAGTCTGACCGTTGGGTCGCCCACCGTAGCGAGGAAGTGTTCTGCTTTGAACAGGGGCTGAATATGGTTAAAGACTAAAGCAGGATAGTGCGCTATGGTTTTGTTTGATGTCGTCCATTCTTGTTTGGAAGCACAAGCAATAGGGAGATTTTGCTTCCTCGAAATTGCAATATCCCTCAACACAAGAAAGGTACGGAATTAGGCACACCTCTTGAGTCGGATGCTCGGCTGATGCCAAGTCCTAATTAACAGTCATAAACCTTCAAGGTCTCTACCGGTTTCTTCCCGAAGAGGCCCAGTGCCGAGAAACCAACTTGCTCAATATTGAGATGTCCTCAGCTGGAGTAGCTGACTATCAGGTACTGCTAAGCGGTTGTCATCGAGTTGGACCGTTGTGTACCTTCCACAATACTTTGGGTGTGTTCGGCCCAGTGTTTTGAGTACGATATCCTCACTGCGTGGAGATTCAAGAGGCCTGTTGGAATATTGAATCGCTAGCCTAGAGGTTATGAAACGCGGCTGGGCACCGGTGGTGTAGGTAGCTAGAAAAGAAAACCTTCATCGCTGTTGGTCTGATGCATGGGAAATGAACAGATGTATGTGTGTGATAAAGGTACAGGGAGATGTACGTAGATCTCCTAGGCGGTGATTAAATTGTATCAAAGCTTCGAAAAAAGCGATCAGACTCCGAAAGCCGTTTCCGGGGTCTATGTACAAAACCGTATCCGGATTCTATGCGTTTCTTCTTTTCTTCCAGCAAAAAAGGCCTTCCCATTTGCCGCCTCCTTAAATTTTTTCCCCGCCTTGCTATGGTCACATCATGAGAGGAGCATTATACACCGACCGGAACGCCCAGTTCGCTGTTCCGGGAATCGACAAAATATCGTAGAACATAATGGTACAAGAGGAGCTTTACAAGCTGCCGAAGCCTCTAGCAGTCAGCCAGCAAGCTCCCATGGTTTTGAAATAAGACCTCCTTTGTTGAGAGGTCGATTTTGGAGTCGAGATAACAGTCATGCAGATTGCCTTTAAGCATTCTTCACGACGCCGACCTTGGCGGCACGCATGACGCGACCGTTGAGTTTGAAGCCCTTCTGTTGAACGTGGAAGACGGTGTTGTCCTCCTTATCGGGCTGGGGCGCCATGAAGGTAGCGTCGTGCTCGTTGGGGTTGAACTTTTCGCCTTCAGGGTCGAAGCGCTCAATGCCGTGCTTCTTGAGCGTCGACATAAGGATGTCGTCGGTCATCTTAAGGCCTTCGTACAGGTTGGCAAGATCCTGCAGGTCGCCCGTCTTCTCAGGGGCGTTGATCTTGTCCTTGGGCACCATAGAGAGGGCGCGGTCCAGGTTGTCAATGCTGTCAATAAGGTCCTTGGCGAACTTCTGCAGGGCGAAGTCGCGCGCCTGCTTGACCTCGCGTTGTGTGCGGTCCTGGAGGTTGCGGAAGTCGGCGACGGTGCGCAGGCACTTGTCCTGAAGGAAAGAATGTTAGAATCTAATGACGGATTATGATGGCCGACATCGGTCGGCATAATGCGGACGAACCTTCCAGTCGGCAGCCTCCTTCTCCTTGGCCTCCAACTGTTTCTTCAGAGCAGACTCGGCATCATCGGCGGGCTTCTCACCCTCCTTGGGGGGCTCGGTGGTCTCCTTGGCATCGCTATACCATCTTGCAACGGCGGGCTGTGCGGCGCGTATCCTGAAGACAGGGGAGCTCTGAAACTGGTTTTGGAAAACAGACTTGGTGACCTGGGTACGCAAGCCGGACCGCATAGCGCGGGATGAAGTAGCGATAGCTTGTCTGAACATTGTGGCGATTGGAGGGTTGCGGCGAGGGCCTTGAGGGAGTCGAAGCGTGATTGAGATCGGGGAGGCAAAGCTTTTGAGAGAGTGAAATTTTATCGGAATGGCCCCAAGCCAAGTGACGAATTGCCGTCCCTTGCTCCCGAGCCTGGGAGACTTTACGCCCAATCAAAAGATTCTATCAGAGCTCCATCCCGGGGCGGATGAATCAAGGAGCCGACAAGAGCTTTATCGATAGCGCTAGTGCCAAGACGAGGCCAACTGACACGCTTGCCTGCCAGACGCCTGCACCTTCCAATTGGTAATTGGGTGAGTGGCACCTGCGACGTGCTTTCCCTTTGCCTCTGGTCGCAAAAATATCCATTTCAGCCTCCCCTCCAGCGGCCGCCAAATCCTCCCCCGTTCAACCCACTTGCACCCTCGATAATTACGATTCCAACGGCGTCCTTGCTTTGCACACAAGCAAGCGAAATTCGAGATTTGGCTGCCTCAAAGACTTGCTTACTTGCAGGAAACTTTGACCGAGTCTCGGCTTTTGAAAGGAGAAAGACGGCGCGATGGATTACGAGCCCATGCTGCTGGACGGCGAGTCTGGGGGACCGTCGATCAAGATCTCGGGGGTACTTGATTCCTTCTCAACTCCCTCAGTTGGTGGCTTGAAGACTGACAGCCTGGCACTCGCTTAGGCCGACAACATCCACGTCAACTTCGACCTCTCCAACTGCGACCTCTCCTTCGCCAACTCGCTGCGTCGCGTTATCCAGGCCGAGGTCCCTGTGATCGCCATCGACCTGGTCGAAATCGAAGCCAACACGTCTGTCCTCGCTGACGAATTCATCGCCCACCGTCTGGGGTTGATTCCTCTCCAATCCAAGGACGTCAACAGCCTTCTCTACACCCGAGACTGCGACTGTGAGCAATACTGCGACAACTGTAGCGTGAAGCTTACCTTGCATGCGCGTTGCTCATCGGACGAGACCATGAAGGTATATGCAAGCGATCTCATCGTCGACAGTTTCAGACAGAACGGCACCGTAGGAAACCCGGTCATTCTCGACCCGGAAGGACAGGGCTCTTTGATCTGCAAACTGCGTAAGGGGCAGGAGCTCAAGATCTCATGTATCGCCAAGAAGGGAATCGCTAAGGAACACGCAAAATGGATGCCAACGTCCGCCGTGGGCTTCGAGTACGACCCTCATAACAAGCTGCACCATCTGGACATGTGGTATGAGGAGGATCCCAAGGCCGAGTGGTAAGTGATGGCAGTATGGTCCGGCGATGCGCGCGCATTAACTTACTTCCGATCCAGGCCCGATAGCAAGTACGCGAAGATGGAGGACCCCCCTCAGGAAGGGGAGCCGTTCGACTACGACGCGGTACCTAGCAAATTCTATTTCGAGGTGGAGAGCGTGGGCAGCCTCGAGCCCGATCAGATTATCCAGGAGGGAATCAAGATTCTCCAGGAAAAGCTGGCCTTGACGCTCCACATCCTCACCGGCGAGGCGGACGACGACGGCATGGGTGACTTTGACGGTCCTCGTAGTCCTAACCTGGATATGGACGGCGGCAACCCCTGGCAAGACCAGGGCTACACCACGCCCTTCAACGGCGGTGGGCAGAGCTCGTGGGGTGGCAATGCGACAACGCCGTACGCCACCACTACACCCTACGGTGCATCTGGACAGTCTGGCTGGAACTGAGAGAGGACGACGAAATCAATAAAGCACAAAATGGCGTTTATGTACGAGACCAAGTCAAGAATGGGGTGGCAACTGGAGTTTGCGAGTTTTTCTGCGAAATAGCCGACTTGAATAACAGTTGGTCAAGTCAATCCGGCAAGAAAGTATCTTGGGTTTGCTGTATCAAATATCGACCGGATCAGGTACGCAAGCACATGAGGTAAGGCAGGGAAGGAGTCTTCCTGATGCCTGATCCAGTATTTCCGGCGTCATTTAGGTCTGAGCCGAGACTGGCTCATAAACGCCCGCTAGGGGCATGACACCAGGAAAGAACCTCAAAAAGGAGAAGTGGTCAGGGGCCGAAGGAGAAGGGAGGGACAAACAGCGCGGCATACGGGTCGACGGTCCAGATACCTTTTAATACAAAAATCACGCATATCAAAACGGTTCAAAGGAAGAAAACACAAACAAAGCCCTCTCTCTATTTGGCGTCTATAAACCATCCAGGACTCCTCTCAAATGCAGCAGATTGCCTCTATCCAACGCCTGCTAATCATACCCAAGATGCTGGTGCTGTCGACAAAAGCGCAGCACCGGTCTATCAAACCGATTAATCTATACAACAAGCTCCGTGCGTGTGTATACTCTAATTTGTTTTTCACCCCTTAATGGACGACTCCTCGCTGTCGCCAACGCTAGTGGCTTTTCTATAGACCTTGCGGTGCATTTCTAGGAAGATGAATGTACAGATGGTTTGACTGGGCGATGAAGTTAGCGTTTCCGTCAGGTATCGCGAGTATATGAGATGGGGAAGAGAGAGAGGGGGATAGAGAGAGAGAGAGAGAGAGCGAGTTAGAGGAAAAGGAGAAAAACGGGGGGGATGGGTGGTTCAAGTGAAATAGAAGGAGAGGGAGAGGGAAGACGGCAAAGAAAGACGTACGGTCCAAGGCGGAGGAAGCTGGGCACCCAGCCATTGAACATCCACCTGAAGCCCTCGGCCTTGTAGATCTTGGCCAGCGTGAGCGCCAGCCCCTCTTGGGTGGTCGCCGACATGACACGGGTCTTGATGACGTCGATGGGGCTCGTCACGGTGGCTGCCATGACGCCGGCGAGGAAGGAGGCGGTAAAGTGCGTGGTGAGGGTATCCCCCATGGGGGTGTGGCCGATCAGCAGGCCCTTGAAGGTGTCGTACGAGGCGAGCTGGGAGGCCGTCATGGCGGCGGCGCGCATGCTGTTGGGCAGCACACCGCGGAACCAGCTCCCAAGGCCCTCCTCGCGGGCCATGCGCAGCATACCCTCGAGCGCGTGGCGGTAGTTGCGGCGCTCGGCGGCAGGGAGTGCGGCGTCCTGCTGCATGCGCACATTGAGGACGTCGGCAGCGTTGCCGGAGATGCCGCCGACGAAGCCCGAGGCCGAGGCCATGGCGACAAGAACGGGGAAGGACGGGGCCTTGCCGCCGTTGGCGCGGGTCGCGCGGACCTTCATCTCCTCGTAGGCGCCGAAGCGGACGGTGGAGTACGTCATCTGCCGGAGGAGCGATGCCGAGAGGCCGTTGTAGAGGCCGGTCACGCCGTGGTTGCGGAAGATGTGGGCGAAGGTGCCGCTCATGCTCTTAGGCGCATCCGGGCGGCGGACTTGCAGGCGGACCTAGAAGCATTGTGTAAGTATTCTTGCATTAGTACAATCCCCCTCCCCCCCCTCCACCCTCCTTTTTTACGGCTTCGCGGACCAATTCGCGATTGTAGGCCGGAGTGGAGGGGTTATGGTGTTTCCTGTGACAACTGCGCGTACCTTGACTGTGAGACATTGTTAGCTCTACAGCTCCGATATCGCGGCATCGCAGTCGGCCTTCTTTTTTCCTTCCCCCCCGCTCTGTCACGCAGAACGCAGTGTGAGGCACTTACCCAGATCTAGGGGGTGGGTTACGCAGGCGGCCATGCTGCTGGCGCTGCCTCCGAACCAAAAGGGGTATCGCATCGACGGCTGCGTCGTCTTCTTTTTCGTCGTCGCTGTCGCCGCCTGCCTCGGCTGCGGTTGCGGCTTCTCCTGGCCCTCCGTCTGCCCCATATTCAACGACGACGGCGCATCGTCGGCCGGTTTGCTGGCGATCATGTTGGCGGCGGCGGGGGACTGCATCGTTGCAGCAGCTATGCAATATCCTCTGCCGAGCTCATCCCGCTGCGGCGGCGCAAAACTGAAACCTGCGTCGCTACCAAGGTGGCAGACTCGGTTTCAATGGGAGGAAGAATGGCAGTCGGTATCCAAGGTTGCCCTGCGTCGGCAATTGTGAAAAAGGTTCCGGTCGGTCGGGCGGCGCTGTGGATGTCCCTCTTCTTTTCTGTGCGAACACGTCGAAAAATATGAGTCCTTTCGAGGGAGGTGGCAGGAGGCTTGATTAATTTTTCCCTTTTTTTTTGTTGATTTGCTAAAGACTCTTGCCTTGACACGGAAAAGAAGGGTGATGAGAGGAAGAAGCCAAGTGGTTCCCAGAATCGGCCCGTATCGCGAACTTTTTTTCTGTCGCTATTTCTTTTCTGGAAGCCGATCCGGCCGGATGACGTTTCTGCTCGGCTTAAAGAAAATAGCCTGCTGCTTCGGCTTTTTGCTGCTGCGTCATAGTTGTAGTGGCAGGGGGGTAAGTATCATGCGCTAAGGAACCCCTGCGCCGGGTCGGTAAGGCCTGACACGTGGGTAGCTTTTTTATTCGGGGTCGGATTTTCCTGTGATGTTGAAGCTCTCTTTTTGTTATTCCACGGCTTTTCGAACCACGTCGAGACACCCAACAGAGAAGCTCCAGTGCTTGTGATGACAGCATAGCACAAAGGCATAGACAAAAAACCACACGACAATGCTCGTTCCCAGGTTGGCCGGCAGGCAATTGCAGCGAAGCTGCTTCCGTGGCGCCACCTGTCGCGGGGCTGCTTCTGCTCGACAATGGCAGACGCTGGCTTCGCTGTCCATGAGCAGCCGGCGTGCCTACTCCTCAGGTCAGACCGATCCGATCCTGACCCCCTTGTCTGCTTTCTAAACTGTGCATTGCAGAATCCCCGACCCCGAGCAACGAGACCGTTGAGGTCAATGGCCGGACCATCCCGACTGACGACTGGTTCAACGTTCCCAAGGCCGTCCTCAACGCGGCGTCGCGCAAGCTCCACCTCCAAAAGGACCATCCCGTGTACATCACCCGACAGATCATTGAGTCGCAGTTCCCGGCGCCCACATACCGGTACCACAACACCTTAGACCCTGTCGTCACCACGCACCAGAACTTTGACTCGCTGGGCTTCCCCGCCGACCATCCCGGCCGCGCAAAGTCCGACACCTACTACTTGAACAAGGACACGCTCCTGAGAACGCACACCAGCGCGCACCAAGCGCAGACGTTCAAAAGGAACCTGAGCGAGGGATACCTCATCAGCGCCGACGTCTACAGGCGCGATGCCATCGACAGGAGCCACTACCCAGTCTTCCACCAGATGGAGGGCGCCCGCATGTGGGACAGGACCAAGGTGCCCAACGGCGACATTGCCGCCGCTGTCTGGGAGGACTTGAATAGGCTGCCGAAGCACAATGTCAAAGTGGAGGATCCCCATCCCGCCTACGACGCGGAGCGCAACCCCCTACAGGAGGGCCACCACTCGCCCGCCGAGGCTGAGGCCATCGGCGCTCACCTGAAGCGGTCTCTGGAGAACATGGTCGTCGAGATATTCACGAGGGCCAAGGCCGCCGCTGCCAAGGCGGACCCCGACTACAAGGACGAGCCCCTGAGAGTCCGCTGGGTGGAGGCGTACTTCCCCTTCACGAGCCCCTCGTGGGAGCTCGAGGTCTACTGTGCCGGGGACTGGCTCGAGGTGCTGGGCTGCGGCGTGGTGAAGCAGGACATCTGCGTCAACGCGGGGGTGCCGCAGCAGCTCGGCTGGGCCTTTGGCATCGGCCTCGAGCGCATCGCCATGCTCCTCTTCCAGATCCCCGACATCCGCCTGTTCTGGTCGCAGGATGAGAGATTCCTGGGCCAGTTCAGGGGCGTGTCCGACCAATTGGACTCGATGAAGCGCTTCGCGCCCTTCTCCAAGCACCCGGCCTGCCCCAAGGACGTGTCCTTCTGGCTCCGGAGCACGTCCGCGGCCGGAGGGAATACCAAGGCCAACACGCAGGACTTCCACGAGAACGACTTTATGGAACTGGTGCGGGACATCGCCGGCGAGAAGGTCGAGGACGTTCGGCTGGTGGACGAATTCACGCACCCCAAGACGGGAAGGCGCAGCATGTGTTATCGCATCAACTACCGAAGTCTGGAGCGGACCCTGACCAACAAGGAGGCCAACGAGTTACATAGCGAGGTGACCCGTAAGTTGGTGGAAAAGCTAGGCGTCGAAATCCGTTAAAAAAATGACCTTTACTTGACGCTGGTAGCCGAGGGCTTAGGGGGCTGTGCTACCGATGTTTTCTTGCAGCTCTTCAGACGTCACGTTACGGCTCCGGGTTGAGCGAGTCCTCGGGCACGGCATGGTTAGCAGACCCGGCGTAAGCTGTGCGCCTTGCTCGGGGTGTGTTGCGGGAAAGTGCACTGCCAAGCCGGCGGACGTAACTCGACTCCGCCCTGCCGAAGTGAAGAGAGGAGGGTTTGACATGGAGGTGTCACGCCATGTATCATAGAACGACTTGTACTATAACGCCGTATGGTGACCGAGGTCAGAGCCTTGGGTACCTTTTGCGGGCTGAGCCTTTGACCAGAAGTTCAGGGTAATTACGGGGACTCGGGATTTTCTTGGATCCCGCCTTGCAGCGGCTTTGTTTTGATGGCTGTGTTTCGTCCTCGGAATTGCTTCAAGAGGCACAACCGTGATGTGCACCGGCATCGGGTGAAAAAACAGCATCATTTATGACGGTTGGAAACAGCTCAACGCCGAAAGAGCGCCCGACCGCCACCATCGCCAACGCCCGAGCAACGAGCATACCAGACTCGCCTTGCCAAGAGTTCTCGAACGAACCCTTGCCTCCCACTTGCGCGCGAAGGGAATCGTCGGAAGGTTCTGAAGCAGTGACGCTGCGGTTGCAGATCGTTGTGTCAGGCGTAAAACCTACCGGCACAATGCGTCCGCCGTCTGGGACAAGTGCATTAAGCCTTGGGGTGGTGGCAGGGAAGGACAGGCACGAGAGAGTCTTGACCCGTCGTCCCAACCACTTGGGACGGTTGTGCATGTCGGTTTCATGTCCTTCTTTTCTTTAAAGATGGGGCCAACATCAGCCCGCCGCCGAGAGGCCTTGGAGTTTGAGAGTCGCAGTTGGAGAATAGAGTTGGGCACAGCCACGCTCGCGGTATTAAGCTCTCTCTCTCTCTCGCCGTGCATCATACTACCGGTACCGGTAGTTAGTGTAAGCTGTGACTGTCGCAAGTTTATGCTGACACCCTCCCCCCCCCGCCTTCAAGCGGTTCCTTGCAAGCTGTCCAAACGGATGAGATGAGTTGAGTGTGATGCTTCAGGTTAGACTAAGTAATATCGAGCTTATCGGGTGGCATTCTTTCTGGGCAAGCATTATCTCTGTTGCAGGGAAGTCCCCACAGGATGCCGAGATAAGGTCAAGTGCCACGAGGGTAACAATCGGTGGTGTCCCAGTCGTAGAAAACGGTGAGATACGGCTCGAGGCGCAACCGTACCTAGACAGAATCTCGAGTGGGTTGAAGGACGTAACTCGAAGGAGGGGGGGGGGAAGGTGGCAGCACCAGCTAGCGGAGCGCAGGAATGCAGGTCTTGGCCCAGAACGGCGTCTGGGGAAGCCGATTGCATCGCGCGAAACATCAATCTGGCAGGTCGGAGGTCTTGGTATCCAGCACAGCCCCGTTTCCAGGTCTCCAGATGGGAATCTGCTGACTGTTGCCGGTTCCAGCGCCCCGCCGCGTAGCATTCGGGAAGGGGTTTTTGCGTCGAGCCGGAAATTGGGTCGAAACATTTGATGAGTGGCGGCAAACACAATGCGGGAAAATTCGTTTCCCGCATTGATAGGAATATTGGCTTCAAATTTCGTTTTTATTTGTTTTTTTCGCTCTCCGTTTCTTCTCTGCCGTGCTCGGGGATATACTGTTGGGTGGGCTGAAGGACAGGGAGTTTGGGGTCAGATGAGCGCACTTGTCTTTTGTTCGACAGGCAATGGAAGGGGCTGAGGCTTGGTGTAATTTGCCCCAAGCTGGCTGAGCAAAGACAAAACTCGTAGGTTGACTCGTAACAGACGGGCGGAGTTTGCGCCGCGACTTCAACCACATGCGAGGCTTTCCGCGGTCCCATTCCCACGATGCTCCTCACACGAGGCCGTGAAATGCCTTGCCCCTGTCTCCAGAGGGCGTTGGTTCATGGCATGAAGCGGCGAGGCAGGCCGGCGCACCTGACACTGCGGTTGTCGAGAGGGGCTCTGCATCATGAGCACCACCTCTGTTGCCAAGCCGCAGCCCCATACGATTGATGCTGGGGGCTGGACGAGTTCGTAAGCCAAGACCAACGAGGCAACAATCGATCACAAACGATCGAAGGTAGGCTAAAGATATCCGAAAACGTTTCGGAGAGGAGAGCAAGACCGAGCAAGGGTGGCTTCTCATGAGACTCGAGGAGACATGGCTACCAAACCTGACAGCAAAGCACAAACCCCAAGTGTCGTAGATACAGTAATCAAGCAGCCAAGCAATGGCCAAGTAATCAATCATATCGTGTAAAGAGAACAACTATTGCACAGCCCCAATCCCCTCTATCAAACTTGTCGTGAACTTGCCGTGCTGGGAAGTCGACTCGGGATCCCTGGAAGACCCTTGGCCTTGAGCACGATGGAGCAAAAGCGGGGGGTTCAGCTGTCGAGTTGATGGATCTCGAACGGCAAAGCAACAACGAGCAAGTGTGCGCCTGTACGGATAATATGCATCTGTAGGTAACGTTGATGTTCGGAGCATGCCCGAGTCCAGAACTGGGTAGGTTTGTTGGTTGATTAGAGCTGCAGGTGTCTCCGTCGTCGACGATTGGTTGGAAGGGACGGATGCACGGGAAGCATGCATGGCAAGACTCCAGACCTCGGAAGAAGGCGAGAATGAGGGCGGTGCCAGTGGCCGGAGGCTGACGGCGTGTTTGCCGTAGCAGGCCATGTGCCTCAGTTTTGTCATGTTTTGTTTGCGCCGTGTCTCGCGTACCCGGGAAACGTACGTGAAGGGAAGCAAAGAGGGATCCAAGGGCGAGACCAAACGACGAGGTGGATGTGGACGTGGAGGGATACGGTTGACAGGGGCGAGGGATGGACGATGCGCGCGTAGTGTTGCCGCTGCGGCGAATTAGCGGGTCGGGGCGTTGTTTCCCCAGCAGTTGGGAGAAGTTGTTCGCGCCCCGGGCGCCCTGCTGTTGTTGAAGAGAGGGAACTGGGCCCGCTGGGCTTGTGGTGTGGGGTGAGGTAGCCACCGTGATGACAGGGCGACTTTGGTCGTGTTGTGGACGAATACATGAGGAGGCGTGCGAGGATTGAGCCGGCAGCAACGACGCAAGGTCCACGCCTGACTGAAGCTCAAAAGACTCTTAGACAGCACTGCCCTGGCGGCGCACGGCAAAGTCGTCACAGTGGAAATTAGCGATTGAGAAATGGCAACGCCACCGTAATAGTACGTGCCCCGGTCCGGCGTTTGCTTAGCTCATCCGTTAAGATGCGGGATCAGGGCGCGTGACGGTGTTGTATTGTGGGTAGGCAAACGACCGAGGTGGCGAATGGAATTCTCGACAATTCAATTCCTAGCGGGGCGAGCCAACCATCGGCCCGTCGATTCGTCTACGGCATGGAAAGGGAGGGCGATATATCAAACTACCTTCAAGGTATGCTGGATTGGTAGTGCACATACTGGATCCCGGCAGGCATTCCTTGGGATGCGTCTGGCCACCAGACGCCAAGCCGACTCGAGCAGACAGAAAAGAAAAAGGAGAGAAAAAAAAAAAACCAATACCTGGGTTTCCTCTGATTTTTTTCCTCCTCTTTACTTTTGCACAGCCCCAGCCAGGTCAGCAGGTGTTACTAGTACTATGCTACTAGTACTAGTCCCTGCTTGACTGCTGGCTAGGTACTCAGTAGAATGGCCCCGTGCCGTGGACCTTCTGCGCTCTGTGCTCGCTTCCCGCTCGTCCTCGCAGTTGCATGGTAGACATACCTAGTAGCATGCATGCCTGCCGACATCTCGCATTCTGCGTAGAATTACTAGAGGTAGCACAAGCATTCAATAGAGAAACCCAATCTTTACATCGTGATGGAAGGTGCCGCTTCTCGTCTGATCCCGACAGTTCTTCGCCTGCGCCAATCAATCAACCTTGACAAACCATCAAGCGCCTTGCCTTACTGCACCATCTACCTCATCGACAGACAGCCATCACTCCACTTAGACGCTGCCCCGGTGCACTCGCACTGCGTGACTGCAAAAGGAACATATAAGTAACGGCAGGCGTATCGCACGAGTTTCCAGCTTTTCTAAGCCTGCATGTACACGTATTGTTCGAACACGCTTCCTAGGTAGGTACTGCTGCGGCGGCTACAAAGGCGGCGAAACTCCAAACGGACCCCCCCCCGCCAGTCCGTGTGGCCTTCCCGTTTCATCACACAGACCAGACAACTAAGGTAGTTTGCTATGCAACCGCGGGTCTTGCACACACACCCTTAACCCACCGTTCGCACCCCTCCCCCCTCCCACCACTCTACTCAGCCATCCACACAAACACCGGATACTCTGTACACTAGCCGCTGGGCAGTGTAGGTAGTGTATGGATGCTATCTCATGCTCCACCCGGCCCAGTAGTCGCCAATAGCGACAGCCAAGCCACCCTCGCATAGGTGCGCTCAAACATATAACCAAGACCGCCGCCCACCAACCTCCATCATCTTGCATTCCAACTCCAGCACCAAACAAACAGGACGCATATACATATACTCTGCACATTGTTGAATGCAAACGAAGAAGCGCACCAAATCATCAACTTAGTAGCAAACCTTTGTTCTCCTCGCTTTCTGTCGCATCCGCCATCACACCGTCACACTCCAACCAAATCACACACACAATCGCTCAAAATGGAGTCGCCCAAGTCTGACACCCGCCCCATCTTCTCGAGGCGTTCAACCGGCTCCAACAAGTCGCTGTCTCTCGACCTCTCCTCCCTGCCACCTCTGGTCCAGCCGACGCCGCCCACAAACACTCTCCTCTTCACAAACCTCAACGACACTTCCATCTTCCGCCCCGACAACCTCCAGACCATCCGCGACCTCGTCCTCAAGACGGCACCCATCCACTCATGGGCACCCCTCAAGTCTTTCCGCCGCATCGTCGTCTCCTTCTTCTCCGAGGACGATGCCATCGCTGTGCGCCGCGTTTGGGACGGTGAAGCCGTCATGGGTGAGCGCGTCCGTGTCTACTTTGGCCAGCCTACGCCCGTCGAGGTCACCGACCGCCACCTTGCCCTCCCCGACGCCGGCAAGCTCTTCTTCATCTCGCCCCCTCCCTCGCCCCCCCACGGTTGGGAGATGAAGCTGGAGGACGCTCCCAACAAGATGGTTCACGCCGACGACCTCGCCGAGGCCCTTGCCAAGCTCCACCACCGCCCGACGGGAGTTCAGACCCCCGTCAGCCCCGTTGATGGCTCCCAGCAAACCCGCAGCAGGAGCTCTACCCTGCTCTACCAGCCCGGCGCCAACGGCACCAGCCCCGACCTCCCGGCCATCTGCCTCGAGGACATGACCGACGAGCCCATGGAGTTCAGCCCCATCGACAACCAAAAGACCATCATGGCGCACACCTCTCGCCCGCCGGTTGAGCTGATGCACGACGCATAAGACATTCCCAGCTTTTCATCTTATTTAACAAGACTTATCTCGCTCGGGCGTTAGGGTACTATATGGAGTATGGTGACACGGGCTTATGGCACGCATCTAGCATCTTGACATGGGTTTTGCGACGGCGTTTTGGGAAAGACAACGGCACGTATACTGGACAGGGTATAGGGAGGGTCGTTGTTATTATTGCATTGGATGGGATCGACACTCTACACTGTCGCTTCTGATGGCCATGAAGCCAGGTTAAAAAAAGTTTCTTATCTTACGGGGTTGCCTACAAGCACACCTTACGTGTACACTAGAGCTTCCTTTCGCGAGCGGCCTAAAGGCTGCGAAATCAAGAAAGCTGACTATTATCACATGAGCATAAAAAAGAAGTCTTGTGTGGGCCCTCACGTCTCAGCGTGCGCTTTTTGTGTGTTATGCCTTGTACCCCCAAGAATCTGCGGCAAAGACGTTCATGCCATGGGGGCCGTCATCGTTACAGCGCGCTCCATAAAAGACGTCCAGCCCCAGATTGTGTTTGATCTTCGCACATAATTGATCTGCGGCCGCGAAGCCGAGCCGAGTGGGGAGGGGAGTCGGGTACCGGATGAAATCCGATCGGGATCAGCCCGTGGCCCACGCTGCTCCGACTTGGTATGGAGTTTCTGGTTTCAACTTGGAATGACGTTCCTCTACGCATATAATCACATATGTGGATTGTCTTAGAGGTCGAGTGAAACCATTCCAGCGGCTCTCCTAAACAGCGACGAGGCGCCCCGTACGCCCAGCCAGGCGAGTAGCCCCGCGACGGTGACGGCGACCAGGAGCACGACGAGGCTCCGGCGCTCGTTCTTGCGCACACGGCGGCTGGCGAGAGCGGAACCCTGTACGGACGGGGTGAAGTGGCGGGACTGAGCGGCTGCCTCGGTGGACATGACGTCGAGGGTCGGGATATACTTGAAGTCAAAGTTCGTCTCTTTGCCGAGGGCGCCGAGCTCAGGTTTGTAGACCGTCAGGTTGAACAGGGCTTTCTTAAGTCTCTTTTTTTGTTGTTTCACGAACGGTGTTAGTCGAGGTTTGGCCCAGGAAACCCTCGAAAGGGGTGGGGGGCCGGGGGAGGGGGCATTCATTCACCTCGTTCCGAGACGTGTCCCAGTGCGGGAACAGACGGCGGGAGTAGCACATGGCCATGAAGAAGATGCAATGCCCGACGATGAGCAGGGAGTAGTAGAAGGGCGGCCGGGCGACGGCCAGCGCGCGGGCGAGCTTCGGGCCGTTGAGCCAGTATGTCTCGGCGGCGAGGAACTCGCGCGACACGTACGAGGGCGGCTGGTCGCACAGGCCGGAGAGGACGTTGTTGGCGAGCACACGCGAGGTGTCGGACGGCTCGATCTCGGACGCCAGGAGGGACTCCATCATGGCCCGTGCCGCCGACGGCGACGCGAAGGTGTCGGTCGGCGTGCCCATGATGTGGGCGACCCACCGCCAGAGCGCGAGGTAGTCGGCCTCTTCGGCGCGGGTGGGGTAGATGCCCTGCCGGGGGAGGCCTATCCAGAGGAGCGTGGCGGAGAAGGTGGAGATGGTGCCGATGCAGTCGAGGTCGTTGACGGGCACGCCCCAGGCCCGGACGTCGTAGTACGAGGGCCGCTCGGCGGCGAGGGCGAGGATGCGGCGGCGCACAGCGGCGTGGAGGAGGCGGACCCGCAGAGACGAAGCGAAGCCGTCGCCACCGGGCTGGATAGAGACGAGGTCGCGCGTCACCTGGAGGATGTGCTGGAAGGTCTCGAGGAGGCGGCGGCGGGTGACTTTGACGCCGAAGCCGCCGGTGCGGGAGAGCGTCTCGACCACGCGGCGGCTGCCCATGCCGCCGACCAGGGACTGGAACGTGAGCTGTGCGGTGTTAATGAGATTCTGTGTGAGACGGGCTTTGGGGGGAGGGGGGCGTTTACAGCGAAGATGGCAGGTCCAGCATAGCGGAGGAATACCTCCTGACCTCGTTCGATCTGGGCCCAGTCGACCCAGTCGGGGATGGTGTTGACTTCGCTCCACAGCTTTCCGAGGACCTCGTCCGAGTCCGCATTGTCTCTCAAGAGAGCGTAGAGGTCTCGGTCGGGCTTCGGGCCCGGAGCAATGTCGACCTTCTCGCCAGGCGGCGAGGGCTTTTTCGGCGGCGATATCTCATCCAGTCGGTCAAGCGCTTTTGCCCCCAGCTCATCATAGGTGTAGATCATGGGACGGAGGTCGTCACTCGTGAGATGTTGGTCGGTCCACTTGAACCAGTAGTCCCAGACTGATCGCCACTCCTCGCCTCTACACCACAGGATGCCGGCCATTATTGCTCTGAACTGCCGGATTAATGATACTCAATAATCTGGCCAGGAAGGTCTACCAGAGACTGAAGAGCAGAGGACTAATTACAAGGCTTTGACTGAGATTGGAATTGAGGGGAACAGGGTTGACGAGACACGGAAGTGTAGGTGGCGGACGCCACAGTGAACAGGGGCAAAACGAAGATTAGGGCTGAATGATTTTATCGAGTCCAAAGAGCGCATACTTAATAACACTCTCAAAACTGCTGGTATGGAACCAACCCGGTTCCCTTCCAACTTCAAGGTCATCAAGCCTGGATATGGGTATCACTAGGTCTGGGTGAACAGCACCGAGGCACCCCGCACTCATACTACAAGCAGAGCGAGATGGTTGCCTCTTGGGGCAAGGGAATGAAACACGGTTTGCTAGCGAATAAGGGATTGACACTGACACCTGGCTGACATTGCTAGGAAATGGCAGTAGTCATAAGGTTGGGAAGAGAAGATCGGCAATATGGGTTGTGAATCCCCGCACAGTGAGAGGCTGCCGAGAACATGGATGATGCCGTGATGTTTGTACGTGCATGATCTCGCCCCCCCTTCCCCAATCCGACATGGAGAGCGGAAGTGGCTTCTATGAAAGGCGGATGTACCGGGCTGATTGAGGAAAACCCAAGAGACGGAGTAAGAGAAGGTGAACTAGCCGGCAACTAGTTGCGGTGGGCTCATGACGAGCCGACAGAGTCCGAGTCCGAGTTCGAGTGCGGGTCAGCTGTCGCGCAAATTGAAGTCAAAAACGGGAGGGCGATTTAATTCGCTTTGGCAGCTTTCCGTCTAGAACCAACCAGTTGCTTGATAGCCCCTCCCCGCAGCAAGCACCGCACCGGTGGTGCCCGGCGCAGCGGCACCATTCCCCCGGGCCGCCCCTGGGATGGCCCCACTTTTCCTCGAGCCCCGTTCCGCCGTCCAGAGGCGCGACTGAATTAATTAGTCTCGAGCTTGACTTTTTTGCAAACGCCCCCTTTGACAACTTCGCATCCCACACCCCGACTCTCGACATCTCCCATTTCGATCCGAGTCCGCGAGATCCCGCAAGCCAATCATGTTCTGCTCATGTAGATTGACCTCCTTGAGGCTTTTTCTACAGGGCGTTTCGCAAACGCTCGTCTCCGAACCCGCCGTCGCGACGAGACTTTCCCAGCACCTCAAGAACCCCCACGCTCTGCGGCTCGGCCAGAAATCGACATTCGCAACCTCGGTAGCCTATAGCAGACATGACGACTGGCAAGGGTCCAGAAAATCAGGCACGGTGCTCGCGGAGAGAAAACACGCAACAAAGGACAGGAGGGGACAGGACGGCCACGCCGGCGAGGACGACCCCGAGGACGGTGCGAAGCCCAAAAGAGAACCCTGGCAGATCCAGAAAGAGGCCCTGAAGAAGAAGTTTCCCGAGGGCTGGAACCCGCGCAAGCGGCTCTCGCCGGACGCCATCGCGGGCATCAAGGCGCTGCACGCGCAGTTCCCCGAGGAGTACACGCTCCGGACGCTGGCCGACAAGTTCGAGGTATCGCCCGAGGCGATCCGAAGGATTCTCAAGAGCAAGTGGCAGGCATCGCCCGAGGAGGAGGAGAAGCGTCAGGAGCGCTGGTTCCGGCGCGGCGTCAGCGTGTGGTCGCGGTACGCCGAGCTGGGCATGAAGCCGCCCAGCAAGTGGCGCCGCGAGGGCGTCACGCGCGACCCATCGTACCACGAAAACCGCAAAGCGGCGATCCAGCGGAGGAAGGAAGAGGAGGCGGAAGAACACGCCGGGGAGAGGTTGCAGCGGAAGCTGTCTGACACGATTCTGTAATCGCCAGGAGCGACGATCTCTTTCTCGCATTCACACGGGTCGAATACCCCGAGGACCATCCCAGCTCTTAAATACCGGGCAGAAATCGAGCCTCAAAATCCAATATTGATCGAAACTATGCCAAAAAACAATAAACAGAAATCATCAAGTTTGATTCTGGTTTTATTGCTCATTTGACTGTCAACGGTTCCTTCAGTCCGGCTGTTTTATTTTCGCCCACCCGTCTCCCAATTTTATGGCCTGCCGAGGACCTGAGCTAATTTGAAGCACCAGTTTGGATCTTGACAACCTGGTTTGTCGTTTCCGGTGTCCAAAGCTTCATGTTCTGACTGGCACATTTCTTGAAGCCATTCCAAGGTTTCTCACACCCCTGCACCGTGATGCTTGGTCGTACTGTAGAGAACCAGGATCCTTGGAGGCTACTCCTGCATTGGCCGTTGTGCTGCTCCTTAAGTGGCTTGAGCGGTCATGCAGTCTTGAACGATATGATGAATGAATTATAGCACTCGATCGGTGCATGGTACCCAGCGCCACTGTACGCCCGACCACGGCGCTTACTCTCCCGTATTGGTCCTCGAGTCTTCACCAAGCAGTTGGTTGAATGCCAAGGCAATCCTCGGCAGGTACAGACACCGGAGTATCTTCTGATTGCTCGGTAAACCACTCATACACGAGAAGCCCCTCTACTGGAGGTCTGTCTCGGGAATTTGGTCTTGGGACCTGCCGACCCATTATCGGCAGGAGAAATTTCCTTTCTCGTCCACCCTTAGAGTAGCCTTTGCGGAGGTCCTTACTGGTGAAGGAAGAGGATGATCTAGAGGGTTTCCAGGTCAATGATGTCGGCAATCGACAGCGGAAACCGGCCGAGGGAGTGATACATGCGCTTCAGAATCATGATTTCATAATTCTGATCTTCTGAATTGACTCTTTCCCAGCCAGGGCGGAACAGTGGTAACCGCTTCGGTGCACCAGACTGAGAACCTGTCACAGGTGAGCCGAGGGAAGTGACGGCGAGCCGTATGTGGAGACATGCACGGCATTTCCAAAGTATCATATGTCTCGTCCATGTGTCCCAAGGAAGTCGGAATATGGCCTCTAGGCTACGTGCGAAGATGGCTCAAATGAAGTAGCCCTCCCCAGCGAAACCCCAAATCTCTATGGACAACGCCTCCATAGTCACCGAGTCGTGGACCTTTGAGACTTTGTCTAGTTCCAATCTAAAACTTAGTAAGCATTCAGAGGAGCCAGCCAAGATGAGCGCGTCATTGCGTACCCGTATGGAGCGGCTGACTCCCGTGATTCATTCATAATCAGAGTCTTGGGCTGGCGCATGGGAATGGAGGCCTCGTTCTATAAGTGCCAGTGTCCGCGGATGTTTTTCTCAACGCAACGTTTTTGTTTTGATTTTTCATCTTTAGAGTCCGGAAAGTATCGCATCATCAAATGGAGGTTCGCGGTTCAGGGGACGACAATATAGTAAAGCCCCTTTTGGGAAGGAGGGCGAAGCAAAAGACGATGAGGTCTCCCCTGGCTAAACAAACTGCGGCTTCGTCCACAGTCCCATGAAGCTAGCTCCTTGGAGACCCCATTCGGGCTGTGGGAGATAGTCACATTAAGAACTCTACGTACGCTATCATAACATAAACAAATACATCGACACGATGGCCGCCGTGGCTGCTACTCATGTATTCTGTAAGCGCGTGAATAACTTGACTCTTTAACAAACCAGCTCAGTATGTCGGGTCGGGACGAAGATGACAGCACGCCCTTACGGCTGTTGAGTGAACTGCCCGAGGAAGGAGAGTCAAAAAAGAATCCCCAAAAGAAACTTCAAGGACCGACCGCGGTTCGAACGCGGGGCCTAGAGATGGTTGCTGTCTAGGAACTGCAATCTCTCGCTCTACCACTGAGCTATCGATCCTTGCGAGCGGAACGATCGCTTAGTCATCTGAATCGCTTGACCGTCTGACCGCAATGTGGTCTCAAGGAGGCTCTCTCGCATGCGAAAAGCAGAGGTGCGAATGTGCACCATGTGGTTGGTTGGATACCCACGCATGCCATGCATGCTCGGTGACGTGGGGCCGGAGGCTTGATTAGCAAATTGTGCATGTGGCATTGTACTGACAAGGGGTCGGGGCAGAACCGAGCTAAACGTTGGAGCATCACAGCAAGATAAAGGGAGAGTAATTTGGAGAACGCAAGAATGGCATTTGAACACAAAAGTCTGATATTTGGGTACCCAGTGCTAGGTCCTTCAACCTAGGGCTATGTTAATTAATGTACAGGGCGAGGCCAGTCTAAACACGACGCAGGAGTTTCAGATACCCAGGGTGAACTCGACGCCGACATCAATATCGCGTGCTGCAAATCTCCGTTAGCAATGCTTCAGTGGATTCGAGGGTTAGACGGGAGGGAGAGGGGGCCAAGACTTACCCATCTTCACAACCTTGGACAGCTGGACGGCCTTCTCGGCGGCGGTCTGGAGATCGTCGATGGAGAAGATCTTCATGCCCGAGTTGTTGATGATCTCGTGGGCGGCCTCAACGTTGGTACCCTGCAGACGGGCGATGATGGGGATCTTGAGGTTGAGCTCCTTGGAGGTGTTGATGAGACCCTGGGCGATGAGGTCGCAACGGACGATACCACCAAAGATGTTGACAAAGATGGCGGAGACCTTGGGGTCGCTCGTGATGAGCTCGAAGGCCTCCTTGATGGCGGCGGGAGTGGCACCACCACCGACGTCGAGGAAGTTGGCGGGCGTGCCCTTGTTCAGCTTGATAATGTCCATGGTGGCCATGGCCAGACCGGCACCGTTGACGAGGCAGCCAATATCACCGTCGAGCTTGATGAAGTTGAGGCCGGACTCGGCAGCGCGGACCTCGTCGGCGTCCTCCTGGGTGGTGTCGCGCAGGGCGAAGATGTCCTTCTGGCGGTAGTCGGCGTTGTCGTCGAAGCCGAACTTGGCGTCCATGCAGAGGACCTTGTGGTCAGAGGTCTCGGAGAGGGGGTTGATCTCGATCTGGGTGGCGTCCTTCTCGAGGAAGATCTTGTAGAGCTTCTGGATGGTGTCCTTGGCGTCCTCGATGCACTGCTCGCTGAAGCCGAGCTTGACAGCGATATCGCGGGCGATCTCGTCGGTGACGCCCTTCTTGATGTCGATGTTGGTGGTGATGATAGCGTCGGGGTTCTCCTTGGCGACCGTCTCGATGTCCATGCCGCCCTGGGACGAGGACACGATGACGGGGGCCTGGGAGGCGCGGTCCATAAGAATGGCGAGGTAGAACTCGCGGCGGGCGAACTTGCGCTCGCAGATGTAGACAGAGTTGCAGAGCTTGCCGCCAGCGCCGGTCTGCTTGGTGATGAGCTTGTGGCCAATCATCTGCTCGGCGAACATCTCGGCCTCGGTAGGGGAGTAGATGACGCGAACACCGCCCTTGAGGCCGTTGTCGAAAGTGCCCTTTCCACGTCCACCAGCGAGAACCTGGGCCTTGATGACCATGTCCTCACCACCAATCTCCTTTGCGATGGCCTTGGCCTCGGCGGCAGACTTTGCGACGGAACCCTTGGGGACACCGACTCCATACTAGATTGACGGACCAGGTCCATACGTTAGCCATCGCGATCGTCCATCTACGCGTTCGTGGGAAGCTCTATTGAAAACCTGGCCTCTCCCGGCGAAAAGGAGAGTGGGGCGTTTCAATCGCGGATGCGGGTATGGGTGTTTACCTGGCGCAGGAGGTCGGCGGAAAGGTACTCGTGGATGCTGAGGTTTCTTCTTTGTTGCTGCGCGAGACCTGGGAATCTGGCAGGCGAGGCGGCGACCCTCGAGGAAGTTTGGATGGCAGAAGCCAAACGGCTGCGTCCGAGTTTGAACATGACTGAAGAGGTTTATGTATTCGTGTCGCGAGGAAGGGGTAAGGTTCTTCGAGACCCAGGGTTCGAAGAAGAGAAAAAGAGGCGCGCCGTCAATGAAATGATTGAGTCGGAAATCCCTACGGGTATGGAATGATGCGGCGCTTCGTAGGAGGGGAAAGGAACAAGGACCGATAAAAAAAAAAGTCCTATAGGTTTGTGCTGTGATGCAATTGGGTTTGCAGGAAAGCGCTATCTCCAAGCAATCTCAAACTGGAAAACCGAGTTTCGGGTCCGCAGGAAGGGTCCGCGGAAATTCCCGGTGCTGTGGTTATTCCTTCAGCCGAGCTAGTAGGTACACCAGTTAGCCGCCGCTTTTAGGCTCTACCTACTCTAGCGAAAACCGCCTTTCTCACAACAAAATCACAGATATTGTAAAGCTGATGTTCTATGGACTTGGTTATGTCTGAAAATAAACTCATCAGCCATGGTTTTTTTTTTTATACTTTTTTCTTACAGAGGAGGCGAGTCACTTTGCCTTAAGAGCCGAAGTATGGGTTAACCCCGTGACTTTCCGGAGGCCATGCGGTAAAAGCGGCTCTACATGGCTCGAGCTCTGGACCCCGTGCATCTGTCAAGACATTCGCACCAACCGTGAGCCACGTGTCTGTAGGAGGCGCCTCTGCAAGCTGATCATGTGGCGCCAAATCTTGACCTCTCTTTTTTCCAGACACTGTCACGTTCTCCTTGAGAAACGCTGTGGCCTGATCTAGAGGTACAGGAACCGGTTGAGCCGATGAAAAGCCGACTCACAGATATTCTCTGACAACCTCATCTCTGGCCAGACCTTGACCTCATCCGACTTCCCAAGATTTCAACCCTTCCAATCCATGTGCCAACTGAGACAAGTATTGGTACACTCAAGGTGACTTCGCGATGCCCTCACAAAAGCACACCATATGCTCTGGCTTCCAGATAGATTCCAACTCATGCTGAAATATAGCCTAAAGACTCTCAACTATTGCCGTATCAGCGAGACGTCATGAGTTCCACATAATTGCAACTTAGGCCAGGGACTCACCAGTCGAGTCGTCCACTTCTGCTAGCATAGCAACCTACAATGACTGCCGGCTTTACCTTGTTCTCTGAGAACTTAATAGTTGGTCAAAAGGCCGATGGTCGTGCTAGTCAACACGCCCTTCGTGATAGGGCTCTGAGGCAGACACGTAGCCAAATCCCGCCGTATCAGAGCCATCCTGATACACCGACCAGGATCGGCATATGTGCACCAGTGTATACGTATGCGGGCTTTTCGTCCTTAAATTTCGAATCACCGTCAGGCTGATAAGGATCGCGAAGAAGCTTATGACCAGCCGTAGAGTACGCAGCCGAAACCCTCTACTTGAAAGCCACCATCTACCGATCTTGCTGCGTGTTCGGTGTTCGACACTCATTGCATTCATCGATGTCGTAACAAGCCCTCTTTTGGCGTTGTCTACCATGGCAAGTACGATTGGAAGGGTTGACAGTAACCAGTCTGGTAGGCTTGGCATCGCTTCGCATTGGGAGGTGATGTTGGGTGCGGCGCTCCCGCTGACAGCTTTCATTGTGGGCGATAAGGTGTAGCAGGATACCTGGAACGAACGGTATTCCTCGGTATTTTGCGTTTCGGTTATGACCTCCGGGACGCCGGGCGGTCGACTGAAGGGATTCTTGGGTAACGCAAGCTGGGCGTTGCGTGCGCTCTGCGAACGGTGGTTGTGCCAGGTGGACACATCGGGCCAGGATGTAGAACGTTGGGAAGCATCCATTGCAATTCCAAAGAGCGAGGCATGCGAACGTAAAACTTCGGCTCGATCCGAATTCATTCCTGCCCAGCATATGTGTGGGTATTGGTCCGTATTAAAGCTGGGATGGCTGAGGTCGTCCAAGCATGAAGCAACACTTCAGACGAGTTGTCGGCAAAGACGATCATCATGCAGACCGCTAGGCTAGATCGAAAGCTGAATCCATGAGATGGATCGAAAGCTCAGGCCTGTTCCATGGAGAGCGGTCCCTTTCAAGGTCAAGGGCCACTCGCCAGTTGTGGTGGTCGTCTCGGAACCGGATTCTTAAAGGATGTACGATGTATTACCAACAAGCAATGATTAGATTCAACGGTGCTGCTGTGGCTGGTCGTTCAGATGCAAGGTGCACCACTGCATGACCGTTCTTTGTCGCGACTTTGGGATGACCCCTGTCTTGGTCTTATGTGCTGCTCTCATCTTGACTCAACAGCACTTATTGCTCTGAGGTGTGGTGAGCTTTGTCAAGAAAGTAGAGGAGGACGAGGAGGAGGAGGAGGAGAAGAGGAGAGGAGCGAATGGAAGAAGAGAAAAGCAAACCCGCGAAAGACACGTTTGTGCTGACTCCTATATCGCCAAACGCCGCTCATATTTGCTGATCAGGCCATTCCACTCCGCAACCCCGAGGTGCCTCCACATACAGCATCTATCGGCCCAAAATGGAGACCCATTCGGCTATTGCGGTTCTCGGATGAAGGGCGTCCACAACGGAGGTTCTCCACCGTGAGGTTCGTTAACATGCTGCCGTCCGCGTAGAAAAGGAACCTAGCCCCCCCCCCGTCCTACACCCCGGCACCAGAAATAGCGTTCCCATGTACTCCGTATCTGTTTTCTCCCGTTCATGGGAATTTTCTAGCTTGATGCTAGCCGGAGCCCGCCCGATGGACACATGCCGACGGTCTCCCGCATGTGCAAGGGTCGATGACGCTACTTGTGGTTTGCTCCATACCTGGGCCTCGACGACGGGGTCGGTCTGGACTTCAGCACTGTCGTCGGGAGGAAGCCGTCATTTCTCCTTGCTATTCGTTCCTAGCCTCCACTCTCAACCGAACCGATACAACGTGTCTTTTCAGTGTCTCCTTCGACGAAACAATGGTGATCTCGGAAGAGATTGCATAGTTTCTGCAGCCAACATTTGATCGACAGGGTGATCCTCACCTTGCATGGCAACAGAGCGCGGTTACTGCATCCCCCCTGCGCCCACAACATTGCAGCGAGATGGCCACAAAACATTAGGCACCGGCCAGTACAACGTTGGAAGCTCTCCAATTCCTCGAAGGAAAATCTGATTTCATGATAGCAGGGGATCCACATCGTATGTTGAAGGTAGGAAAGTGAAGAAAAGCGGGTACAAACATCGCGAAGTTCTCCGAATCAGTACCGAGCCAACCAAACCAGTACGTACCAATACTTTATTTGGAGGCCCCGAAACCGGGTCACAGCCATATTTTTTGCTACTTATTGTTTCTTACCATGCCATCTTTTCAAGTTATCTACTTTACAGGGGGATCGACTGACTCTTGTGACACACTGAGCAGCAACAGAGTCCTCGGCGTACCAGCAAGAGACGACCCATGTGTGGTGGCGCATTTGCATGTGCGCCGGCGGCGACAGCCAGCTGTGCTAGGCAAGCCAGTAAGGCTCTTGTCCAAATCTCGGCGTCAAGCCTTGCAAGTGCAAGGCCGTCGTACACTCACCTGCACATGCAGTCCATACGTATAGGGTCCCACAAGCCGTTCTCTTCGATTCGGCTCGGCGCCACTGTCTCGGGGATCTCGTTATCGTGTGTATATAAGTTTACTTGTCCCCCTCCCCGAGAAGGTCCCTCTCTCCCCGAGTATTTTCATGTTCATTCCGTTTCTTGCCTTCGTGTAAAGGGCACTTGATGCTTTGCAGCCTGAGGGGACACCGTTCGACCTTTGTCCTTCTAGTCGATCCCTACTTGTACCCTGAGTCTGGACTTGGTTCTGTGGTTTCTTGATCTCTCACCTTCACTTGAATACTCTCGTCGGCACTGCCACTTCACCCATTCGCCTTTACGATGTCTTCCGAGCAAAAGCTCCTTAGTTGGTGGAAGCGCCACTGCACCCCGCCGCCGGCCATCAACCGCAGCCCCCAATGCCCATGCTCCGCCTGCTGGAACGGCAATGGCGAGCATTGGAAGACGACCGCGTCAGAGGCAACAGCTCCGACCTTTGCGCCCACTCATAACGTCTTGAGAAAGGAGAGCCAAACGTCGACCCTACGACGAGGGGCCGAATCAGACCTCGAACCCCTCCGCCGTCAAGAGACGTCCTCGACCACGAACATCAGCGTCTATTCTCGAGAAAGCAGAGCCAGCTCGGACGGAGTTTCTCTCACCAACATTCACCGCCTGGTTCGAGAGACGGAAACCGTCTAGAGGAAGCGGGTGCGTCGACACAACGCGGCGGGCTGACCAGATCTGGGCCACGTTACCACGGCGGTCTCTTGGCGCCTGGGAGTCTGGGCTGTTCCTTTCTTCGCCTCTCTCTCTGTTCGACACGCCGGCGCCCCTTCATTTCGGGAAGGTTGGACAAAACCCCCTCAATCCTGCCCCAGACGCCAAGAAGCTGACTCTCGTTAAGAGACTGCTGGCGCAGTAGCGCAAGCGCAGTTGGTAGTCTAGATTTAGGGTTTGGGGTGCAGATAAAGGGTCCTTGGGTCGCAGTCGCTGGACGGTTTAGGACGCGCCGGCGGGCGCCCTAGCGGGGGGGACTGTTCCGTTGGGTTGGTGCGGTCCTAATCCGGGGGAACTGATAGGAGGGGAACAACTCTTGGAACCATGTGGTTGGCGTGCTCGCTCTTGGCCTGGGCTTGGAATGTTGGGGGAAAGTTGGGGTACTGATAGGGGCCGAAGGCTGGAGTTTGGCTCCCGCTTGTCAGCTGGTCAGGCGGGATGGGGAAGCAGCCAAACAGTGTCTTCTTAGGTTCTGGTCTGGTGGCTTCTGAGGGAACCATGCCCCGAGACGGTACTTGGAGATGAGGATGAGAGCGGGTCATTTGGTGTTGGTGTACTGCGGACGCCACTTGGTGTCCCATACTAAGTAATGGTCTGGAGTTGGATTTCTGGTCGATTTGGCGACAGATTATGGCTGTGCAAAGGCGTTACAAAGGAAATATATCATGGCACTATTTACGTAATTCACACGATAGATGATGGCGTGGTTTGTCTAATTTGTCTTGAGGCAAGAACGGGACGTGTTCTCGGCCCCATCCCGGCGCCGTTTTTTTAGTCCTGCACACACTGGGGCCGGATTGGAAGGCCGGGAAGAGCAAGGTCAAAAGCACGTAGGTAACACGTTGAGGCGGGTCTACCCACAAGGAAAGCACGAGCGAGGTCCGATGCACTCTACATGCAGAAGAGGAACAAAGTGAAGAAAAAGCAAAAGCCAAGGACCGACCGCGGTTCGAACGCGGGGCCTAGAGATAGTTGCTGATCAGGAGCTGCAATCTCTCGCTCTACCACTGAGCTATCGATCCCGGTGGTTGTGAGAGGTGACGGGGGAGCTCGAAAGAACCTCCAAGACGGTCTGAGTTGAAGACACGGTAGTAAAGATGGTTAGCAAGTGGATCTGTGGTGGGGCTGGTGTGTCACTGGTGGTGGTGTGTGTGCTGCAGCTCGTTGTGGAGGCCCCTTCCGATTCTACGTCACCCGAAGCTCATCAAGGGTTGAGTTGGGCTGCTGGTGTGTAACTGAACTTAAGAGCTCTCTATCAACGGTGTCAATGCTCCAACCTTCCCCGTCAGATTGAGAAAATTTTGATCTTGTACGCAATGGCACCCAACGTAGATCCGGCACTCATTGAAGCTCTGCATCTAGATCCAGAGCAGACCAAGATTGCGTCGCATGGCGCTTCTGGCTTTGCGTCGTCGTTTAAACTCACATCCGTCGTCGATGGTCAGCCCGCAAACTTCTTCGTCAAGATGGGGATGGGGAGAGATGCAGAAGTCATGTTCAGAGGTCAGTCAGACTCAGAAGATGATGCTACCCAGTGTGAGATGGACGAGCGTTGACAAGCAGGCCGCAGGTGAGCATGAATCGCTAAACGCAGTCCACAATGCCGTCCCAAACTTTTGCCCAAAATCGTACGCCCACGGAGAATACCAGGCATCGCCGGGCAAGCATTTCCTGGTGACGGACTTCCTGGACCTGGGGTCATCCGCACCCGGCGGCTCCGGCCTCTCCCTGGCAGCGAAGCTCGCCAAGATGCACACGACCCCGGCGCCCGTCCCGGAAGGCTTCGACAAGCCCATGTACGGCTTCCCGGTGACGACGTGCTGCGGCTCGACGCCGCAAGACAACTCGTGGAAGGAGTCCTGGGCCGAGTTTTACGCCGATAACAGGTTGCGTAGCATCCTCCGCGCCGGAACCGAGCACAACGGCTCCGACGGGGAGCTGTCCAAGGCCGTGGAAACGGTCGCCAGCAGAGTCGTCCCGCGGCTGATCGGCGACGGCCACGTCAAGGGCATGAAGCCGGTGGTTGTGCACGGGGATCTCTGGAGTGGGAACCATGGCCGGGGTCGCATCGGCGGCAAGGGCGGCGCCGAGGAGGTGGTGTACGACTCTTCGGCTGTGTACGGTCATTCCGAGTACGAACTGGGCATCATGAAAATGTTTGGCGGGTTCGGGAGCACGTTTTGGAACGAGTACAACAAGCTGGTCCCCAAGGCCGAGCCGAAAGAGGAATGGGACGACCGGGTTGCGCTCTACGAGCTGTAAGTCCACTCGCCCACCTTGCGTTGCCATGGTGACTGTGAATGAATGCCCCTCTCTGACATGTCGCAGGTATCACCACCTCAACCATTACGCCATGTTCGGCGGGGGCTACCGTAGCGGTGCGATGGGGATTATGAAGAAGCTGATTTCCAAGTACGGTTGAGGCCATCACGCGAAAAGTGTTGGATGGCTTGCACGTCAAAGCCGGCCCGCGCCGCCGGAAACCATAACTTTAGTAGTTAGCATTTTGACTAGGTACCTAGCAGCCATTAGAATGACAGCTCCTAGTTGCAGGGCCGAGTGATCTCGGGTGATATTCCTCATCATCGTTCTGGAGTGGAGGTGATGGCGTGCCCCATGATAGGGGTCGCAAACAGTCACCGCTCGTCATGCCCACGATGGTGGGCTCCCCACGTTGCCATCATGCCGTCCGATGATTTTCATGGGATTTGTAGGGGGGTGTGGAGAGGATTCACATGCCAGGGGGGGTTGCCCTGAGACGGAGCCTATTTCTGGCCACTCGTTGGGGGGAGGGGCTGCACGGACCAACCATTTGTCCGGCGCATTCGCGCTCTAAAGCCAGCACGGCCTAGTGGGAAAGCAAGATTAATGGCCCATGGCAGGCCAGTTGATCAAGGGTTGTGATCTGGTCACTTCCCTAGCAGCTGCCACCTCTGAGCGCACTTTCGCCCCTGTTGCTACATTGCACCCGACACCCCGACGGCGAAGACGAAAGACGCCGGCCCTCTTCCTTTTCTCTTTCTTAAGAACGACAATGAGAAGATAGCCCAACCAACTCTTGCTCTCCATAATCATTTGCGTCATCCGTTGCTGCAACCATGAACGGCCACTTTGCTGGTGTCGGCGAAGAGCTGGATGCCCAGAACTACGAGCATGGCATCCAGGTCATTGACGATCAGAAAGAATTCAAGTACAACTCGAGCTCTGCCTCTGCCTACCGTGGTTGAATGCTAACACGTAAATCCCCAGTAATAATGTCGCAACATATTTACAAAAAGTGCGCGTCGCCGAGGCGGGGTTCAACTACCACCTCATCTCCGTCTTCGGCTCTCAGTCTACCGGCAAGTCGACGCTGCTGAACAACCTCTTTGGAACCGAGTTCTCCGTCATGTCCGAGACGATGCGCCAGCAGACTACCAAGGGAATTTGGATGTCCAAGAACAAGAAGGAGGCTGGCATGGCCGAGAACATCCTCGTCATGGACGTCGAGGGTACCGATGGTCGTGAGCGCGGCGAGGACCAGGACTTTGAGAGAAAGAGCGCCCTTTTCGCCCTGGCAACCAGCGAGGTACTCATTGTCAACCTCTGGGAGACGCAGGTCGGCCTGTACAACGGCGCCAACATGGGTCTCCTCAAGACCGTCTTCGAGGTCAACCTGCAGCTCTTCCTCAAGGACAAGCAGTAAGTCGTCTGTGCAAATAAGAAGGGGGGGGGACGTAGACTGATCGCTTTCTGACACGCCACCTAGGTCGAGCCTGAGATCTCTGCTGTTCTTTGTCATCCGAGACCACCTCGGCACGACGCCCCTTGCGAACCTGCGCAACACGCTGGTGCAGGACCTTAGTAAGATCTGGTCTTCCATCTCCAAACCCCAGGGCCTCGAAAACTCGCGTATCGAGGACTACTTCGACTTTGCGTTCGCCGCACTCCCCCACAAGATCCTCCAGGCCGATAAATTCACAGCCGAGATCCAGAACCTGGGGAGGAGGTTCACTGCGGGGCATCGCACGCCTGGATCTAGCTCCCAGGAGTTCGAGGGGGGGTGTTGCTGCCCGAGTACCACCGACGCATTCCCGCCGACGGTTTCTCAATCTACGCAGAGGGCATCTGGGATCAGATCGTCAACAACAAGGATCTCGATCTGCCGACGCAGCAGGAGTTACTCGCCCAGTTCCGTTGCGACGAGATCTCGCGCGAGGTCCTGATCGGTTTCGACAATGCCATCGTGCCTCTTGAGGAGAAGCAGTCCGAGGCTGCTCGGTCCGGAAAGCCCACCGTCCTGGCCGATCTCGGCAACACAGGACGTGACTCTCGCCAAAAGTGCCTCAAGGCATTCGAAGTGCAGGCCAGCAGATATCACAAGGGTGTCTACGCCCGCAAGCGTCAAGACCTAGAAGCCAAGATTGACGGCCGACTCAAGACGCTTTATAACGCACAGCTGTCCGCAGCGCACAAGTCCGGAATCGCCTCGTTCAGCGAAGCCGTGTCTGGGGCCGTCAAGGCTGGTCAAAAGTCCGGTGCCGCTTACGAATTTGCCGAGATTGTGACCGAGCAGAAGAAGAAGGCGCTTGGGTCCTTCCAGAACGAGGCTGAGAGCCTTGCCATTCCTGGCGTCGCCTGGTCCAACTTCAAGTCGCAGTTTGGGCTGTTTGAGAAGGAGTTGGACGATGTGAGCGGTAAGCTGCGCAAGGAAGAGATGCGCCGGTTGGCCACGAGGGTGGAGCGATGGGTCAAGTCCCGTTTGGGCGATGCGGTTGGCCTCGAGTTCAACAAGCTCGGCTCTGGGAGGGCTGGCTCCGGCGCCCCCGAAACGGGCGAAAAGCCCACGGAGAAGGACCTCTGGGACCGCATCTGGACTGTTTTCGTCGACATCGTCAAGGACGCGCAAAGTAGGTTCACCGAACGAGCTAAGAGCTTCGAGGCCACCCAGGATGAGGTTGAGGTCGGCCTCTGGCGACTCAGACGCAAGAGCTGGGTGGCCTTGCGTGAGAAGATTGAGGAAGAGGTCATGGAGGGCAACATCCTGTTGAAGCTGAGGGAAAACTTTGAGGACAAGTTCAGATATGACGACGCCGGCGTGCCCAGGATATGGAGGCCCACTGATGATATTGAGGGCATCTACACTAAGGCGCGGGAGTCTACGCTGACCCTCATCCCCCTGTTGTCAAAGTTCAAGCTCGCCGAGAGCTACAGCCCCCCCGACCTGCCTGCGTGGATCGGCAACCAACCGCGTGGCGTTGAGCCGAGTGACGAGGAGGACCTGACGCCGATTGGCGGTGTCGATGAAGAAGACGGCAAGAGTCTCGAGGAGGAGATGACCGTCCTCAGTGAGGGCAAGCGTCAGGATCTTGTCATTAGGTTCAAGAAGACAGCCGACGGCGTCTACGTTGAGGCCAAGCGCAGCGCCATCGGCGGCGTCGCCCAGGTGCCTCTGTATTTTTACGCCCTGTTGGTGGCGCTGGGATGGAACGAGATTGTCGCTGGTGAGTACCCCCTCCATGGCACGCGCCCATGGATCATGCTGACATGAGACAGTGCTACGCAATCCGTTCCTCTTTATTTTCCTCATCCTGCTTGCCGGAGGAACCTACGTTGCCTACACGCTCAACATGCTCGGTCCCATGTACCAGATGGCCAACGCGGCCGCTAACCAGGGCGTCGAGATCGGCAAGCAGAAGCTGCGCGAGTTCATTGAGAACTCGGACACTGCGCGGCAGGCGCTGGCGATGCCCGGTCGCGACAGCGACTCCATCAGCTTGGATACGCTCGACAGTCGGGGCAAGAAGAAGGGAGCCGAGGACGATGTTGATGACATCTAGATTACTGTTGGTGTTGTTTTTTGTTCATGACAGCTGAAACACGCGCTGCGGTCCAAACGCCAGACGAACGAGCTCACTGAGGGCATGAGTAGGGAACAGAAAAGATATAATGTCTATACGTTGCACTTCCGCCCGTGGCCAAGTGAATGTGATGTACTGCTTGTTGGTGTACAGCGATATACGTCTAGAGGTGCAACGTTGAGCCCCAAACTGTGAACCCTTTGGCACACAAGCTCGACTATACCTGGTGCGGGAAGACAGCTTGGAGTTTAACGTGCACACGACTGATTCCCAGAAGGCTGGCCCCGAGCCCTCATTATGTGGAACTGTGTGGCCGTCGAATCTGCTCGGAAGCAACATCACTAGGAAGACTATAAGCTCCAACCTTTCTGGCCAGAGACGCGGTCTGGTTTTCAGACTTCTCTGGGCGCAGCCGTCTCGGCCTGGGTATGAGACCTGACACAATCCGGCCGGGGTCGCGAGCCCACCCATCGAAGTTATAGAGCTCGTCGAGTCGTCAGTTGTTCTCATTTTTGGTGACGGGTCCCAGCAAGCGCATCTTATGGTTCATCTTGGTATGATTATGCCGCCCGATGCAATATGCCGCTTACGCCTCGTAACTATCCTAACTCCCTCATATCACAACATGCCGCGTCTACGCGACTCTCCGCCCGTCTCCCACCGGCTTGCCAAGCCCGCCCTCCTCGCAGGTCGTTCGTATGTTGGAGGACGACCATTGCCGCCGCTGCTAAACCAATCCAAAAAAGAATTTACTGACAAAAACATGTATAACGAGGGAACTTCCTACGAAGGTAGACATAGATATCTTGCAAAGCAGACGCCGCCAGTAACTGAGACTGGTAAAAGAGAGAGCCGCCACCATATTAGCTGCCCGATACCTCCATTAGGGGTATCAGAGCTCAACCCATGATGGTTGTGTCCTGGGAGCCGCCCGCCCCCTGCGCCAGGCCGTTGCTAACCTCACAACCCTGGGCAAAGAAGATGCGCGCGGGCGTCTCATAATCGTTCTCGATGCTGTAGTAGTTGCCTGTACGATTGTCAGCGAGGTGCTCTACTTCATGTGCGCAGACGTGAGAAAGACGTACCCCTCGGAACGAACCACATTCCACCGGCGCCGATCCGGAACTGGGTCTCATGAACCGTGACCCGGACTTTGCCTTGGAATACGAAAAACACCATCTGCATCTTGCGCGAGTTCTTGGGCCGCTTCTCCGCCCCCGGCGGGAGGTCGACGACGCCAGAGCCGAAGAAGGGCAAGCTGAGCGTCTTGGCGAAACGGAACGTCGCATCTCTAATGTCGCGCGTCTGGATAGCCCCCGCCGCCACAGCGATCCGGTCCTCGTCGATCTCGACCTGCTCGTTGATAGCGGGCGGGTTGAACTCGTGCTCGGGCTGCCAGACAACGATCTCGCCTTCGATACTGCCGGGATCTTGCTCCCACGGCTCGGGCGGTTCCTCCTCGTCGTCGGAGTCGGCATGGCGCCGTCTGCCCTTGACGGCGGCCTTGCGGCCCTTTGAGCTCTTGTTCTTCCGCACCTCGCGCTCTTCTTCCTCAACGCGGATGATTTCTTTGACGCTCGGCAGCAGAAACCTGCCACCCTTTTTACCGTCCTCAAATGCCTCGTCCTCGTCGTAGGTAACGTGTTCATTCTTCCAGAAGGCGAGTGGGCGGTATGACTGGCGGCCGGATCTAGTTTGGGTGACTGCGTGAGGGTCCTGCTGTCGTTTTTGCGAGACCAGGCCGCGTGCCTTGGGCATGGGCGGCCCCTTTTGCACAACGCCAAGAATCGAGTCGTCGCCAACAGCGGCTTTCGGTTTGCGACCGGGCTTGCCCTTGGGTTTTGGGTCGGCTTCGGCGTTCTTGGACTCGCCTCCGTCTTCCTCCCTGGGAGCGGCCTTGGGGCGTCCGCGCTTTCCCGTCGCTGGCTTCTTGGGCTCTGTGCGCTGTCTTTTGGATGAGCGGCCCTCCGCTTCTTCCTGCTCAACCTCGTCTGCGTTGGAATTCCGTGAGCGTCTGCGCCTAGGTGCGCTGGCCTCTGCCTCGGGCTCCTCTTCCGATTCGTCTGCTTTGGCATTGCCCTTGCCCTTGGCCGGGCGACCTCTTCTTTTGACGGGTGCTTGCTCTTCTGGTTCGTGGCCGGAGTCTGCAGGCGCCTCCTCAGCCTCTTCCTCCACGGGTGACTGAGCCTTGCGCGGGCGACCCCTACGTTTGATAGGCTGCGGTGCCTCTGCTACCGTCTCCTCGACGTCAACTTCTTCAGCATCCGGCGCTCCTGTCACCGACTCAGGTTCTGGTTCATCATCCCCGTCCATGCCAACCATCTGCATCGACTCTTCATCGCCGTTCTCCACAGGCGATCCGTTCTGAGCTTGCGACCTAGCCTGCTCGTCTTCCTCATCCTCCGTCGAGAGAGCGCGACCATTCACTCCGTTGGGGTCTCTGGCACCCCTGTCAGAGCCACCATAATCGAGACGGCGAGATACCGAACCACCACGGTTGGGCGGCAACCGAGGAGGCGATCCTCGGTTGGGCGACAGCCGGGTCGGCGATGACGAAGGCCCGAAGCTGGGGTGCCGCATCGCGGGCGACCCGAAGTTGGTCTTGCGTGGGGAAGTTCCACGGGGTACGAGGCGAGGGTGGTTCTTCATGATGGAGGCAGGTCCAGGGCCGGATTCTGGCACGCATGTATCGTTAGAAAACGCGCAACGCTGCAGGCTCGTAGACAAACTCACCCGAATCCAGCTCCATTTCCTGCTCGCCGCGCGTCATGTCGTCGCCGGGCGATCTATTGTCCTTCTCCGGCGAGGAGAACAATCCGTCGATGGGTTGCATGCCATGTTCGTCGCGTTCGCCGGTGTCGGGCAGTTCAATTCCAGTCTTCCTAAAGGGATGTTAGTTCAATCTCAGGCGCGACCTGCGTTTATCATAGCTCTCGAGCGGGTGCGTGGCGACGTACCGTCCCTTCACGCCAAGCTCGTGGAAGTCGCCTGTTGACGTTTCGCGACGCCGGACGTTGCTCTGTCGCGGTGGTGCCATCACGACTATGGAGCTTTTCAGCAATTAATCAATTTTCCGCTAGGTAGAAACGAGATATGCGGCCTGGTACTGACAGCCGGTGGGTATTGTTCCAAAGCAACAAAAACAAAAAGAGCGACGTTGTGAACCCAATGGCCGCCGTGTTTACCCCGACAAGATGGTTGGGTTGCGGTAATGTTGAGCGCGCAACTTTTAGACGGTGGAACGCGCGCCGAGGTGCTCCTGCTTCGAGGGACTTTCAGTGGGCGCCTGGCGGATTTGGGCTGACAAGGGTGGACCGGGCGGCGCATTAACGGCTCGACGCGTCTCCATCAATCTAGACGCGTCCAGAGCACCTGCCACTAATAGTTCTCACCCGTCTAATCCAAGGACACAGATACTCTTCGAACAATTCATTCCACGACTTGGTTTCTCGCTTGTATTCATTTCCTTTCACGATTTCCGGTGTACTGGGCCGTTGAGTACTGGGATAGCCGCAGTGCAATCACTTACCCCTTGACGACCTGAGACCTACAGCTCCAGACGCATCGAGGTCCTTCAGGGCGACTTCGGCTCACAATGGAAGACTCTCAAACGGCCGAGGACATCGCCCTTGAGACCCCAGTCGCGGATGTCTTTATTCCCCCGTCCATCAACGATAAGGCGATTCTCTCGGGTGACTCGTACACATACTTCTCTCCGGTTCCTTCAACACTTCTCCCGCCATCTTCATCACCAACTAAGACTACCGCGGAATCACCAGCATCGGGGACACCGGTCTGCCTCGGCGTCGATGAAGCCGGCCGCGGTCCCGTCCTTGGACCCATGGTTTACGGCGTCTTCTACCTCCCTATTCCCCTCTCTGACCCATTGCTCCGCGAGACCCACCACTTTGATGACTCAAAGGTGCTTACACCGGCCGTTCGGTCTCAACTGATGGCGGCCCTCTGCACTGCCGGCTCAGATTTGGCCGAGTCCTGCGGTTTCGCCATCTCGGCCCTTAGCGCCCGCGACATCTCATCGGGCATGATGCGCCCCGGCGCCAACTACAACCTCAACGCCCAGGCCATGGACGCCACCGTCGAGCTGATCAAGGGCGTCTTCGCCCAGGGCGTCAACATCCAGGAGATCTACGTCGATACTGTTGGTCAGCCGGCCGCCTACCAGGCCAAGCTCCAGCGCTTCTTCCCCGCCACCAAGATCACGGTTGCGAAAAAGGCAGATAGCCTGTACCCTTGTGTGTCGGCTGCCTCCGTCTGTGCTAAAGTTACTCGCGATGCCGCGCTGGAGGTCCTCTACAAAGCACGAGCCTCTGATTCGGCGGAGGAGGGCATGGCTTGGGGTTCGGGGTATCCGTCAGACGGAAGGTGCGTGTCGTGGATGAAGTCCAATATGCATCCCGTCTTTGGATGGGGCCCCGAGTGTCGGTTCAGTTGGGGCACGGCTAAGGACATGCTTGAGGGCAAGGGGGGTCTCAAGGTAGACTGGCCAGTCGAGGACGACGATGATACGGCACGGATGACAGACTTCTTCGTTTCAGGGGATAGGGAGCAGGAAGGCGATGAGCTGGGAACATGGTTCGGAAGGCCGGCTGGCCTGGAGGCGTTCTAGAGGTGAGACATAATGAATACAGTATAAGAACCATCTTCACCTGTCCTGCTTTACATTCTCTCTGACGGCTTCTGCGGCCTGTGTACGAAGATATAGAGTGTGTATGAGTGGGTGAGAATGACTTTATACTATTGATCTCCTCCACCCCCTTGAGAGCATAGTTCATCACGCGCGCCTGAAACAACTGTTGTGGGAATTATTTCTGAATCGAGACTGTTTCCATAGCTTTATTGGATATACTCAATGCCTTTACCATGTCAACTTCCTGACTTCTTTGCTCATGATCATGTCTTGACCGAAGGCTTCCTGAGTCAGAGCAGCCTTCTCGGTGGGTGAGAGAAACTTAGGGCAAGAGACATATCCTCTTTCTTGGGAATAAATGCGCGGATCTTTTGCTCGGAGTCGTATTCAAGGGTGCGGAGCTTGATCGACCGAGCATCGATGAGGCTTTTTGACACACCGCCGGAAATTTTCTTCCATTGGTAGATGGAGGGGTCGCCAAGACTGACATCACCTAAGCCCATCCCTTTTCCAAACCACTTCTCTCCTTCTTGTTGCCATGGATGGGCACCAGCGGCTTGTAGTATGTCGGATCAGCATCATACTTGAGGTGACGCGTCTTGATGTTGCCTTCTGTTTCCTCGTGTTAACTCAATATGCGATTCTGAGCGCTTGGTGCGAGGTGTCGAAAGGTCCGGTGTCTGGTAAAGCCGTGTATACATGGTGGTGAACAGCGTTTGCATCGTACATGATCTCCACCAGTGGAATGACGTAGTCACCTTTCTTGCTTCCCAAGGAGCTCCCGCATCTTCTAGGGGATGTTGAAAGACGGAGTCCTGTCGGCGCTGTTCATGCAAACCGGCATTGGTCGCGTGACGAGAGTGATGTTGCTGCGGTTGGGATCAGTAGGGTCAGCATTGTCTTGCACTTTGCGTGGCGGGCCCCTGAAGGTCCAGTAGTGAGGATTCATATCCTTGTCGTTGACGAGAGTTCGAGTACAAATAATGGCCTCGGCGTGGAACGTCTCCGTGACTAGACTATCTAAATTGAGACCATGTGCCATATCAAAGATGGCGTTGGGTCCAAAGTTCGAGGAAAGAGCTGGGCCATGCAGGTTCTCCGCTTTCTTCAACTTCATGGAGATGTCTGAAATTAACCTAGAGACGTTTCCAGACCAGACCGGGCCAGGTTTAATGCCTTTCTCGGGCTTGATGTTGGTGGCTAGATGACTTGAATGGCCAAGGGCAATGACGGCTTGGTGTAACTATGTCTGCCAAGGTCGTTCACCATTTGCGAGCTGAGGCATTTCCATCATAGCAATGGGTAACATGGCCCATTTTCCGTTCTTCTCAAGCAAAGACTTCTTGACCGTCACGCAATAGTTGAGTCTGAGATGAGCGAGAGAAGCAGATTCGATGTACAGTTGCCGGTCGTCGACATACGCAGTGTCTTTGGCACTTATTCTCCTCCAGAAGAAGGAGTTCTCATCCTGGTGGAAGAACGGTTGTCTTTGCATGCATATATGGTGATTTAGAAGACCATTTTGCCATGCAGCCAGGCCTTGACAGCATGCGGAAGCTTTTTAGCCTCGATGGCCTTCGAGGCGATGCGCTGGAGAGTAAGCATGCCATCCCGTAACAGATTAAGAGTGCCTATGTTGTCGAATCCTGTAAGTTCGTAGCATAGAAAATGATAGGCTTAGAGTATTGGTCAAGGAATAAGTACTTTGTATCATATTGGTTACCGTACGCGAGATGGCATCCTTTGGTTGCAGCAGCGCAAGTTACTCACTACTAACCCCAGAAAGCTCCAATGACTCCATGTTCAAGATGCAGAATTCAAAGAATGTAGTGAGAAGGGGTGAGAATGAAATTTTAGACTTCTGGACAGCTTTGGTAATATTGATATGGCCGTGAAGGCCGCAAATGGCAGGGCGTCCCAGCTCGATACTGCGCTGGGAAAAAGATGATGCCTTTCAGCCCTTTGGAGGAGAAAATGGATTGCCAACCGGTAGTATCGTGAATCTTGGGATCAAAAATCATGTACACTTTTATATTCTCTGTTAGTTCTGCCCAGCTAGTGAACCCTTCCAACTGGCATAGAATGGCTGGCAAGTCCCTCTCCTCGCAACTGCACACCATCTTTTTTCAGTCCAGTCTCAAATAAACTTGGCTGTGATAGCAACAGACATGACTTCTTGTGACTGATGAGAGGTTTATACAGCAAATTACAAAGGGAAAAGCGAGGTGCTGATGCAGCCTGGTATCAATTCCCATAAGGCATTCCCAGTGTCCCTGATTGCCTTCCACAAGTATTCATCAGAAGGGAGCAGGACAACAATAGGTGCCAACAGGCTAGGTTATACACAGAAGAAGCGTGATTGACTTGGAACTAACCATGATGCTGTTGGTAAACTAGTTTTCCAATCTGTGTTTCCAGTTTGGTATACTGGAAGATAAGAATCTATTTACAGATGAAATTAAAGGTGTGGGAAACGAGGTCTACCGCTTCTTTTTTGTTTGATACGCAAATGAACCTGGCGATGAACGTGCACGCCCTGAGATGGCTGCCCATGTATATGATCCTGGTTTTATAGGCCTCAAAAGTCACAATCCAAGCTTTGTCAATGTAGGTAGTCACTGGCTTGAATAGAGGTCAGACATCAGGCATTATAATGCACCATGATAGCCCAAACACTATGACAGGCTAACTGCAATAAGGATGTGGTCTGAACTCAGTGAGGACATGAAGCACCAAATGCATCATTGCACTGAATACGGTGCCACTGGTTTCTGTCCCATCTATACTGCCTCCTAGACTGTCATGCTTTGCTGACTAGGTGCTGACTTCGGATCCGTGGATGGACCCACAACCGCGGAAGCCGACAACACAGCATAACATAGGAAGCCGATTGCACCAGGCCGGATCCGGAGATATGGACCCACTCATTGTTGGTCGAGGCGGCGCATGGGCTGCCACCAATCATCAATTCCTCCCTAAGTCATATAGCCAGCCATCTCAGTAAGCTTACCAGTTTTGTTGGTCGATGAGCTTCCCCTCCCTTCCAGTGCCCCGCGGACATTGGCGGGGTTGTTGCCTAGTTGTTGTTGGGCGAACACATGCAGATAGTATGTGAAAAAAACTCATTTGCTGCACTTAGTTGGGCTGACAGGGTAACGTAGCAACCAAGAGTACACAATTTTAAATGTGCATCAAATCTATAGTAATCTTAAAATAGTTACAGCAGGAGTTTTGCTGCAGGTTGTTTGTTTAAATGATGAGTTTTAGCTATGGTCTTGGTTGTGTGCCACCCTGTGCCTCCTGCTGGCTCTGTTGTTTTGACCATTCTCTCACATTCACCAATGTATATCGTATCAGCGAAGAAGGAAGATAGGGGTAACTAAATAGTTGTAGATATTTACATTTAGATGCTTCGTGAACCAAAGCTGGGTTGCGTTGGGCCGCGTACACTCGTGGCCCAGCCTAAAATGATATCACTAGAAATTCTCTTTCCTGGAGCGGTGTGGGGTTTCGATCAGAAGAGGAGACAAGTAGAGGATACCTCGAAGAGACCAGTTTTAAGGCGTGCAGGAGATGGCTGCCAGGGTACTGTGACAAAGGGCGCAAACGTACTGCCCCTCCATAGATTTCGTAGAATCTTATGATGTCAGCGCATCGCCTTCAGTAGAATCTTCGATTTCGCCATATGCACCGCTGGAGGTGGCCTGGACTTGCTTGAATGCTGAGAAAACCGGAACCTTGCCACCTGAAGAGGCTGAAATTATTCTAGTCTTCATTTGATCCTTGCATTGCAACCCGGGCAATTTTCAGGCGGCTTCCAGTGCCTTGTGGAAGCATCCTAGCTGGGCCGCAGCGTCCTATTGTACCCCACCAATGGAGGGCGGGTGGAAGAGGAAAGAACCATTTCGAATTTTTGCGGGGCTTTAAGTCGCTCCTGCCTTCAACCTTTTAAGTCGTCAAACACCAACCATCTCATCCTCCTATTCTTCACTCTTCACGCAATCAACTTTCACTCTTCATAATACCCCCAATCGCAAGAAGTGTCAGCGCATTTCTTTTTTTCGACGAATTCTTGATCGCCGATATCTTTGCCGGGAAATTCTTCTACCGGTTACGCGCACTCTGAAGATACCCCCCACCTTCACAACACCACATATCGCCAACTTCCCACACATCACAACCGACACCATGGCTTCCGGAGGCAAGGCCGTCGGTATCGACTTGGGTACCACGTACTCGTGTGTCGCTTACTACGTAAGTTTCCCTATGCTTGCTCCGTTCCGGCGCACATTAACCATCCCCACACTTGAACATACCACTAACACACGATACAGTCTAATGACAAGATTGAGATTATCGCAAACGACCAGGGTAACAGAACAACCCCCAGCTTTGTCGGTAAGTTGCCTTATTTCCGATCTTTCGAGATCTATTGAATTTTAGATTTTTGCTGACCGTTTTCCACAGGTTTCACCGACACGGAGCGTCTGATCGGAGATGCGGCCAAGAACCAGGTCGCAATGAACCCCCACAACACTGTCTTCGACGCCAAGCGTCTCATTGGTCGCAAGTTCAACGACTCTGAGGTGCAGGCTGATATGAAGCACTTCCCCTTCAAGGTCGTTGACAAGAACGGCAAGCCTGCCATTCAAGTCGAGTTCAAGGGAGAGACCAAGACCTTTACTCCCGAGGAGATCTCTGCTATGGTTCTTACCAAGATGCGTGAGACCGCCGAGTCCTTCTTGGGTGGCCAGGTCAACAACGCTGTTGTCACCGTCCCCGCCTACTTCAACGACTCTCAGCGTCAGGCGACCAAGGACGCCGGTCTCATTGCCGGCCTCAACGTCCTTCGCATCATCAACGAGCCCACTGCGGCTGCCATCGCCTACGGTCTTGACAAGAAGGCCGACGGTGAGCGCAACGTTCTCATCTTCGATCTTGGTGGTGGTACCTTCGATGTGTCCCTCCTGACCATTGAGGAGGGCATCTTCGAGGTCAAGTCCACCGCTGGTGACACTCACTTGGGTGGTGAGGACTTCGATAACCGTCTCGTCAACCACTTCGTCAACGAGTTCAAGCGCAAGCACAAGAAGGACCTGTCCACCAACGCCCGCGCTCTGCGCCGTCTCCGCACCGCTTGCGAGCGTGCCAAGCGCACCCTGTCCTCGTCTGCCCAGACCTCCATCGAGATCGACTCGCTCTACGAGGGTATTGACTTCTACACCTCCATCACCCGTGCCCGCTTCGAGGAGCTTTGCCAGGATCTGTTCCGCTCCACCATCCAGCCCGTCGACCGCGTCCTCACCGACGCCAAGATCGACAAGTCCCAGGTCCACGAGATCGTCCTGGTCGGAGGTTCCACCCGTATCCCCCGCATCCAGAAGCTTATCTCCGACTACTTCAACGGCAAGGAGCCCAACAAGTCCATTAACCCCGATGAGGCTGTTGCCTACGGCGCCGCCGTCCAGGCCGCTATTCTGTCCGGTGACACCTCTTCCAAGAGCACCAACGAGATCCTGCTTCTCGATGTCGCTCCCCTCTCCCTCGGTATCGAGACCGCTGGTGGCATGATGACCAAGCTCATTCCCCGCAACACCACCATCCCCACCAAGAAGTCTGAGGTCTTCTCCACCTTCTCAGACAACCAGCCTGGTGTCCTCATCCAGGTCTACGAGGGTGAGCGCCAGCGCACCAAGGACAACAACCTTCTCGGCAAGTTTGAGCTTACCGGTATTCCCCCCGCTCCTCGCGGTGTTCCCCAGATTGAGGTCACCTTCGATCTTGATGCCAACGGTATCATGAACGTCTCCGCCGTCGAGAAGGGCACCGGCAAGTCCAACAAGATTGTCATCACCAACGACAAGGGCCGTCTCTCCAAGGAGGACATCGAGCGCATGCTTGCTGAGGCCGAGAAGTTCAAGGATGAGGACGAGGCTGAAGCTCGCCGTGTCTCTGCCAAGAACGGCCTCGAGTCTTACGCTTACTCCCTGCGCAACACCCTCAGCGACTCCAAGGTCGACGAGAAGCTTGACGCTGACGACAAGGAGAAGCTCAAGACTGAGATCGACCAGATCGTCACCTGGCTCGACGAGAACCAGCAGGCTACTCGCGAGGAGTATGAGGAGCGCCAGAAGGAGCTCGAGGGCGTTGCCAACCCCATCATGATGAAGTTCTATGGCAGCGCTGGCGGTCCCCCCGGTGCCGGCGGCGCCCCTGGTGGCTTCCCCGGTGCTGGTGCTGGTGGCCCCCCCGGCGCCTCTGACGACGGCCCTACCGTCGAGGAGGTTGACTAAATTGATACCCTTGATGAATTCTTTCCTTAGAGTCACAGTCATCGGCGTGGCAACACGAAGGTTGTTACAGGGTTTCACGACTAGACTTCTGCTTTCTTTGCATTTATGAAATCACGATGGGAAAAGCACGGTTATGGTTCAGAGATGTATTCTAGTTTGGCTTCCTAGGTTTAGGAAGCCCCAATACAACGAGTAAAATTATCTGTCTTCTTGATGTTGTGACATGTTGCTGATCGGTTTGTAATAAATCATGGTAATGATACTAAACAATAATAAACGTTTAAAAAAAAAGAACAAGTCCTTATGCAACACATCACGCTGTTTAGATTCCCAAACCTTCCCTGATCTGCCGCCGCCTCTCGATTTCCATCCTCTGCCATTCCTCATCGTCCAGTGTGGGTTCGTCAAACTTTTCAGTAAAGGCGGTGCCAGGCGGAACCTTGGTAGTCCTCGCCTGCCAGACGTCCTCGCTGCTCGGCTTCCCGTTCCCATACTTCTCATATTCCTTCTGGCGGTAGTGGTCTCTGATCACATCCTCTTTCATCTTGCCCGAGTATCCCTTGATCCTCATGCAAAACCAAAAGTCCTCCCAGTGTTCGCTGCACGAACGCATCGTGCCGTATCGGTAGATGTGGTTCCACTGGCCGCCGACGGACTGGCAGTGGAAGGCCATGTCAAAGGCTTGGCGGCAAGACATCTCGGTCGGCAGGGTGGCTTCGGCGACTGGGTTGTCAGAGGGTGGCGCGGTCGTGCGGTTGTTGGTTTGGGATGGCATGTTCGGGGAGGATTTGAGGGAGAACCATGATGAGGAGGATGGTGATGATGACTTGGAGGGCGCTGCGGGTGCTTGCGCCGGTGCCGGAGCTGGTTGCTCTGGCTTGTTGTTGTCTGTGTCGGTTTGGAACAGGGCAAGGAACTTTGAAATCTCGGGGTCGATCTCGGGTTCTGTCGACTTGGTCGATGGTGGCGGGGTCGATGCCGGAGCTTGTGAAGCTTGTCCCGGAGCCGGAGACTTGGGAGGAGATGGCGAAGCCCAGAGCCAACCCATGATGATGAATAATGCGGCGATAAAAGGGTTTGAAGAGAATACAGAAAACACGATTCTGACGTTTCTTCGTCTTGGATGAGAATAGAGGCGCTCGAGAATGAGGGGAAGCCGACAATCACCACCATCAATGAGCTCCCGAGACGCCGCGTCCAGCCAATGAGTGGTTGCATCATTTTTGCCGTAGCGGCCCTCCATAGTGGGGCCGTCTCGGCTCGGACAAGGTTTAGTCCGGTCCACTCAAACCCTCGTCCGGACCGACATAAGGTTATGGGCCGCTGGGCAGTGGGGCCGCAAGGCGTGACATCATTCATCACGGACACAGCTTCGTGAAGAAGGGAGCTAAGCAGTTAAGACATTGAAGGAGGTCATCCTTCCAGTCGCCGCCTGCTCTCCCCGTACAACTCAATTCCAAGGTCGCTTTTCAGAGCAACATGTGATTGTCGGACCGCAAACCATCCAATGTCATCCAGCAGAGCGATGTTTCTCTCTGGCTTGAGGCCTGCCGCTAGGCTGCAGGCACCGTGGGCCCCAGTTCGGCCATTCACGCGATCTCAACGTTCGGGTGCCGTCCTGCGCGCCGTGACGAAGTCTTGGGAGAGCACGTTGACCGGAGACGAGAAGTCGGGCCATATTGCCAAGTCGGAGAGCGAGGCAATTATTTTCTTCGACAGTAAGTTTCCTCATATCGAATTCTGAGGTTGATCTGCATCCTGTTCGTTGTTTCTCTCCGGACCCTCTGCTCTGCCAGCCCACCTGAATTCCCCTATTTTCTATTGTTGCTTTTATTCCACTCGTTGTCCCTACAATGATGATCTAGTCCTCGGCATATCTCCTTCGATTTCTCATTGTCAGGGGCTCATTGTCAGGAGGAAGCTAATGCTATCTGGTAGACCTGTTCCCCCTGAAGCTCACCTACCTTCTAAGGCGATCATGGTCGTCCGACCACAATCTGGCCGATCTAATCAAGCGTTTCGACAGCTCCAGCGGCGGCTTAGGTACGGATCCGATCAACCTGGTCAAACGAGCCATTCCGAACGACCTCCCGATCAAGGTTACAGAGATACTACCACAACTAAAGGATGGAGGGGCCTTCGTTAAGTTCAGTCATGGATCTGACGTCTCGCCCAGAGACATTGAAAGTAAGCGCGTCCTGATCCCGCGTTTGAGCCGGAATTGGATGGTCCATCCAATTCCCGACTACTGGAAGTTGCACTCTCTGGCAGCTTCCAAGCATATCCAACATGAAGATGAACCAGGTTTCTTCCATCGACATGGAACGCGGCTGACACGTTCCTAGGCTCGCTCGCACGATCCTTGGAGAAGCACCCGCTACGACCGTGGTTCAACCCTTTTCGTGGGGTCAAGGCCGGCCTCGTGAGGGGCATTCCGTGGCTAGAAGACCTTAATAGGTTCCCGAAAAGCCGCGTCAAGGTCGAATTCACGGGGAAGGATGCGGGTGGCAATGCCGTTGAGTTGTCGCAGGAAACCCTTTACAGTGTGTTCCGCCGTTACGGCAAAATCGCCGACATCAATTCCCAACCGCCCGACTCGAAAATCTTACCTAAATATGCATACGTTGACTTCGCCCTCGTACGCGATGCCATCATGGCAAGAAACTGCCTGCATGGGTTCGTTGTTGACGAGGCGCTGGGCGGCGGGAAGCCGGGCACGAGGCTTAGTCTCTCGTATGAGCAGAGGGTCAAGCCGCACAACATATGGAACTGGCTTACCAGCCACCCCAGAATAGTCATACCTATCGTTGCAGCCCTCCTCGCTGCCATTACCGTCGCTATTTTCGATCCTATTCGCGAATTCTTCGTCAAAGCGCACATTCAACATTCCTTCCGTCTGACGGACAATAAGTTCTACAGATGGATCAAGAGCCAGACCTCAGATATCATTTCGTCTTTCGGACGCAAGAAGGCCGACAAGGCCGGCTTCAACGCCGTATGGCAGCACCGGAAGGACCTAATCGAACAGATTCAGACCTGGCTTCTCGAAAGTTCGGACACGTTCATCGTTGTCCAAGGCCCCCGAGGATCCGGAAAGAAGGAGCTGGTTTTGGACCAGTCGCTGAAGGGACGGAAGAATGTCTTGGTAATTGACTGCAAACCGGTCATCGAAGCGAGGGGTGAGAGCGGGACGATTAAGAACCTGGCCAACGCAGTGGGATATAAGCCAATTTTCGCGTTCCTCAACAATATAAGCAGCATGGTCGATCTGGCGGTTCAAAGCACAACAGGAGTCAAGGCTGGATTCTCCGAAACGCTCGAGTCGCAGGTGGTCAAGATCCTTCACACGACTGCGGAAGCGCTCAAAAAGGCTTCCCTCGCGGAACGTGATAAGGATGGGAAAGATGCCAATCTATCAGACGATGCTTACTTGGAGGCCCGACCTGATAAGCGGGCTGTTGTGGTGATTGACAACTTCCTGCACAAGAATGAGGGCTCAAGCATCGTCTACGACAAGGTTGCCGAGTGGGCCGCGGCCATGGTCCAGAACAATGTTGCCCATGTCATTTTCCTGACGGATGATACGGCATACTCGAAGTCTCTGTCGAAGGCTATGCCGGACCGCGTTTTCCGACAAGCTGCCATTGGCGACCTCTCCCCTGACGTTGCTAAAAAGTTCATCATCAGCCGGTTGGAAGAAGATGAACTCGAAAAGGTGCGACAGCACTCGAAGGAAGCAAACGAAAAGACCGAAGATGTCGAACGAGACGAGAAGCCCGATCTGTCAGAGCTCGACTCGGCCATTGGTATCCTGGGCGGCCGCCTTACTGATCTCGAATACTTGGCGCGTCGTCTGAAGGGAGGCCAGAGCCCCCAGCGGGCTATCGAGGACATCATCAACCAGAGCGCGACGGAAATCGTCAAGATGTATCTTTTGGACGGCAAAGACACATTCGAGGGTAAGATGTGGTCCATGGAGCAGGCGTGGTACTTGATTAAGGCACTTGCCTCACACGATGCTCTCCGGTACCACGAGGTCCTTCTTTCCGATACATTTGCTTCGTCTACCACGACAGGAGCCTCAAAGGGCGAGTCGGCACTGGAAGGCCTAGCGAATGCTGAGCTCATTACTGTCGATACACACAACGGCCGACCGCAGTCCATACGTCCCGGCAAGCCAATGTATAAAGCAGCTTTCAACTTGCTTCTTAACGACCACGTTCTCAGAGCCAAGTTAGACCTCGCCATGCTCAAGGAGTTGACCAAGGTTGAAACCAAGACAATTGAGAAGGTTGAGAACGAATTAGCACTTCTGGGCAGCTTACCGAAGCAGCCTGCCCAAACTGGAGCTCGTGTATCATACTTGCTCTACAAACTTGAAGGAAGCCAGACGAAGATTACGAAATACGAACAGGAGATAGCGGCTTTGAAGAAGGTCCTCAAGCACAACTATTAGGGAGGACCGACTTGGGATCTTCGGCCAGAGTTACAAATGGCGAAGATCTGTAGGCTGAAGCGGAACACGGCGGCTAATACCCATCTCAACACGATATGACAATGTCATTAACTGAATAAAAACCAAGTCCTGCCTGGCATCATGCGTTCAAGCGTCGCCTTGGCCGCATCCTTTTATCCAGTCTTCTCGTTGCCTGTTTATTGTCTATGGTACGATTGCTTTCTTGTGACCTCTAGGTCATCTATCGCAATAAAGGGAACGAAAGTGGTGTAGACAAAGACCATGGTCGGGAAACACAAGCCCATCCATGCTAAGTAACTGATATTGAACGAGAGAATCATGGGTGGTAGGAAGATATATGACAGCACTCCGTGAGCTCACGGGTTTTCAGAAAGCTATCCGCAAAGAAATTGCATTGGCTATGCGCTTTGGTTTCATCTCGCCATCTGCGTAGCCAAGCGCGACTAACAAATCTTTGTCCACGAGGAACTTGCACCAACCCCGAAATACCTCAAGTCCAACGGCCTGCCAGTGACCCCGCCTCGTCTCCACCGGTAAGCGGAGCCACCATGGGGAACCAAAGCTTACACTGAAGTTTGAATGAGGGCAGCCGTCTCCCAGCGAAGTGCGGCGAACGGTGTACCTACTATGTATACGTAGTATGCAGCCTGGGGCGGAGAGCTTTGAGTGCGACTTCTCATTGGTTAAATTGCCTAGCATTGCAACCATATCCCTACTGTTCCGTCTAGGTACATGACTCATGTATTCTCGAACTGGAAGTTGACCGATTTACTACGCGCAGAGTACAGTCGAGCAGCCGTGCATACGACACTGATCACGCCGTAGCATTCTACGCTTGTTATCAACCAACAGACAAACACCAGTTTAGCGGTGGCGAAAGGTTGCCAGACCAGCAGTGCCGCCAGCGGCTGTGATGCGGAGTAGTGCGGAGGGGGAGCAGCCATCAGCCCGATCCCATGTGCTACCTCCTTGAACACCAAGCTTTGCGGCGACGACATAAGCATTGTGGGGGGCTGGGCGTTTTCTCGGCATTCCTGGGCATTGCGGGCGGCTCTTTGAACGATACATCTTGTCTTTGCGACTAGCGGGACGACACTTCGTCGCTGTCGGTTGGACGATGATTCTACCCTTGGAGCCCGAACTTTTGTCCAACCTGTCCAACTCTCTACGAATGATGGGTATCAAGCTTTGAACACCAGTCGCAACGAAAGTATACAGTCCCAAATGGCCGTGTTATCCATGCATCCCAGCTCTATCGCCTGGCCGACTGGGCCTGAGCATTTCATTTTGCGCCGTCATCCAAGGCAAGCCTGCATTCCAGGTGGATATCCAACAGGCGGAGGGATGCAGGCACGACCAATGGAAGGCGTCCTACGTTAAATACTGAAGTCGTTTGATACGGTCAATTTTGGCCCAGCGTGCTGGGCCCCCAGGCCCCCCCTTCACTTGCCAGAAACCCCGCATACTTGGGGTCATGAACTGCTACCACAAGCGTCGTGATAACCAAAGGCCCGGGCTTCCACTCAATCAAGACGGCTCGGCATCGATACCGGTTCCAATGATCATCACCCTTTCGGTTCTTTATTAGAGATGTATCATCCAGTCTCGCTTTTCACATAAACCTCGAAGGGCATGACGCCTTGTCAGTTCTACCTACGTGTGACGGCGGCCCCCGTAGGACTACAAATGATGCTGCGCACAGCCAATACCACCCCGGTCTGTACGTCGCTTCCAAGGAAACGACGCTATACCGTAGAGATGCAAGGATCGACATCTTTGTTATCTCCTCATGTGACAACGCTATCGCCGTGCCATTACCTGCTCTTAGATTTTGCTAATTCCTGCCAGCTGAGTACCAGGGCAATTCATAGCACCTTGCCAGGAGAAGTATACTTCCGACGGTATCTGTAAGACTTTGGGTTCCGCCTGTTGCGATTACGGCCCCAGCCTCCACGAGCAGGGATTCCCGTACTTATTCTCTGCGACGCGGACACCCATTACATGACGTCTTCCGTTCCGTGTATCGGCAATGATGCTGGAACGAGCTGTTTTTCGCGGAGGGAGAACAAGGAGAAGGGAGGTATGGGGAAAAGAGGAACTAAGGTACCGACACAAGACGGTGGGGAAAGGAGGAACGTTTAAGCCCAAGGCCAAAGCAGGGTAGGCCAGAGGGAAACCGTCCCGACTCCGAGTCCATCTAAGGTTTAAACCGACTGATTACGGGACGGTGTTGACTTCACTGGGAGGGAGAACGGTTAATTAGGGTTTCACGCTCCTTTTTGCGTTTGCTACCTATACGCCCAACAGCCGGTATCACCAAGTCAAGAGGGTTTTCGCGTCGACGGAAGGCCAACTCTCATAAACACTTGGTGTTTGTTATGCTCCTAATGCAATATGTGCCCCGGCGGGGACTCGCTGCATCCTTCCGACCTCGAGTCCAACCGAGTTCGAGTATCTGGGAGATGGGCCATGTCCTCGTTCTTATGAACCATGTTCTTTCTGTCTGGCTCACACTCGCATGACCACCTCCATCCAACCTAATTCCTGGCCGCCACCCCTGCTATGCCTACTCCAGTGAATCCACCCGCGAAGCCTTGGGCATTTCCCCATGGGTCGCCCCATTGTGGATCACCAAACAACCGGCATCGGCCAACCAGCCAGTAGGAACGGGGAAGGAGAGTCTGCCGGCTCGAAGTTGCTGTTCCTGGCTTCTAGGGGGAAGGTGGTTGCGCCAGCTCTCCCACACTGAGCGTGTGGATGCGGGAGGGAAGACGTTGTGGGCAGAAATCTACAAATAAAGCTGGCCTCCCCCGTCTGATGATTGTCTCGCCCCTCTCGTCCGAGCTCTGATCGCTGTGCTGCACCCCCATCTGCATGCCCTGAAGTGCGACGTCGATAGACGGCGCTTCTAGTTCCTCGAGCCTTGAAAGAGGTCACCAGTGAAGCACTCGCTATACCAAACAAGTTCACTTACATACATTGAAGCACTGTATTGCCCGAGTGTCTTCCAATCGTCGCGATCATGGCGGACGACAAGCATATCGGAGCCGTGCCGTGAGTAACACCTCCATACCACTGCTCACACGTAAACTGACAGCTCCAGCTCGGGTGACTACTCAGCATCAAATATAGAAAAGGCCCATCATGGTGCAAAAATTGATCTAAACGCCAACGTTGACGCAAAGTCAGTCTTCCCCTCTTCCATCCCCCCCTCTCTTCCAGATGTGGAACCCAACAAGCTGACGTTCACTCTCAGAATCAAAAACCCCCTCCTCGGCATCTCCCGCGCCGACCTTCTCCGTGACGTTGACGCCTTTGCCCAGGAAAAGGGCCTGCAGGAGTACATCCCCGTGCTGCGCAAGGGCGCCCTCGTTGCCCAGGACCCGACGGGCTACGAAGAGATTGACGGCGCCGAGGCCCTCGACCAGACCGAGATCCAGGTCCTCCGCGACGAGGTCCTGCACAAGTGGCGCATCCCTAAAATCCTGTACCTCACCATCATCACCTGCTCCATCGGCGCCGCCGTCCAGGGCTGGGACCAGACCGGCAGTAACGGCGCCAACCTGTCGTTTCCCACGGTGTTTGGCATCGGGGGCACATCGCATCATGATACCCTCCTTGTGAGTGGCCACTCCTAGCCCGTGATGTTGCGCTTGCGATCATGCTGACAATGTGGCTTGAAAGGTCGGCCTCGTCAACTCGGCCCCGTACATTGGTAGCGCCTTCATCGGGTGTTGGCTCTCGGATCCCCTGAACAACCTCCTCGGCCGCCGCGGTGCCATCTTCTTCGCGGCGAATTTCTGCCTCTGGCCCGTCCTCGGCAGCGCCTTTGCCCAGTCCTGGCCGCAGCTGCTCGCCTGCCGTCTGCTCCTCGGCATCGGCATGGGCGCGAAGGCCAGCACGGTGCCCATCTTCGCCGCCGAGAACTCGCCCGCGCCGATCCGGGGTGCTCTTGTCATGTCATGGCGTGAGTTCGCCCTGCTGTCACTCTCTTTCGTCGCAGTTCATGCTGCACTCTCTCCTGTCCCACACCGCCGTCTTCGGGGTTCCATTCACTAACGACTTGTGCAGAGATGTGGACAGCCTTCGGAATCATGGCCGGAACGGCAGCTAACCTAGCCGTCGCCAAGACTGGCGATATAGCGTGGCGTCTCCAGCTTGGATCGGCCTTCATTCCGGCCGTGCCCCTGGCCCTGTTGATTTATGTCTGCCCGGAATCCCCTCGTTGGTATATCAAGAAAAACCGATACCCGGAGGCCATGAAGTCGCTGTTACGGCTGCGCAACCACCCTGTCCAGGCGGCCCGTGACATCTACTATATCCATACCCAGCTGCAAGTCGAAGCCGAAATCATCGGACGGTCCAACTATGCTAAGCGCTTCGTTGAGCTCTTCACCATCCCTCGTGTCAGACGGTAAGTGCCCCGAGGATGGAAGTCGTGGGGAGAGAGGATGAGCCTGACCTCATGACAGCGCGACCCTGGCTTCGTTCACGGTCATGATCGCCCAGCAGATGTGCGGTAAGTTGGAGCTTCTGATCCCAACAAACTGTCCATTACTGACGATCCGCAGGCATCAACATCATCGCCTTCTACTCGAGCACCATCTTCAAGGAGGCCGGGACTTCCGATTTCAACGCCCTCTTGGCGTCCTTCGGCTTCGGCATGGTCAACTTCCTCTTCGCGTGGCCCGCCATCTGGACCATTGACACCTTCGGGCGCCGGTCCCTGCTGCTCTTCACTTTCCCTCAGATGGCGTGGACGTTGCTGGCCGCCGGTCTCTGCACGCTCATCCCGGGTTCCGGAGGTGCCCATTTGGGACTGGTGGCGCTGTTTGTCTATCTGTTTGCCGGTAAGCTCCCTGGTTTGCTTTGGGATGTTCCAAATCAAAGTCTGACGTCTCTCTTAGCTTTCTACTCACCCGGCGAGGGACCTGTCCCCTTCACCTACTCAGCAGAGGTCTTCCCGCTGTCCCACCGAGAAGTAGGCATGTCGTGGGCGGTGGCGACTTGCCTGTTCTGGGCGGCCGTGTTGTCCATCACGTTCCCCATCATGCTGGCCGAGCTGGGCGTCATCGGCTCGTTCTGCTTCTACGCGGGCCTCAACGTCGTGGCCCTCGTCATGATTTTCTTCTGGATGCCGGAGACCAAGCAGCGCACGCTGGAGGAGCTCGACTACGTCTTTGCGGTCCCGACGAGGATCTTCATGAAGTACCAGCTCACCAAGGCGCTGCCGTACTGGTTCAAGCGCTGGGTGCTCTTCCAGCGGGACGCCACCCTCGAGCCGTTGTACAAGTTCGACCTCACGCAGGAGGACCACCACGACAGCGAGACGTACGAAAAGACGAAGGTCGAGCAGCGGGACAACAAGAGCGGCTCCGCAAGCGGTGTCGACGTCACCTCCTCGTAAAGGGCTGGGAGAGACCCAAGAGGTCCAAGGGCACTAGAGGTCGAGATGTGGCTTTGATACCGACGAGGCTGCGCTGCAGGACGTGCGGGCAGCGCGCGACTACGTAATTATAGATAGACAAACTACGAATATGTACTTGCAGAGGAGCTGTCTTCAGCTCACAATCCGTAATTGACCGCATTAGGAAGCATCGCACGTCCCGATGATACCTCCTTGCCCCCCCCCCCCCCCCCGTGAAGAATGACATGATTCCATCAATACCCGCCACAGAGGACTTTGCGCACACCACTACACGCGGGATCTTCCTATGATTTAAGTTCACGGAGTACAGCACCGTCTCGATCTCGAGGAACGCCGGTCGGCCGCCAAGGAGCGCGCGGGCTTGCAGCGCAATGCCTCAACAGCAGAACTGCCGCCGCTCCCGCCGCCGCTCCTGCCGGTCGACCGGCCGGGCCTGCCGTTTTCCCCGCGGCGGGAAACTTTCAGAGCTGCGGGCTTCAGCTATAGGTGAGAAGAGTGCAACCACCGGCGCCAAGGAGGAGGAGGACGAGGAGGAGAATGAGAAGAACAACGAGGGGGTAAGAGCAGCTCCTGAAGGACGAAGTCACCGTAGTCCGTCCTTATCGTCGTCGTCATCCCCCTCATCCTCCTCCCCCTCCTCTTCTTTGGCAGGGACGGCAATTGCGGCAGTGGAGGCCTTCCTAGTAACCGACCTTTCCTTCTTGGGAGCGGCGGACTTCTCGTCCTCGTCGTCGTTCTTCTTTTCCCTCCTCCTTGGCGGCGGCGGCGGCGGCGGCGGCAGCCTCCTCGACAACGCGCGCAACTCCAGCGCCCCAGACTCCACGGACGCCCACCGCCCAAGGACAGGTCCCTCCGCCGCTCTCCTCAATGGAGTCGCCAGGCATGCCGAGGCGTTTGAGATCGGGCCGCTTATCTAGGGCGCCTCTGAGACCTGGATTTGTCTCCTCTGCCAACCAGCGGATAGATTCCTCCAGCCCCGATGCCTCCTCGTCTGCCTCGCGCTCCTCCTCTTACACCCTCTGTACGGATGCCAAGCCAGGGTCCGTCGACCGACCTGGAGTGTCTACCAGAAAACCTAGCTGCTCATTTCGTCAGCAGCTTCATTGAAGAAGCACTTCTCCTACAGCGGCGCTCTTCTTTCCAATGGCCGAAGCTCAGAGGCTTTGCAAAGCTTCCTGCCGCAAACAAAATGGCAAATCCGGCCGGTCGACCGGCGGCGGCGCTCCATGGGTAATATTTTCTATCGTGTTCAGCATTAGATAGGATGTGGGAGCAGCAAAGTGAGGCAATACCGTTGTATTGGCGATAACTGTGATGTGAAGCTAACTAGGAGTGGGCTGCCCGCAGTGGGCAGAGGCTGGCCGAGAAGGAGGTGGAGGTGGGTCACGTGACCCATGGGCTCCTCCACTAACACTCCCCCTCAGGCTCTGCCAGCCTACTCCTGTATATTATAATAATAGTAGTAAATAACTGCCTAACCTTAAATCCTCTAAATCTAAGGAGTTTTTAAAGTATATAATAACTTTAGTAAAAGGCTAGTAATTTACCTATTAGTCTAGTAATAATTTATCTATATACTAATAAGCCTATATAATCTATATAACTTATTATTTATATAGTCTATTTATATACCTATATAACCTATTAATCTAATCTATTTACTATACTTAGTAGTCTAATAAAATCCTTGTGTTTATTTAAGGCTAGTGCCTTTATAAGGCTATTAGTAGCTATCTTAGTACTATAAATAAGTTAAAAGGTAATATTCTTATAGGTGTAAACCTTTTAGATTATCTATTTATATTAGACATTAATACTTTAAGTTTATACTTTATTAAGGGGATTTATAATATTAACTATTATATTAGCACTATTAGTAAAAAGGATAATTAAAGTATCTAGTAGTTAGCTAAAGAGCTATTTAGTATAGTAATAAATCTACTTTATAGTAATTACTACTAGTATAAGGTTAATAAACTTTACCTTAGTAAAGCTTAAAGTAATAAAGGTTTATTACTTATACTTCTAGGCTACTAGTAAGCTAGTAAAGTAGATAATATAACTACCTATAAATACCTATAATAGGTAATTATTAGTAAAAGAAGTATTTACTATAGTATAAAGGCTAATATTAGTAAAAAGGTTAAGTTTACTAAATAAAATACTATAATAGGTAGTACCTTTAAGGTAGTAAAAAAGGTACTTAATAGCTACCTAATAAGTAGGTAATAGGCTAGCATTAGCCTAAGAGAGTTTACTAACTATAAAAGTAATATCTAGGTGTATACTAGTAGCTAACTAGTTAAAGTAGCTAGTCTATTTAATATAAAGCTATTAGTTAGCTTTAGTGTAGTTATTTTTACTCTAAGTAATAAGAAGGTCCTAGTTAGTAGGTAATAAGGTCTTAACTAGCTAGAGGTCACTATAGCTAAAGTAATAAAGTATACCCTTAGTATACTTATATTAATTAATATAAATCTTGTTAGTAGTAAAGCGCTAAATTTAAAAGCTAAGAAATTAAGAGGCCTTACTAAAGTCCTTTAGTAAGTAGACCTTAGTAAGTATATTATATACTTTTTTAGTTGTCTTAGTAGTAAGTGTAGCTACTATATTATTATTAATATATATTAAGGCGTAGGTATTAAGGTCCTTATTATAAAAGAGGTAGATTTCCCCTTTAACTAGCTAAAAGCTAATTTTCTTTATTTTACCTTTAATAAGTATAAACTACTATAGTAGTAACTTATATAGACTATAGAAAGCCTTTTAAAGTAACTAGACCTTATTATTAGTAGTAGTATAACTAGTAGGTTATTTAATATAAACGTTAGTACTAGTAGGAACAAGGGTAATAAGAAAGGCAGTATTAAAGTTATATATCTTATACTTTAATCTATAAAAAGTAATAATAATAAAAAAGAGGTAAATAGTAGTAGTAGTAGCTATAGCTATATATACCTCTTATAATAACTAATTACCTTACTTAAAGTTACTATAGACTACTTATTAGGCCTTAAAGTATATAATTTTATTATTTATATTAGTCTTAATATTAAATACCTATTTACCTAGTAGTACTTTAGCTCTAGTTAAAGGGTTAACAAGAGTATATACCTCTTTATTATTAAACTATTAGATCTTAGCATTATAGGCTTATTTCTAATAGTACTAGTGTAGGCCTTCTTTTGCCTTCTTAAAGGTAGTAGGTATATTATAACTAGTAGGTAGTACTTTTAATAATATAGCTACTATAAGGGTGCTAATAAAGTAACTTTAATTATCTTAGTATACCTAAATATTAGCTAAGAGATATGCCTTTTTCTTATAGTTTTAGATACCTACTATCTTATAATAGTAACTAGGTAGCTTTACTACACTAGTGTAATATAGGTAACTAGTAGTAATATACTTAGTAGTAAATATAGTAGTAGAGGCCTTAATAATAAGGTCTAGCTTATCTTCCTTTATAACAAGAGAAAAGTAGTTAGCCTTTTATTAAATAACCTTATAAAACTTATTATTAGTAAAAGTATTATTTTATTTATTTAGTTATTTATTTATAGGCTATTTATTAGTAAGTAATAAAGTAAGTATAGTAGTATCCTCTAGGGGTAAAGTTATATAGGTAGTATTATTAATATACTTACTATTAATAGTACTACTGTTAGTTTAGTTAGCCTACTAGTTTTATAAGGTCTTAGTAACTAGTAAGTAAGAATTAAGGACTTAGCTAAGAAACTAAATCTAGAGGTTAGGCTTATTAAAGAGTATATTATAGTTAGTATCTACTAGAATATTTATATTAGTAATAAGGTAAAGAATAGTCTTCTTTTTCTTTTTAAAAATAAACGTTATAGTAATAGATAACTTGCTTTTAATTAAGGATATAAATATAGTAGATATAACTATATAAAGAGCTATAGCTAATAAAGTAACCTTTTATTATATAGGGTTTTATTTTTATAGAACAAGGGGAGTACTTACTACTTTTCTTATATATATATATAATATAACTAAAGGTATAAAGGTGTTTAATTTAAGGAGGTTCTTAGTTAGTAGTAAGGTTAAGCTTATAAGTAATAATCTTATAAGGGCTTATTTTACTCTTAGTTAACTATAGTAAAAGGTTAAAGATCTATACTATAGTGTTAAGTATATAGTCTTAGAGATCCTTTAGTAAGCTATTATTAATAAGTAGAGTATAGGTAGCCTCTATAAGGGTGTAGCTAGTATATTTAATTACACTATTTATTAATAAAGTATAGGTAGTAGTTAGGTAAAGTTAAGTACTTTTAAAGAAAGAGTTATAAAGCACTTTCTTAAGCTTAGGTGCATTATTATATATCTAACCTTTAATTAAGAGACCTATTATATTAGTAAATATAGTACTAAACTTCTTAATAGTATTAAGAATAACCTTATAGTAATAGGTTTTTAATAGAGTAAGCTAGTAATAACTACTATAATAGTTAAGAAAGTAAAAGGTATATTATATACTAAGTTTAGAAAAAGGTTTAACTTTAATAAGGTCTAGATAGATTTCTTTATTTATAAAGGTAAAAGGTAATAAAGTATTATAACTAATAAGCTCTATAGATTTAGCTAAGTAGTAGGCCTTATAGTAAAAGTTATTAATCTCTGCCTATATAAATTATATACTTACTTAATAGTAGGCCTTAATAACCTATAATAGATAGGCGTAAATAAGTTAGTAATATATTATCTTAAGGGTTAGTTAGTACTTACCTTTAACTATAGCTAATTTAAAGGTAGTTACTATAGGTATAGTTAGGCTATTAGTTATATAAAGGATATAGATATCTAAGATCTATTTAATAATAGTTAAATAGGCCTTAGATTTAGTGTTAATAATATAAGTAGTAGTATAGTTATATTTAATATCTACCTTATATAACTTACCTAGGCTAAGAAGGTTAGCTAGGCTAAAAGGGCTATACTTAATATCTTTAATAGTCTAGTTAATAGTCTAAGTTAGGTTAGCTAGATCCTTTGTCTAGAAGAAAATAGTGCTATTACCCTCTAGATACACCTAATTACTATTTACTATAGTAAAAGGTTAAAGATTACTATAGACTATATAGAATATAAAGTAAATTAATAAGTTAAATATAAGGTTAAAGTAGCCTAAATCTAGTATAATATTAGAGGTAGTAATAACCTTATTATTAATAGCTATATATACTATATAGCTAGGCTTTATAGCTAGGCTAGTAATAGAGAAGCTACTAAGAGCACCTAAGGCTTCTTTAATAAAAATAGAGGTTAATAATAAGTTAAATAATCTTTTTTTATAATCTTTATTATAGATATACTTAGTTATATAGGTAAAAAAGGTATTATAATAAAGATAATTAGTAAAAACTAGCTCTAGGTAAGTAGTCTAGTACTTTATAGTAAAGTAGTTTTTCTTATAATAAAGGTAAAAACTACTATAAGTAATATTCTTAGTAAAAGTAATACCTTAGTTAGCACTAGAAGAGGTTACTATTAGATTAGTAGTATTCTTATAGTATATAATAAGTCTTATTTTTTATTCTTTATCCTAAGTAAAAGTATAGATAGTCTTAATAACCTTTACCTAGGTAAATATTTTATTATTATTAGTGTAGTACTTATAAGTATTTAGTAGTTATACCTTAAAGTAGTTAAGTATAAGAATAGCCTAATAGTAGTTAAAGTTTTTACTATAGAGGCTAGTAATATAGCTTTAGAGGTATTAAACTTTTATAAAGGTATTATAAAGGGTTTTATAGTCTTAGGTACTACCTTTACTAAACTTATTAATAAAGGTAGTAATAGTATCTTTAGATACCTTAGGGATAAACTTCTTAAGTGTTTTTATAAGAGTATATAGGTTACTATTATTAACTTATTCTATATTAAGAAGCTTAATAATTATAAAGTTATAAGTGCTAATAATAATACTATAGGTAGTATTATATTTATTCTCTTAATTCTTATACTTATTAGTGTTAATTACTAGTTAAAGGACTTTATAGTTAATATATTTCTTAACTTTAGTAGTATAAAGTAATATATTAACTAGGACTTACTATTATAACTAGTTTAACTTCCCTTTTAGCTTAAGGATAAACTATATAACTATTTAGTAGTTAACCTTATTAGCTATAATAGTAGTTAATTACTTATATAAAGAAGGATAATATAATATAGATAAAAGTCTTTCTTAGACTATAGGTAGCCTAATAATATATTAAACTTTATATATTTCCCTTATAAGATAAAAGGTATATCTAAATTATTATATAAATTACTACTTATTATTAGACATCT